CTTGTCCTATCCCCTTCTAAGACTTAGGGCGTTGGGCTCTGGCTCCCGGATGACATGTGAGCTTTGGAGGGCTTGGGGTTTTTGCAGACTTCACAGCATCACGGAAACTATGCGCTGGACACATGTTCATGCTTGTTCCATGACTCACGACAAGTCCCCAGGCAGAAACGTAGGGGGGCGCCTGATTGAGGTACATGATCCTATTGTAGTTCCGGCAGTTCCATCGGCTCAGTGTTGCCCAGGAGCCTCCCCGAAACACGAATCCCGTAAAACGCCAGGGTAGGAAAGCTTGACCCAGAAGCTGAGCCTCCTTGCAAAGAACTCTGCAATCTGAATTTGCATCCCAGACCTGCCAGAAGCCAGCTTCCATGCGGGAGCCGGTAGGATGATCAGAGGGAAGGCTTGAAACCCACCATCTACCCACCATCTACCCCCCCCCCCCCCCGAGACCCCAAGCTGAAGGCCTCCCTAGCCATCCCACGCAGCCCGGCAAGGCCGTGCAGGGATTTCGTTTGAGCGATGGCTTCGGACCTGTGGGGTTTAAGGTTGCAGTCCAGAATTGGGGTCTAGGGCCAATAGGGCTTCAGTATGTTTCGCCTGCGGCTTCTTCAACACCTCGCATCTCAGGGATATTGTAAAAACAAAGCCGCCCGTGACAGAGAAAGCACCAAGTGCGGGTTCTAAGTCCGAAGGCGAGGCTACTTTGAGATTTCATGCCAGTGGCCTGCCCCGTCTCAGCTTTGCGCTCAGCAAGGCACGCAACCAAATTTCCAATCTCCACCATCTCCACCTAAAAGACCGATATCCGAAGCCCAAGAAGTGCTGTCGATATCTAGCTCCCAGAGCTTTCAGAACCCCGCACTGTGCGCCGCCTCCGTGGCCGCTACTGGGGCCGTGGCAGGCGTGATGCTTTATGGCCCTTATGGCCCGTGTTCATTTCTTCGACTTAGTCTCGTACAACATGGGGCCAAGAAAATTCGAGAGGCCAAGTCTACTTTAGCCTGGTTTCGGAGTGCCGGCTTGCAAAAGGGATCGGAAGGGTCTCGTAATGGTAAATGTGTTTTGAAGTATTTTCCTCTCGAACAAAACAACATGACTGTAGGGAGGACCTGGCAACATTTGGGGCTTGCAGTCTTCCTTCACAAGTCCAGCCTGCATGATCAGGGTCTTTGTCCTGTGTCCGTGAGGCTTGTAAAGGTTCGGTCCTAAACCCTAAACCCTAAACCCTAAACCCTAAACCCTAAACCCTAAACCCTAAACCCTAAACCCTAAACCCTAAACCGTCCGTGTCCAGAACTCGCCCAGCACTTGTTGAAGGTTGTGCACCTCGCCTGTTGCACCACCGCCGGGGTCGGTCCCACTCGCACCGGAGCAGGCGCATATGCCACAGTATTCTCGTGACACCACTATAGGGGTCGGAACAATTGCTAAGAGTGTTCCCTTGTGGTCCCTTTACAAAGACAAGTACTGTAATACCTTCCAAAAATTCTAATTTTATAAGGCCCGTATACTGCTGCTTTTCAAAGTCAGGGTGGACGTCTCGGAGGTTTTCGTGCATGCGAGGCTTGTGGTGTTGGTTGGCAAGGCCCAGCCTGCTGGGTTTTTGCGTAAGCCGGAGGCACTTTCCTTTTTGATCCTGGCGTACTTACAGCCGTCCCATCTTCCCAATCAGACCTTGCGAAGCCTGCCGCCCCCCCACCCCCTTGCCCAGGCACCTGCGAAAGGATGGTGTTTGCCGAGCATTGATGGCCCAGGCCTGGCACAACCACCATGTTTTGGGTCTCTAAGCTGGGGCTAGCTGGGGGCCTGGGCACGCTGCATCGCTGCATATCACCAAGGCCGTGGGTTCCCACCCCGCCCAAGGGGCTGGCTTGCCCATTTCGATGTTTGTTGTAGATGTGGCATGTCCACAGTTGTACACTTAATGCTGCGAAGTGCTGCGTAGTGGCATGGCAGGCGAGCATCGCCGGCCAGGATGTCTTGCCAGCAGCGTGAAGCCCAGCGTTCTCACGGGCGGGATTCTGTTGCCACGGCGTTGAGTTTTTCAAACACCCCAACCTGCAACCGGCCATGGTTTGTCCTATTGCCAGGAGATCACTGCCCTGGCGTTCCTGATCTGGCTTAGAGGGTTGAGTATCACTTCACACGCTTCAGAATAAGCTAAGGACCGAACCAAGGCCTGTACTCGGGTATTAGGTATCTTCCAGGTGGAACTTTCTCCCGCTCCAAGTATGTCCAGTTCTTGCCAGGTTCCGGTTCGAAGAGTAGCTGAGTAGTAGCTATCATCTGAATGTCTGTTTCGGACTTGCTGTTCAAGGGTACTTGCGCATCACACCAACCCCGACAACTTGTGAGGGGCCAAAGGACTCCGGCTTCACTGTATAGCCGCATAGCCTCGAGGGTCTTGAATCTTGAAGAAGCCCCCTCACCCACATCAAGGAAAGCGCAGCAGTCCTCGCAAAGCCTGTCAATGCTGCGCTCATCGCCGGACAGATCGGTGCTGCTCGGCAGGAGCCGTTCTGGCAAAACTTCATCTCGAAAACCAAAGCCTGGAAGCGCATTGCTCCCAGACCTCTCAGAGATCTGCAAGATTTAGGCGACGGGGCTTCGTGCACGGGGCAACCCGAATCTCTAATTATCGCGAAGGTGCGGATGAAATGCGTGAATGTTGAGGGGTGTAGGGGATTAGGGGATACATTACAAGGTTCAGAAAATGTTTGCCTTTCATTGGAGGTCTTGTTCGGTCGCCCTGCAGACGTGCGAACATGTGCGAACCTAACATGGCGACGATACCGGTATGTGCTTGTTTTGTGGGGAGAGGGCTGTAAACACTTAGTACGCGCCGCCTTGGAGCCGGGTCGCCTGCCCCAAGCCACGGGCTGCAGGTACGACTTCGGGTCGAGATGGGTCGAGGCAAAGACGTCGGAAAGCAGCCGGCCCGTAGGACCGAAACCTTGAATCCCTAGCAGACCCCCTAGCAGACCGGGGGATGTGTAAGGGGTAGGCCCCTGATCCTAGGTAGGAGAAGGGGGACCCTTAAAAGGGAACTTCTTCTTAACCCTCTTCTGGCTCTCTTAAACAGGGACCTTATTCAGAGGGTCGATAGCCCCAAGGGTCCCCCTAATCCTATCCCCTACCTGAAGCTGTTTGCCTTGTTTATCAGCACCGGCTTTGCAGTGCCAGCTGGCCGCAAAACCTTCGGTGCACTTGTGTCTGTGCTCCTACGCCTCTGATGTTCCCAAGTAAAGCTTGGGTAGCTTGGGTAGGGTGGTGGGAGCTGCCCAGAAAGTGCAGAAGGCAGCAAAGTAATACGCGGTCTTCTCGGGGGGCAAGCAGGCTTCAGGCCATAGGGGAGTGTTTCCACCCCCTTGCATCGGCTTGCGGGCCCCCAAAGCAAATCCGGCCGCTCCCACAGGGGGGGTTGAGGTGTTAGAAGGTTGTCAGGGTTCTACGAAGGTGCCTGGTGTGGAGCGCAGACCTCTCAAAGGTTTCCTTCGTTCCTTCTTTCAGAAAATGTTCCGAAACCTGCGACAGCAGTCAAACCCATCCTGTCCTCAATATCAACAACCAGGTTCTCGCCCAGCGTTGTCAACGCAGTTCTGAGAGCCTTTGCACAGCAGCACGGCCACTTGACTTCGACTTGTTCTCGTGTATAGGAGATTGCGGCATCGTGGCTTGCAGAGAGTGCGGGCCTTCGAAATGAACACCAGGGTCGTCGAGCATCTAGCGCCGTAAATCTAGATTTGGGAGCCTGCTTGACTCCAGCCAAGGTCATGTGGATGAGCTGCTCCATGAACTCACTGAGGACGGAGCTCCATTTGGTCCATCCATGTTCTGGTAATGGCAGGGGTCATCCTGGAGGCCTGAGTTCTCTGTTCACCGCCATACCATTGACCTGAATCAACAGGGTGAATGGTCCATGCTTTAGGCTTTGGTGCCCCCATGCCATCTTAAAATTGACAGGGCCGCATCAGGGCCCCATGTCCTGCACAAACTTGTCCCGAGCATTCATGTCTTGATTTGTCTCAGCATGACCTCAGGGTGCATCCGGGAGGAAGTGCACTCGGTTTGGAGATTGCCGACTTCTAGCGGTAGGTCAGATTCGGTGTGGGTTAAAAAGTTTTCGAGTCCGGGGTTTAGGGAGAGCATTCCGTCTTGTGCCAGGAAGGCTTGCAACTCGACACGGTGAGCTTCAATATTGCAGTCTGGCTTGGTATCAGTGCAACGCTCTCAATGTAGCGCCTTTGCGATGGATGGTCTCAGGATTCAAGATGTTTGAGCATTCAGGTCGCTGCAGGGCACCTCATTGGACTGCTGGACCGAAGCTTTCGGAAACTCTGAAAACCCAGTATCCTATGGAGGAGCGGGCGGAATCTATGGTCACTAGTGCGTTATTTGCGAAAAGTCTCCATGCGCTCATGCATTCAGCGGCATGCGTGGGGCACAATGTCCAAGCCCGCTAAACCAGTCTTTCGGGCTTCTTCGAAGCTTCCGGGTAGATTCTCTGGCTAGCTGGACTTCCGGAACCATTGAAGTTCTGAAGGTAGTGAAGAAGCATGAAGAATCTACGAAATCTCCGGCCCTTTAGCGCTACCAGGGCTGGGGGGTGAGGGGGCACGGTCGCCCGGTGAGTTGGGGATTCGTGCGACTGGGTGTTTTCTCAATTGGCACGATCCTGGATTCCTGAAAAGTTTCTGGGTTTCAGTTTTTTCTTGGTAGCCAAGACTGGCATGCATCGTGTCTCATATTGAGTGTGAATAGCAGAAAATTTCTGCGCCTGCTGAGAAAATAATATTGCATATGCCTGCCACACTCATTAGGAGATGTTTGGGGTCCCGCCCTATTTCCAGGTGACAGTTTGAATTCTGCAGCTGCGTGCTACAGCAGCAACCCCTCAACATCCCATTGCTGTGGCATAGATTCTTTTCCCAAATGGGGAGCTGTAATACCCCAACCCCTAAACCCCAGGTGGCAGAAAACACCCTAAACCCTGCAAGGCAATGAACACACACGCACGACAAGGAGACGTACAAGGCGCGACTTGCCTCTTCGCACCTCGGGTCTGCACTTAACAAGAGCCGGTCAGTAGCCGTTGTCTTACAGTACTACGTCGCAAACATGGGGTGAGCCCTAAAATAGACCCGAAAAGACACCAAATGGTAGGATTCCCTTATAAGAACAGGCACCCCGAAAAGGTATCCCTAATACCGGAAACCCCCCATATCCGATCACCAGCGCAGCGCCAGTCTAGGATTCTGCTACCAGCAGCTTCTGGGATCTTCTTGGAGAATGCTTGGGCGGAGCTGTCTTTAAAGCCCCAGCTCCGTGTGCAGCCAAGGAGGGATTGCAAAGATCAGCTCTTCAGCCAGATGTCGTCAGCTACAATTGAACCTGAGCAGACAGCTGATTTTTGTTCATGCTTTTTGGGGCAGGTTAGGTGGGATATGGTTGCTCGATGGCTTTTGCCTGGAATTTACGTCTTGATACTTTGTGTTCGCACCTTGGTTCAACCCGGCAGTGCTAGTTCTCAGCATCAAGGGATGGCCCGTGGCAAGACGTGACACTTGCGTAAGGACGAAGAAAACCCCCATCGGCCCAAGAGATGGATCACCGCCCTCAATCCTGAGCGACGGATGTTGCTTGTGAACCTGCGAGAGAGGTCTGACGAACGGGGTTGTTCCACTTCTCGGGGGCCTAGGCCTTCTCAATGCTTGTGCCAAAGCCTCGGATGCAGCCAGCGCAGAAGCTTGGCAATTTGAGGGTCATGAGCAGTGTGTCGCGGTGGCAGCTGTTGATGCCATTGCTCCTCCTTTCAACGCTCCGGATGAGCGTCTGATCTGAGTGAGTTGTGGGTTTTGAACAACAGTTCTTGTGGTCAGGACTGCATGCATGTGAGCCGAAGCCCACTCCCAGCACGCAACGTCCTCGACCTCTATCGTGTACCATGCTTTCCATCTGCCGACAAAAGCCGTTAAGCCCCCGAGACACACCCCGGAATGGATGTGAGCTTCATTCTCTCTAGGTGCCCACCCCCCCCCCCCCCCCCACATGCAAGTCTGAGGAAGCGTGGATGCAGAAGCTGGAGGGAAGTGCCATGACTTCCCCAGGGGAGGAGGGGACAAGCATACAAAATCAGGGCCGAGACTCCTTCCATTGCCACAAGCAGCCTGTGATATATACATATGTGCGTAGGTATTACTATGTAGAAACTTATACGTTGTGCATCTTCTGCTGGTGCATGTTTTGACCTCGAAGCCCCGGCATAGCGAAGTGGAAGGCGCAGCCAAGGCCCCCTCGATGCAACGGAGGTGAGTCACGGAAGCTTGCTGGTTGCCCGGGTGGCGCTTACACTCAGGGGTTTGAGACCTGAATTGATCCGTAGACCGCCAGAAAGACCCTAGAGTAGGGGTGGCAAAGAGGGCGTTTGGTTTCGGAGGGCGTTTGAGATGCCAGCTTGAAACATGTAAACCAGTAAGAACCCTCGAAGATCCCGCAGCGGGGGCAGCGCCTCTCAAGAGAGGAAACATCCCGGAAAGAACTCCCAAGAGTCTCAAAATGCCACAAATCCCAAAGTCCCACCAAAGTCCCACCAAAGTCCCAAAGCCGCCCTCCATGACTCGAAGCCGCTAAGGATGCCTGGGCACGCCAGGGCGATCTCGCAGCGGCACAGCGCAGTTTTACGAGGATGCAGAGCCAAAGGCTGCGGCCGGCACGCAATTTTGAAGGGCTGAGGAAGCTCTGAAAGCTCCCCAAGATGCTCCAAAATGTGCCAAAATGCTCCAAACCTTGCTGAAAGCAAATATGAAGTTCTGAATCGCAGCTGCAAGCCGCCACATCAGCCCTGTCAAGGTCACCTGGCCTGCGATGCGTCTTGGCTTCAGGGTTAAGGATCTTCAAAAGGGGCTGCGTCTCTTTTCATGGAGACCTGGCAGGTTTCCTATGCAGGGAAGCTATCGGGCTTCGGAACTTCGCAGATGCATCAAAAAACTTGCCATGCATGTCACATGTCCTTCGTGAGTGGGCCGTAAGGAAGTGAAAGAAAGCATTCAAGATTCCGGGATTTCAGCCGTAGCCTCGGCCTTCCCGACCAAACATCCCTAAAACAATCTAAACCGCTGCAAGCCTGGATTCCTTGTTTCGAAGCCCAGCTTCAACTATGAGTGTACGCCCTGTTTGTGAAGTTCCCTAAGCCCTAAACCCTAAACCCTAACCCCGCGCAGCCATGGCAAGGCTTCACCAGCCTCATCAACGCCGCCGCCGAGGCGGGCGACCTCTCTGCAGCAGCGGCTGGCCGAATGATGGATAGGGGTTGGGATGGTCCCCCTTATAAAAGTCACAGCCCTTAGTAGGGGATTATAATGGGGGGTACTAGAATCCCTATTGAGTTAGTGCAAGGGGGAACTATCCCAAGGTAGTGGGCTTGTGAGGATCAGCCTTTCAGCCCTTCACCGGCCTCGTGCTTGTGAGCTTACATCGTCCCCAGAACCTTGAGGGCCGATGGGGCCTGAATGGGGCCTTGTGCCTTTGTTCCCTTGGTATCCGAAAAAGCCGGTATCCTGCACAAGGTGAGTCAAAGCCTTATAGCCCAGGAGTGCTACATGGAGCAGCTGGAATCGGACCCATGCCAGCACAGGGCATGAGGATTAGGATTCAGGGGAATGGAAGGACTAGGCCTCGGCTGTGCGGCAGAAGGCTTGTATTCACAATCCGCCCTAGACGACCCTTGAAATTTCATACGCCCTGGATGAGCAGGAAGTGGAGGAATAGCCTTTCGGACCCGCATGGGCTGGACGGTTTGATTTGAGGAGTCATGCAGCTCTAGCATCTCACGAGTTCCGAATTTGGGGTCGCACTTTGTCAAGTGAAGCCTCGCCTCGTACTCCCGGTATTTAGGGCTCCTGACTGGCCCTTGATTGTCTCTAGCCCTTTACAGTTCTTTGTTGGGTCGAGGTCAGTCCACCAAATTCTGTGGGGTGCGAATGCATTCTGGGCTTGGACATGCCTGATAAATCCTTTCCCGATGTCCAAGCACTGCCCCCCCCCCTTTACCCCAAAGCTGTCGAGTAGTACGTGAACATTCTTTGCTTATTTCCATGCCTTACCACCAAATACGCAGCCAATCGGTTGTTACAAGGATGGCCACACAGCGGATGACCGCAGTTGCTTTCCCACAGGGGACAGAGTTTAAGGTCGGGTTGGCTTTGCGTCCAGCGGCTGGTGTAGGGTTTTTGAAGTTCACTATCATTGGGCGACCCATGTTACATGTTGGCTGAGGGCATGGAGCCTTTTGGGTCGTCAAGGAGCTGGTTCTGGATTCTGGTGGTAGGAGTCAGGCTTGGGGTTCAAGATTGTCGGCTTTGTGACTTTGGAGTTTGAGCTCAGCGCGTCGTGAGGTAATGATTTGGAATTCCGGAACTGAAGATTGCTTGTTACCGGTGAGCATGCTGTGTGCTGCATGGCCCTAGTCCTTGGGGCCCAAGAGTCCTTGTGCAGAGAGATCCTATTCTCGCGGGAGTGCCGTTCGCATTCTGCAGGCACCGTAGGCCCTTCCGGCTTTTGCCGGGAAAGCCCCCCTAAAACATCCTTGCCAACTTAGGACATGCGATCCCTGAAGTTGTGCACGTTGCACCCCAACGTGGTGTAAAGTGGCTTTGGCACAAAAGGCTATGGGGCGATGCTGAAGGCAGCAGCGGCTGCTGGGTCTCCGCGCAGTGCGGCCGCTTTGGCCCGGGCTTGTGGGGCGACAGATCCGTCTTTGTAGGGCTTATAGGGTTAGGGCATTCTCGGGTGCTGTAGTGTGGGTGTTTGTTGGATGTGCCGCTTTGCAGCTATGGTGCTTCACTTTCAGGTTCTGTGATGACCAGCGCACTGGAGATTTGGGGAAGGGAAGGGCATCCGAATCAGTCTGATCCCACCGCATCACCAGGCGAAGTTTTGTGCCCCCTCAAGCAAACACAAACGCAACACTATGGACAGAGCTGGGGCTGAGGGATGATGGGGTGACTCATGGGACGCACATGAGATTTGGTTCATAATTGGGGACGCTTCGAAGATCGAGCTTCAAAGGCCTCCGTAGCGCTGCACTCTTGCAAAGGCTTCAGGCCTTGTGATCAGAGACGCTCACGAACCCGTCTTGTGCTGAGATGGGAGTCAGGTAGGCTTTCACTCGTTAATGGTGACTTGTTGTTAGTTTTCTGCAGGAGGTAGGCAAAGAAACTTTCCCACCACTCCCACCCACCCCGCCCGCAATTGTTTTCAAGCTCAAAGACCATATGCCCACTAAGGAGAAATGGTTTTCGAGAATGAGGACCAGCAGGGTTCCCATCAACATTGTGGCTTTCAGCAGACGCTGGGCCTTGAGCTCACTGCTTTCTTCACAGTTCGTGAACATGAACATGTCCCTGTAAGAAATTCCCCCTGGCTCTCTTAGTAGCTGGGTCGGTGGGATCTGGCCACGGTGTGAGAACCAAAGACCAGTCGGACAAACACATGCGCACAGCGTGATGGCGCAATAGTGGTGCAATGCTGGAATCATGGGCTCCCCCTCCCTCCCCCCCAGTTTTGGGACTCTGAACGATGCCTCTTTCGAACACCATCGGTAGAGCTCCATATACGGATTCCATTGATGCTGGAGTGACAATCCGTAGCCACAAGGGCTATTTCGAAGCCGCGCGACACGAATCCCGATTAATGTTTTTTAAATAGGGTGCTGCTCATGTGTAGGCAACCAAGAGTGGAATTCGTGCTTGCGGGTGAGAGCTCGTATGCTGCTGCTGAGGCCTGCTCAATGCCTTCGCTGAAGCGGGAGATCCTGCGGGTGCTGAGCTCTGGTTCGACGAGGGCCTGGCGCTCTTTGTCCGCAAGAGCCCTTCAGAAAAGGCATGCTTTGTGGTTTGGGGGGCCCACTTCAGGCATTTCGGAGAAGATTCGGTACAGGGCGTGAAGTCCTGATTGTCGGCATTTGTCCAGGCTGTGACGTTAATTGGGGCCAGTGCACTTGTGAAGCTCATGAGCGGATACGTGGTTCCAAATGGTGGCCGGATGCCCCCCTCTTTCCGCGACTTGTACGAAATTTCGAGTAGAGAGTGTTTTCCAGACCTCAACATCAAACCAGCAAAGCCAATATTCAACGGCCTGAAAACCGGTAGCTTCTTCAATCTTGTTGTTAAGGCTGCATCTTCATCCAGATGCTGTTTGCTATGGCGCGGTTCTGAAGGCCACAGCTCAACTTTTGCCGCAAGGTAGCCTCTGAAAGCACTCCGACAGTCGAACCTACCCGACCCCAACGGATGCAGGCGTGGGCAAAGAAAGCAGATCTAGATGGCACGGAGCGCTGGATGAACAGAGCGAGCCCAGTCGAAGAAGGCAAGGCTTTTTGTTTTGTCAGCCTCAGCTGCTGCGGGAGCGGGCGGCACGTGTTTCGGCGCGATTCCTCTGTGCGTACTAAGGGTATGTAGTCTGGAATCCCGACCTCCGAACCGCGCCTGCCCTCAACGCAGCTACAAGGATTGCGTCGGGGCAGCGATTGAATTCTCAGATTTTCAACATCGTTCTGCACTCGTCCTTTGGCGTCAACAGAGGGTGTTACATTGTGGGAGTTCGGGGTTTCGAACCTGGCAGGATGTAGATGAATGACGACATGTGATGGGCTTGGAAGCCTCTCAAAGACCAAGGCGGCTCTTCATATGCTTCAGTGGCAGAATAGGTCTCCACTTAACTTTCTGATCGCCTTCCAAGCCCTATATGCCCCTTCACTTCATACATACTGTGGCACCGAGGACAACCTTCCCCTCCCCCCAACTCCCACTTGAGGCTCAGCTACATCATGTCACGCCCACCTGCTGTAGACGATCCGTGAAGCCCCATACATGCATAGGCGATCCAGTGGGACATGCTTTGCCGCAACCCATCCCAACCTTTGATTCAGCACCGCAGAGAAGTTGAAGTCCAAGACGAGCTTTGAATAAACGATGATGAGGTGTGCTCAAGCTGGAGAGGCGTGCCAAGTTGGGAGGGGGCAGCCGAATGTTGCTGTGTGTTTCTGGAGTTGCGTGTTTCAAATCCGCTGTTCTTGCTGTCTTGCTCAGATAGGAAGTTGCACGCATGAAGGGCCGAAGGCAGTGCACATGTGTTGCACGAAAGGCTTGTCACGGAACGCGTCGGCAATGAGAAATGTCCCACCGCTAACTTATGCTATGTAATCACAAACCTCAACCAGCGACAGCCACCATCGTTAGCCCCGCCCAAGCAGCGAAGTGGCGAGTCGAACCATGTGTTTTGCATTGCTCTTTTTCTTGTCCTGGTTGTGTTTTCGACCACAATGTTACTTGGCAACAAGCAACCGCGACCTTCGACGATTTTCTTGCAGGCTGCCAGCATGCCAGAGCCATTTTTCTGGCTCTACGAAGCTGGCAGCACATAGAGCATACATTGAGCCCACCACCCAGGGTAGGAGCGGTTCCTTGCAGCTCCGCCAGCCCTTGACCATGGGCTGTGGGGCAACGACGGCCAACGACCCATTGGCGCAGCAAACAAAGTCGAGGGCGCTCCCTTCGTTTGATGAACTTGTGGTCTCTTTGCAGCAGCGGACAATATCTGATGCGGCGAGGCCCGCCAGGGGGCATGCTTTTGCTGTGAAATTGGGCTCACGGAAGGCACATGGAGATGTCGAGCACCTGACAGGGATGGGTAACCTCTTTTCCCTGAGGGAAGAGATCAACCAGGAGGACTCTAAGACATCTTGGTCGTCTTGGGACTCCAGGTCTTGGCAGGATCGCCGCATGAAGGGTCTGGCAATGCCACCGGATCGCAGACGACATCAACGCCACCTGAATGCAGTGAATCGGTTCCAAAGAGAAGTCGAGCGAGCACCTCAAGAACTCATCAAGATTGTCGCCTCACGCCGCTCCGCACCGTTCTACGCCTCTACGCCTCTCAGTGCAAGGAACGATCGCACCGAGGATGCTATGGTGAATCAGGTCAATGAGCCCAAATGAGGAGGTCATGGCCTCGTGACTTTGCGCAGGTTCGAGTTCTCCGTTATATACTGCCTGGGCCTCATCCGTGCACCGGAAGCGCTTCAGCTAGGAACTACGAGTAAGTCGGGGCATGTTGGGGCTACTTTGCGTGCCATTCGGCTGAAGCGTTGACGCACGAAGGCTCCATACGCGATCAGTCGCGAAAAACTATGCGGACATGCTTTTTCCACGGCTGCTGCCGATGTCACTGCCTGACCTGCACCCAGTCTGCGAATTCCGCGACAACGTGTTCACAGACTAAATTGAATTCATTCCGGGCAGGCAAATGGTCACCTTGACGTGGCAACTTCAACCTGAAAGCCTTAAACCTAGCCGACACTGGATGTGCTGTAGTACTGCAGCTTTAGTTCGCTTCAACACATATGAGCTGGAATGTGCGGGTCCAGATCTTGCAAGTGTCAGGCCAGACTATGATTCGGAGTGTAGGTCAAGCACCAGTTCCCATCATGGCTCAAAAGGGCCAGATGTAGTTGTGCTGTTCCGTCACGTTCCCGACGCATCCGACGCTATGCCCAGGTACGTGTGCTTGCTTTTGATCCCAGTTTCTGAAACAGTTCCCGGAAGTGTGCACAGGCTTCACATGGCCTCAGCCAAGCACTCTGCGTGTCACTGGTACTGTCAATCAGTAAATGGAGGTTAGGTAGCTTCACGGAAGACGTAGTAGAAGGCAGTCTGCGAAGCTTGTTCCAAGCGAATGCTGGCGGATCTTGCATGAACGATGCTGCCTTGTATGTTTTCAAGCTGGACGCCAGGCATGCCACAAACAAGTGGCGACCATATACAGTGGCACAACGTGGCAGACCGATGCCCAGCAAGCCTGATGTTGAGATGTACTTGTAGGGCGTTGAATTGTGATGAGGATTGGAGCATCTTGAAATATCTTGAAATATCTTGAAGTGTGAACAGATCTGGACCTGGACCCCACTTTACCCGAAGTGGTGGGTCATCCTGGTGCCCAGTGTGAGGCCACTACTCGGCTGTATACCGTGCATACGAGAACCAAGTGCCACTGCTGAGCAACTCCGGCTGACATAGTGAGTTGCGGCAAGATGCCTGGCCTGAGGAAAGAGAGCATCTGCATTCAGCACGGTTCAGCCCGGATACTTGCCAGAATGTCCCTCACAGCTACTTGCCGGCTGACTTGTTGAGTCATTGAGAAACTCAAAAATGGCCAGGCGGACAAGGCCGATGGATGGTTGCAGCAGATGAAGCAGCGAGGGCTCGCCTGCGATGCGGTGACTCTTAGCATTCTGCCTGTATATGCTGTGTCAGCTGCTGTGCATAGGCAGTTCTTGGGTTGTGACGCTTGGAGAACGGACATGCCTAAGCTAGACACCAAGCTACGCAACACCAAGATTGTGAAACTTGAGAACCTTGATGTTGTGTGCTCGGAAGCGACATGTAGATGTTGCGTGATGACAAGTGCAGCCTTGCAAGTCTAAGGCAGCTTGGCAACCGCCAATGCCAAGCAGGGTCGGTTCATGGGTAGCTTGGCTGTACGTTCAGTTTTCGGTCCGTGTTCACATCTTGCAACAGCAATCGTTCAAGGGCAGTGCTGATTTCGTACTGCCGGAAAGTGATTGGAGTAGCAGGTGCCAGATCAGGCTGCTTTGATGATATAAGGTGCCCCCCAGATGGCTTGACTTCACTTAAACGACGTTTCAGAAGCTACTTGAGTTCAGCAGGGCTGTGAGGTCCGAACCATGCCTTGCAAAAAGATGAGGCAGAGGCCACAAACATCATGACTGCTCATTGAAGTTGCAGATCACACCGGGATCCGTCAACCCCAAAAAAACCCGGCCGCCCCCGACCAGGTGCCGAGGAGTGCCTTCAGGAAATGGGCGAGCAGCGGCTCACACCGAGCCTGGTGGTTTTGAACAGCACCCTGGCAAGAGATACAGAAACACCGCAGGGGCCAAGTCAGGGCCCATACAGCCTTCGGTTGGAGGCAAGGATACTCGACTGGGCCCAGTCAGCGTTTGCACCTTTCCCCGCTTAGCGCGAAGCGGGTAGAAGTCCGAGCTCAAGCCGCTTGAGGTGTGATAAGTGCATGCTCTGAAGCGGGCGAGCTGCAGCGGGCGGAGGAATGGTTAGAGCGGGCGCCGCTCGGATGCAAGCATGGCAGGGTCCTCATGTCCCTACAGTAGTTTTACCGTGCGCGCAGATATGGGTATGTGTATGTATACATAAATGTAGGTTGTGCGATTATTGCACTAAGTTTATTGTAGTTGTAAAGCTCTTAAACATTCATCATGCATCATCTTGGCTCACACGGCCCATGGGTCTCCAGATGCGCTTATTCACCACGCGTGACTGCTAGCCTGGGAGGTATTGGCCCCCGACCAGCTAGCTCAGCTTCGATCCAATCCCCTCCAAATAGACAAGTAAGAAAGCAACCTGCACCCAGACTGCCATAAGCCCAACCACACCCAGATCCGAACACAGGACAGACATGAATCTGCAGCCGGATGTGATGAGCTACAACGGAGCTTTCTGGACCAAACTGGCTTGCTAGTCTTATCTGTCTGTGTAAACCTCGGCTGAAAGCTTCACTGGCGGTTCTTGAAACTTGGGCACCCCGCCCCCCAAGTGTGTTATGGGTGGGGGGGGGGGGGTTCCCAGCTTCGTTTTGCCTCCAGGGTTGGGTACGTGTCGAGTCGGGTGGCTAGGACCCGCATTCTTATGCTTTAGGTGTTTAGGGCTTCGGGCTTGGGATTCAGCACTGCCAGACTGTTGGGCCATGCCCGCAACGAAACATTTATGAGCGGCAGCTTAAAACCAGTAAACTGGAACGCTGAATCCTAAACCTTGAAACCCAGCAGGCATGTGTTTTTTGGGCACGTTGCGGCGCGTCTTCTCGAGGTCATCAACGCTTGTGCGCGGTGTGGGTGTGCCTCACGCCACACGGCCGCACCCCTGCACATGAGTAAATTTTGCAAAAGGGCGGGCCGTCGCGGTTGCTGACACGCGGTTTTTGCAGCGACGGCTTCAGTCGCAGGCTGAGCATTTATCGCAGACAAAGCCGCAGAGTGTCAAAATATAAGTCTTACATTACAGCCTTCTGAGAGGCCAGGAACTAGGGCTGCTGCGGATGATGTTGACCACGATCTGTTGGCCCATAAAGCCTATTTGACTTGCACCAATGGAAAGCTCACTGCTGCTCAAGCCCTTGTTGTCGAACAGCTGCGAACCTGTTGTTTCAAACGCCAGATTCTTGGTATACGGGTTTAAGGCCTGTGTGGGCCTGACAATGGGGCCGGTAGTGAAAAAGTTTTTGATCAAGGGCACGTAGGGACCCCTGGGAACCAATCGGAGCTTCAGAGCCTGTTCGGAACCATCGCTTTGCGGACAACGCAACATCATGTAAGGCAGCCACGCGTGGCGAACAGCCGTCGCTCGTACGCTGACTCACTTCTGCTTGGACGTTTGCGTGCCGTTAAAGCAGACTTACCAAGCATCCTCACCCGGATCGTTTGCCGTTGTTTTCCACTCAGGAGCGGAGTCCTGGCTACAGGAAATGGATGGTCGGAGCATTCAGGCGGGACAAAGCAAAACAGACCAACATGGACTTCAGTTGGAGTCTATTGGGTTGCCAGGGTTGCCAGGGTTGCCAATCAGAGTTCGGTGCGGCACCCTTATGAAGGTTCCCTGTAAGAACGGTCGGAGTTGAAAGAAAGACCAACTGCAACACCAGGTGCCGCACAGCTTTGGTGGCACATATTCCTGGAAATGCGGAAAAGGGATCCTCAGAAGGAGATTTCTGGCCCTTAGTGTTCGGAAAGACCATATTGTCATGGGACTCTACCTCGGACCTTTGAGGTTTGTACCTTGGGGTTTGGGGACCCTAGCAAGGGGACCTCTGAGGGGGACTGTACATCCTTAAAGGTCCAAGTTGGACTCCCTTGATATGATGTCCCTGATTTCCCGTTGTCGGTATTGCCTCACAGACCCTGAACCTTACACTCAAATCGGCTACCAGCCCCCTGGTTCAGCCCACACTTCTCTGCAATCGTACGCATGCTTCTGCCCAGGCGGACGTCGTCACCTTCAACAGCCCCCCGACACATCTCAGTTACCCTTGGACCGAGGAGTGCAGTTTTGGCCCTCCACTCGCCCATTAGAGCCCTCAAGTCCGGTAGCCTCTACATGCAACACTGAAAGTCCAGCCACCTACAAAAAAAGCTCAAACAACGCCGAGAACAACCCTACCCGGTAGTCCCAACAGAACCCTTCCTGTGGAGAGCCCGGCCTATAGGCCTCATCAATGCATGCGCAGAAGCCGGGCAAGCGGAGCAGGCAGATGCAGATGTGTTGAAATTGTAATTAATGGAACTAGAAATAGGTAATCGATAGATCTGTGCAATAATGTTCGCAGAAATGTCAGCCAAGGGGCCCTTTGCTCTTTGCTCTTTGCTGTTGTTCGAGGTCTTTTCTTGTCTAGATGTTCGGCGTTGGGGTTGGCGTTTGCGACTTGGACCTGTGAGCTGTTGCGGGAGGTGTGCATGTGCTCTCGTCTTGATGCGGACTGAGCAAGAAAGGGACGAGTGCGGGCCCTCAAGATCCTAAACTCTGAGTTCCAGACGAACAGTTCACAGTTGGAGGGCGGTAGCCGAAGTCTGACTCCTTGAACTTCAGACTTGAACACATATTCCATGGCAGCCCTCAGTTGCTGAAGCCCACCGAACCTCAACATCTCAAGCCGAACCAAACAAAACAGCCTCACATGCCCTGTTCTCACTATGAGAGGCTGGGCGCCTTTTCATGGCGATGCGTTCGCGCGGCTTTGAGCCCACGCTCGTATCGACCGGCAGCTTCCTGGCAAGATCACTCAAAAGTCAGTGGCAAGATCCGAGCGCTTGTTCAGACTCCAGTTTCTAGCCCAACTTTGTGCTTTCTTGTGCTTTGCTGCTGGGTCGACCTGAGTTATTTGCTTTAGGGTTCTCTCTGGTTGTTGGCTGTGGAGGCAGAAGCTCTGAGGATCTCGGATCACCTGCCAGGATGTGTCTGTTCGGTTCCTCGAGCGGTCGTAGAACCGCAAGCATTCTCTAGCCTATTCTCGCAAAGACATTTAAAATCGTGAGCTGCGGCTGAACTCAGTTTGGGCTGAACTCATGTGGTTGAGAGGGTGAGCTAAGTTGATCTAACAGCCCCAAGCTCGAAGCTGTAGCCGCTGAGCCGCCAATGTGCCAGGTTTGCTGAAGGCCTTCGCGAGAAACGGGGATGCTGACCTTGCGGATCAATGGCTGCAAGAGATGTCCGAGGCAGGAAAGCTTCACACATTCACACTGGGTGTATGATTGCGAGTTCCACAGCATTGCCGTCTCGTTGGGTGCCTCTGCACGGAGTCGCTCCTATGCTTGTGGCACCTTGTGACCTTGTGGTTTTCTTGGGTTCCCACTGGGCCGTTTACTGAACCGATGTTGCTCATATCCTGTAGACCAGCCAACAATGTCAGTTGCCGTGGCAAAGGGGCTCTCCAAGGAACTTCGCTGCTTTTGGGCCTGAAGGGGGCGCAAAGCTACAATTTTTTATATCTGTGTGCCTGCGCTGTCAGGATGGCTTGCCGATACCGGAGGCACGTGGGGATGAAGGGCGCTCGAACACCCCAACTTGATTGGGTCAGGGGCAGTGCACAACCGGAAGTACTCCTTGCCTTGCAGGGCCTGCTCGTATTGTCCAATTGAGCCATGTCCCGTATTTGCGTCTAACAAAAACACATCCCGTATTCCGTATTCCCAGGAGCTCCAGCCTCGGATCAAGTCGGACTCACCAGCCAGGAGCCTCGCAGGAAAGATGAGGGCTGATGTAGGCTTCGCAGGCTTCAGGCCTACCGTAGGACCCTTAGAGGTGGCGAGTAGTCTTGATTCCTGGCTTGTCTCCCGAGAAGCCACAACCACTGAGGACCGGCAGCCCATTGCGGAAGGCCCTTTGTCGTCAAGCAGACATGCTTTCGGCTTTCAGGGCCTTCTCTGATCAGCAAGCTCCAGAAAGCTGTCTAGGCTGCAGGTTTCTTGGTTGAATCGCTCCTGCACTGAAGGCCCTCTACCGCTTCCGTGGTCACGGGGAGGCTCGGCTGGTGGAGCAGCTGCAGCGATCGCTGGAGGCACAGTGGCTCTACGGCCCCCTGAATCGAAAAGGATATTCAGCAACGGAAGGCGAAATAACCTGAGCGTACTTCCGGCCCTATGTTGCATAGCGATTTTGTGGCCTATCCTCAGAATTCCTCAGACAATCAGTCGAGGTCTATACAATGATGACATATGTAGATGTGTAGGGAGAGCCGATCACAACAGCTTCAGATCAGCCTGGCCTGCATTCTGCATTTGCCGTATCCTCAACCATCTTTTCATGCTGTCTGCCGGCTTTAGGGCAAGGTTCTGGATGCACGAGCTGAGGGCTGCAACATGGGTAGTCTTGCACCTGCCCGGGCAACAGCTTGTCACCCCTTCCGCAACATCGTCTACACGCAGGCAAAAGCCCACAACAAAACAGACTGACATCTGAGGTTATCCGAGGCTGCGGGGCGCAACGTTTGGTCGGTGTCGTGCACTCGCTCCTACCGACCCATCACCCTTCTTTTGTTCTCTCCCTTTGCATCTCAATTAGCAATACTGGCTGCATGTACTGTCTGTCTCTTTTCTTCTCTTCTCTTCTCTCTCTTCTCTCTCTGCTCTCTCTTCTCTCTCTTCTCTCTCTGCTCTCTCTTCTCTCTCTTCTCTCTCTTCTCTCTTCTCTCTCTGCTCTCTCTTCTCTCTCTTCTCTCTCTGCTCTCTCTTCTCTCTTTTCTCTCTCTTCTCTCTCTTCTCTCTCTTCTCTGTCTTCTCTCTCTGCTCTCTCTTCTCTCTCTTCTCTGTCTTCTCTCTCTGCTCTCTCTTCTCTCTCTTCTCTCTCTTCTCTCTCTTCTCTCTCTTCTCTCTCTTCTCTCTCTTCTCTCTCTCTCTCTCTTCTCTTTCTGGTCTCTCTTTTTTGCTCAGAGGCTGCGTCTTCTTTGTCTCTCTGCGACGAGCGCTAGCTGTGACTGTTAGCCTGCCCGAGCACTCGCAGACTACTTGAGGCCCCCAAAGCTCGAAGCAACAATTCAAACACCCAAAACTCAAAACAGTTTTGGGAACCATTTAACCGAAACGCAAATGGTCCAAGAGCCCTAAACCCTTCTTTCTTTATGCCGCAGAGCCGGTCAGGGCTTCCCCGGACTCACCTCAGCTGACACACGGCACCTATCAGCCACTCTGCCAAGGTTCAGAACATGTCTTGGTAGGAGCCGCTTTCGATTTTATATCATATTCCCTTACGAGGTTTCCGCCTTGCCTGGCCTGACGGCATTGTTGAGGGACGCCTCAAACTGGGTCACTGTCGCTTCTTCCATCGTGTCCTGCACTCCCCATACATCTGACACCATGTCACCCGACGGTCTTAAGCGGGCTGGTGAGGAAGTCTGGCCCTGGGAGCTACAGGGCGGTCACGCAGTCGAATCATCTCGCCTCACCTGGTACGTAGAAATTCGCAGTGCGGAGTGTCCAAATGTGAATTCTGAGCCTTCACTCGTTGCGAAAGCGTGCGGCGTCCTCCATGGGGCTGCGCTTCTGTTGATATGTACTTGAGCCGCTGATGTGTAAATCTCTCCAGGAGTGTCCACACTGGAGTGATGTGTATTCTGGCAATCCGCTCCTTGTCGTGCGGCCATATACTGCGCAGCAGCGTGTGTGGGCTCCATCTGGCAGGGCTGCGTGCCACCTAAGTGCTAGGGCCTTCGGCCGAACTATACTTTTGGCATTTGCTGGCTCGTTCGTGGTTTGGTAGGCTTGCAACGTTTGCTGCCTGAAACTTTCTCCACTAACAGACTTTTGCAGTTTGGGGGTTGAGGTGAGGTCCAGGTGCTCCATCAAATACCTTCGTGGTTTGCTCGACTTATTCCTTTTGACCCCCCAACTCCTCATGCAAGCTTCAAGAATGTCAATAGAAGAAAAACCATCGGAGGGAGGTCCCAGGGCAAGTTTCAGGGGTCAGCAGGCTGTGGCATGCAAGAGAGCAGCAGAGTGAATGGCAGCCCACGATGCAGCTTTTGTAGCTTCCCTCTGCTTATATTTGAAATACACCTCGGGTCACTCACTGCCACCCATGCCCAGGTATTTGTCCGGGATGCAGCCGAAGACAGCGGGGCTCCCAGAGAGCTTCCGTTTTACACGGTAAGCAACATGGGCGTTCCTTGTACATCGGGTGTCGAGCTCGCTGGCGCCAGCACCTCAACCACCTTCTCGCCCGGCCGCGTTACAATTGAGGTGCGCGGCATGCTTGACGTCGTCCCAGATGCCAAGTTGATCTTAGATCCGTTCTGTGGCTCAGGCACCTTGAGCTGCAGTCTTCCCCAGTCCCCAAAGCAAGCCGGATCCAACCATAAAACTACCATTACGACTGTTCTTGATTCCTCCTACAGTTTCTCTGCCATGGTTCCACGACTGGCCTGCTTGCTTTCGCAGTCCACCTACATAAATCTTCAACGCTAAACATCGCACAATAACAGTGTTAACACGCGTTTGGCTTCCTGTCATCGCTGGTGAAAAGCACAAGCCGGTAGAGTTCCTCCATGGCCATTATCTCGAGTGCCCAGTGAAAATGACATCATGGCAGTCTTCGATTTGCAAATCCAGCTTGCTTCACAGGCCCCAGCTAGTCGATGCCCGAACAGTGGTAGCACCCACTTCAAGTAAAACCAAATGCTAACCTTTATCATGTAATGAACAGTCCAGTTAAAAGACAGCTGTAACCGCCCAGCAACAGCAAGGAAAGACATGGTCACGTGGACAACCAACCATGTCCAACCCATTGTCAAGGCATGGGGCAAGACATGGGTACGCTTCTCGAAGATACTGGAACCATGCATCGGCATCACCGTATCCACCCTCTAAATTATGACGACCCCCGACATAAACCCATGAGCCTTTGGAACGTCAATGCTCAAGACTCCAGACCAAGACGAGGTGCTGTCCTGATCGAAGCCCTGGCCGCCGCAGCCCGGTCGCAACTTTGCTTTAGGAGCCGGACGCAGCCGGAACCGGGAGCCCTTTGCATCTGAGGCCTCGTAGTCGTAAAGTTTAGGCTCGCGGGTGCTCATGGCCAGTCAGCTTCTGTACTACAGAAGCCTCTTGAGGTTAAAGTTTGGCCTTGCCATGTGGCAAAAATGTTCGCTGTCTTAGGGTGGCACGCAGCACAGCAAAACACTTGTCCCAGTCTTCTGTGCTGAGAATTTGAAATCTGCCAGGGGAAGGAAGCAATTGGATGTGATGCGAACCCGCTGCTTGGATGCCGGTTTTTGCTTCAGACAGAGGTTCGCATATGGCATACAGAAACACAAAATACAAAGGCGGCGTACACCAATCAACCGAGAGCCAGTTGCATGAACGAGTTTAGGGCTTAGGGCCTCGGAGTTTCTTTCTGCCAAGATGCTTGCTACAAATCTTGAGCGTGGGGCCATGCTACTTCAGACAGAAATATGCTGCAGCAGTTGATTGGGTTCAGAAAAGAACAGCACTTGCTGCCGGTCATTGCTATCATTCTTCGCCCACCCTGATGGTTTCCAGTCCCAGCATCGGTCGGAGAGAGAAGAAGTGTTTATAGACACACCCTGGAGCGCGCCTCCAAGCAACATCCCCAATCCGAAACGTGTGTTTTCTGCACCAGAGGGCTGTCAGCCCTGTACGGCACTTTTGCATTCAATAGCCCTGAAAAATGAAGCCATAAGACTGGGAGCCGTTGTACTCGTAGGACTTACTCTGAGGCTGGCCATCTTCGTGACCTACCATCACTGCCTCCCGGTATCGGGATGTTTGGTTGAGGCTTCGGCTTGAGACTGACATAACTGCATTTACTGGGCTACAGGACAGGTGCTGCTGGAAGCTTCGCAGATCCCCAACTTGACGCCGAGGTGACCTCGGCCAGCCAGATCTGCATCAGGTGGAGGCGTGGTGGTTGCTTCCACAGAACTTTGAGTCCGAAAGCCAAAAGACGTTCACCGTGGCACTCTGCCTCGCAGCCTCGCAATCCTAGCCACATGCTCCCTCATGGCGGATCGGGCAAGTCAGGTCAGGGGGCACAGCTATCGGGCTCGGCTGGCCTGATAAGCATTCGGTTACCCAGCTTCGTCCTGTGCATCGCGGGAGATCCCGAGTATTACATGTATGTATGGCCCTCCGCGCGCGGCTTTTTTCTGGCAGGTCTTGGCACGTGAAGTTGCTGATGGGCCTTGTGGGCCGTGCGCCTGCTGGCAAAAGTCTGGGTTTCGCGCTGTTGAAACCTCGGGCGCAGGGGCTTGGGGGCCTTGAGAATGGGGTCAACATATGCAGACACTCGGAAATGCTCGAGCTGTTTGGAGGCGTACGCCATGTACACTTCTCAGGGGCATCTACGATTTGAGGGCTGTGAAGTTTCCGCTAGTTGGGCTTGGTGGCTTGGTGGAGCCGAGCCGGAATCCTCCAGCGATCTGGGAACTCAAAGCCCTACTTGAAGGATTGGCAGCAGCTGCAGCAGCGAATTGAGCTCCTACCGCCCTCTGCAGACACGTGGCTTAATATGGTCTGGGCTCAGGGCTGAAGAGTCTTCTATGAGGCTTATCGACTGGAACGCGCCATTTCAATGCTTGGTGATCCACGCGTCCTAAGAGCGCAGCCCAGATGTGCACACTTAAAAACCCACCAGCTCTAGATCAGAATCTCTGCACGGGAGCTAGCAGGCCCTGCTGGCAAATAAGGTCTAAATTCTAGATCCCTCTCTTTCGATATGGCTCAGCTGTGGAGAAGGGTCGACGGCAAATGGAGAGTGGCAAAGAGATGCAGAGTTGGATGAAGATGGAGAATGGAGAGGCGAGTCGGATGATGCTAGAAATGGTGATAACCAGGAGACGGGCAAAGCCGAAGAAGCTGGCCACGTGAAGAAGTTCTTTAGCACATCTTTGTGCTGGTTCCGTTATTTGGGTGGCCGGGCGCCTCCACTCTTCGGATCTCTTTAAGTCGCGAAGGGAGCTTCGAGATGACTCGACATTCCTGTTGGAAGGGCCAAGGCCTCAGTAGAACGCCATGGAACTGCCTACGGGCTCTGAGCACTGAGTTTGGCAGGCTTCGACGGGTCAAGCAAGGAAGGCTCCACGAAACTCGGGATAAGCAAAGGGCTGTCCGTGGAGCCTTCGAAGGATTCCACACGTCCCATGGCAACCATGGCAACATGCGCAAGTCTCGTACAGGAGTCTGCATGATTTCCAGGAGTATCCCTTGATAATCTGTTTATGACGACCCATTTCCTTCTGCATGAGCCTTAAAGAATCTGACATTGGCTCATGGCCACGGTTTTTGATTTCCAACAATGCCCAAACCGGTCTCAAAGCTCAGCCAAATCCCCGCCTTCAGCATTGCAACAAATATTGCCCCTCTGCCTGTACGTGCTGTGTACGCATCCTAATCCTGAACACCCCGACCCATGGACTCCTCCATCGAGGAGAGGGATGCGCTCTTCTTTGCCTACGCAGTAGGCTCCGGGGCGGGACTTACCCCACTGACCTTTCTAAGGCGTTTGACTGCAAAGGGCGTGAGGATGTGTGCAGATGAGGCTTCTGCGGGGGTTAGTGGTTGCTGCAGTGGCAGCATATTGCAGGGTTTTGCCTCTGCAGTGTTCGCAGTTCAAGAACACCTTTTGCCAGATTTGTTTGACTTTCTCTGGTTGTTTTGCACTCCGTGCCCAAATTCATGGGCCATGAGCCATGTGGAGCCTACTCTGTTCCTTGCACATTGGCTGAGCGTCACGCGCCGAAGGCTTCAACATCTCCTCAGCCAAGGAATCAGAGGCCCGGCGGTTTGCGTCCTTTGCACATGCGCGAAATGACAAAAATCGGAAGATGACCGCGGTTTTAGAAATCAGGAACGGTGCTGTAGCTGTAGCCGCTAGCCCTGAGGCATTTGTGAATCTAAGATGCTTCGGCCAAGTTTAGGCTCTGTAAAGGTCAGAGCTGAGAGAAGCTCCCTTCTTCGGCCTCCGGAGCTCGCCTTGTAACGACAGACAACGGCAATGCGAGAGAGGTAGAGCTGACCTTGGGAGTTCCCTTCAAAAGATGAGTCTCAATCCCAGATCCCTCTCAGCCCATCTCAGCTGCTCCTGACTTGGGCAGGCATCCGGTGAACGTGTACGAGCCTACTTCATGTCCACAGCTCGACGCTACTGCGCAAGGGTGGAGTCTTTGCGAGCGTGGCTGGACCAAACATTTTTTAGGGGTCGGAAATTTAATCACTGATGGTGTTCTCTTGCGGTTCCTATATAATTGTACTATAGTAACCCCCGAAAACCCTACTTTAAGTATTAAGGCCCCTATATCCATCATCAGGAATTGTGGAGATCGGGATGACAGTTCCGAGGCTCCGTTTCTTGCGACCAGGAAGGTGCGTTACGGATTGCGTGCCGAAGCGACCTGTAGTAGGGTAGCATGTTCTGGTTGACATCGGACTAAGGTCCATGGAGGCTCCTTGTCTGAAAATTCGTGAACAGGCCTCAAACCTCTTCGGGTACCGTAGTGTGTTTGTGATTTTTTCTGGTTTGTTTTGGTGTTTTTTCCTGGTTTTTTTTGTCAAATTTAAGGCACGAAAGGAAGGAAGGAAGACAGGAAGAAAGAAAGACTGCAGCCAGAAAGCAAGAGAAAGAAAGAAGAAAGACATAAAGAACGAATGGCAGGAACAGAAAGAAAGACAGAAACAAAGAAAGAGAAAGAAAGAAAAAAGAAAAACAACTAAAGAAATACAGAAAGAAAGAAACAAAGGCAGGAATTGAGGAAGAAAGAAAAAGAAATAAATATGAAAGACAGCAAGAAAGCAAGAGACAGAAAGGAAGGAAGGGAGGAATAAAGGAATAAAGAAAGAAAGAAATGAAGAAAGACAGCAATATAGAAATAAAGAAATAATGAAAGAAACAAAGCCAGGAATGGAGGAAGAAAGAAAGGAAGAACGCAAGAAAGAAAGAACGACAGAAAGAAAGAACAAAAATAAAGAACGGAAGGAAGAGATGAAGAGAGGCATAAAGCAAGAAAGAAAGAAAGACAGCAAGAAAGAGAGAAAGACAGAAATAAATAAATAAAGGAAGGAACGGAGGCAGAAAGAAAGGAAGGAAGAAAGAAATAACGAAAGAAAGAAAACACAGAGAGCAAGAAAGCAAAAAAGACAGAAAGAAAGAAAGAAAGACATAACGAGCAAAAATAGGAAGGAAGAAAGGAAGGAAGGAGCTTAGGGTTCCGCTCGCTTCGCACGTTCCTGGTTGACCCGAAAACCCTAAGCCTTAAACCGTAAACCCTAGACCCCCCAAAACCCTGGTCATTTTGTGGAACCTGTGAGGATACAGCAAACGCGCTTCGACGTTAGTAAACCCGAAGGATTTAGGTTTGTAGGGTTTAGGGTTGCAAAAAGTGTTGTAGGGAAGGGATTACGGCTTTAGCCTGGGTCCGGTGTCATTTTTGCCCATGTCTGGCTCTGCCTTTTCCCTTTCTTAGGTCTGGCTTGTCCTGCGGTCCTCTGGTCCTGCGGTCCTCTGGTCAAATGGTCCTCCGTTCCCCTGGTCAGGAGACCGGTCCTGCTGTCCAGCTGTGCAAGCTTGCTTTAAGACATGTTAAGACCATACCACTCCGCTGAAAACCCTCAAAATACACAAAACAAAACCCAAAAACACATAGAAAAGAATTCCAAGCATACGAGGAGGACAGGCATGACCAGGAGGCCATGTTCTGAAAAACCACAAGAAAAGCAAGAAACAAAAACACAAAACAAATGACAAAAAACACTTCGCTCCAACCTCTTCTACGACCACAGCTGCAAGACTGAAGCTTGAATCATGGGCCACTCTTCCGTTAGAGCTTGTTAAGCCGCTCCCTTCCTCCGGGATGCAGCTCCCAACTGCTCCTCCGACTGCCACCTTCCCCCCCTATAAACCCTGTTCTTCCGCCGACTCAGCCGAAAGCAGGGGCCGCCCAAAGCGACGCTCTTCAACGGTGACATGCGGGAACTGGCTTTGGCGACGCCCGCAGACGCTATCCTGACTTCGCCGCGCCTGGACCACACCTATGTTGTTTCGCAGATGTCGGGCGACCTTTTGGATTGAGGATGCTTCAAGTCACACTGGCGATGACAACATCCACAGGTAGCACGTAAGGTCATCAAAGGCTCTTAAACATGTGAGACGGCCCTGCACTTGTCATTGCCTTGCCAGCCAAGGCCCTACCCTGGGGCAACCCAGCAAGTTTCAGCTCTGCTTTGGACTGCTTTCTGCTCATTCTCGCTCATGCTTACATCGAGCAAGTTGCGGCGAACACAAACTGCAACAAAGCGTTCATGCAAACAGCCGACACGCTCCTGCACGCAGAAGATGCTTGCAAGTCACGGGATCTCCCGTCTGCAGATACGGAAGTTTTTCGCGCGCCAGCTTCTAGATACTATGTGAGTTTCCTCCCGACAGCCCACATCTTCACATCCTGACTGCGGGGCGTACTGTTGAGGAGTAGGAGCTCACATCCCAACGCGCTTCCCACCTGGTAAGGTTTACAACTTCCTGCCGCAAAATCAGAGCGGGACCAACCCCGCAGAGGCATGAACTGCCCCTTTGCAGTGTTTCTCGAGGTCTTGGGGTTCAGGATCCTGCATAGCATGACTGAGCCTACGAGCACGAGGATGAAAGACTTGCAGGCAAGAATGGGCCCAAGCATGTGTAGCACAAATAGTTAGAGGGATTCAGGGGTGCTGTGTTGAATTGGGACTAGTTGATGGTTCTTTCCGGCGGATGGTCGCTATGTGCCCGCGAGAGATGCTTGAATTCTTCCCTGCCAGCGAGGATGAAGCTGCCCTTCCGACCTGCTGCAGCCTTCTGCAGACCCCCTAAACCCTTGCATACCCTAAACGAAACCTTCAAGCGATGTGGATTCGCCCCGGCCCCAGGCCCCAGCTGTGCAGGAGGAAAAAAATCCCCCCAACCCCTCGACCCCCCTCATTTACTCCGCCCCCAAAACCCGATCCAGCACCTCTTAGCACCTCTACAGCACCTCTCGGGACCGCGCAGGCCGCTGCTCTGCATGGCGTGGCTCTGAATGCAGCTGTGCGGGGTTACGACGCTGCCTTCCAGCCTTCGGCGCCGGAGCACGTTAGGGCTTTAGAGCTCGTTTGGCGCTTATGCCACACAATCTAACACGGCAGTTGCCAAGCTGTTGCGCTGCCGGCTGTTCGATTTGGAGTTGGGGATTTAGACTCTGGTGTACTTTGTTTGCATGTAGGAGATTGGTGCGCGGTGCACGTGGGCGAGCGACAGCATGACCGCATTCTCCGAAACGTGGCAGCGGCAGCAGGAGACCTTTCTTGGCAGTCGCTAGCCGATCAAAGCCTTCACGGGCCACGGCATGTTCTTCGTCGCAGGAGCAGTGGCTGCGGTCGGCTCGGGGATGCCTGAAGCCAGGCAAAGACATGTCTGTGCTGACATCGAAGACTTTTTCCAGCTCTGCGACGTGCATGCGAAGTGTGGAGTTGAGAACCCCCATTCCTTGCAAGTTTCCCAATCGTGCTGAGCTTTGACCATCCTTGGCTTGCTAGTCTACAGTCTAAGTGTATACTGAGTACTGATCTTCGGTCCGTCTTAAATATGGCAAGAACATTTGATCCATTGTCGTTCCTTGCTACGGCCGGCCAGGCGGAACTGCGACCTTGATGATCGGCGACGGCGATTCCTCTGTGGAAAATGGTGTCTTGGCTGAGCAACCCATAAATCTTAGGACTCGCAAACCGCAACCTAGGCGCCCAAAAAGCGGCTCAAGGCTCAAGGTGAGGGCATCTAGGATACTTCGGGGCTCCTCGTTTGCCGGGGTGCCGAGCCACGTCTGCTTGCTCATCATGGAGGCCGCGAAGGGTCACTTGCTCTCTGAGCCAGTCCAGGGTCAGAACACCAAGTACGCGTCGATGATCATCTCCGAGAACATAGAGGAGGAGCTTCATCGCCAGGGCGCCTCCTCCGACACGATCGATTACCTCAAAGAGGATGACGAGATGACGCATCTGCCGATACGGTTGATGGCGCTCGACGGATCAATTCGTCCCTATGCTTTGCGGTTCATTTCCCACCTGCTTCGGGCGTATACTTCGGATCAAGGCATTTGGTTTCACGCGGCCCTGCTTCTTGATCGTTTCGCAGCAAGCAACAGCTTTCGCTTGGAACAGCTGCCGCTGACTTGCGCGTGCTCAGCGAGCCTTGCCTTGAAGTGCGCATCGGAGCGGCCCTTTGCAGACCAGAGCTCCCGCTGGATGATCTTGATCAATGACTTTGCAGAGTGGTTGGAGTCCACGCAGAACTGCGTGACTTCTGAAGTGTCCAACGAGGCACTCGCGCTGCATGAGAGGACGGTTTTTGAGGCACTCGATTGGCATGTGGGAGCCGCCTGTGTTGAGCAGTGGTACCTCGCTTACTTCACTCGCTTTGAATGCATGGTGGGTCAGGAGTTCCAAGCTCCTATCCTACAGATGCGAGCCACGTTTAGGCGGTTCGCACGCACTGTGGTGTTGTGCTTCCCAGCGTCTCCGATGCTTAGCCATGGCAAGCTGGCCACCGGACTGTTCAGCCTGTGCTTTGTGTATGGGGGCCTGCTGCCAAAGGCCAGCCTCAAGCCGTCGACCATGAGTGCTGCAGAGTGGGGCGCGCTTTTTGCGGCGACTCCTCCAGGCCAGCTGCCTCCATACTCTTGTCCACAGGCTGAGACAATGAGGCTTATGGACGTGCTTTGCCTGGTCGTCAAGGAAGAGCCAGATGACATCCGCGCCTGGTCAGGGCATGCACTAGAAGCTTTGGGCGAAAGCTTTCGGCAACTTAGCACCTTCCAAGTTGAGGGGGGGGGGCAATAGCTAGATTCCTCGCCCGATATTCAAAGTGGGGTGGAAGGGCGCAACAAGTGCATGTTTGGGTCTTTCGAAGCAGACACTTTGGATGGTTTCAGTCGCATCTTGAGAAATATCGAGTAGCTTGCCCCTCCTCAGTCTTGCAATTTCTTGGTGAACTCTTGAGTATTGTGAGCGTAGGATGGCTTCAGAATCTCAGCGGTTGCAGAGCAGAACATTGCTCAGCAAGAAGCTTCAGATCCTGGTGTGTAGCTCAGACAAGCCAGTTTGGAAACCGACCACCAGGAACCACCATCTGGATCACGGAAGCCCCGGAGAGCGTGCGGCTTGGGACTTCGACCACACTCGCCAAGCAAGGATTGCATGACGGCCCAATTGGGTTTTAAGTTTTATGCTCGGATATTCAGTTAAGTCATAATGTAAGCCCTGAGCAGTTGCCAGCGTTGATCTGCGAGACTTGCTGGGCATGTATCTTTGATTTCGCAACATGAGGCACAAGTGCCTCCTTCATTTTCAGCAGCGCTCCGCACGGTGCATTCGCACCACCTAGGAGATGTCTGCATTCTGAATCCACAGCGGCTTCACGATTGTTTGTTATTCTGTCCCCTACTGGTACTCGATTGGTCAGGTCATATGATGCTGCTATGCTATCTGCTGGTGTTTGATTGCATACTTGAAGATCGAGGTTCGCTCATTCGCTCGGATTCACGTAGAACGTCTGGTTCATTTGTGGTAGTTGCCAGCTTTGCATTGCGGTGCGGCACCTCAGCTGGATTCTATGCAACTGCTATGCAACTCTGAAGTCTTTGTGCTTGTGATGGCCGATGCCCACTGCTGAAGTCTTTGTGCTTGTGATGGCCGATGCCCAGTTCTTATAGTGCTGAACCCACAGGGGCAATCTGCGACGTCACTTGCAACTGCGTTGTGTCAAAGACTTTGTTGGGTCTGTAGACGGTGGTGTATTACACCTTCTCTTCGAACTGTAAAGGCAAGAGACGGCGACCGAAAGAGGTCAGCTAGGCGGGTGGCGAAAAAGCTACACAGAAGTGTCGCAACGACATTGCGAATGCTAATCTGGACCAGTTCGGCAGGCGTCTGCATGAAGTGTTTTCAGGGTTCGTCTGTTTGGGTTGTTCGAGTAGCACACATAGTCACGCAGTCTAAGATGCAGTTAGTCTGCTGCGAAGGACGTGTCTTGCATGCCTGTCCGAAAGTGCATCGTGCGGCAGCAAGGGCTGCAAGTGCCCCATAAGCCCTTCAACACCTATGTTCAAGCTCGAACTGGGAGCAGCCATTAGGATCAAAATGAAACAAAGGGGATCAATAAGAAAATAAACCCTCAACGCAGGTACCTTAAACGCCTTCCGACAAAAAGCTGTGGCTGCACCCAGTGCGCCTGGAACCTTCGCCCTGCCCGACACCCTTGCGTCTTGGTAAAGGTTTGGTGGTGAAGTCTGCCCTACCAGTCCTGCAACTGCGTGCTCAGACCTGCGAAAGCCAGGGAGTTGTGTTCGTGCCCATGGTTGTGGAGGCCACTGGGACGTGGGAAAAAGGTGCGGCCATCGTGCTTCGGCACATCTCGCGAGCGAGCGGTGGCCTCGCGACTGGGCGAGGAGCCGGACGCTGTCCATGCCACGCTGCTCCAGGAGCTTTGCGTCCTCGTGCGCGGCTTCCGGGCCAGAGCTGCTATGAGACGCAGGCGTGAAGTCGCTGCCTAGCCGGCCAGCCACTGGAAACCTTGCTCGCAAAGCTTCCTCCCCTTCTCGCACACCTGCCTGGCCTCCGCTTGGGTCTGTCAAGCTCTGCTCACGTCGTGTTACGGCCCTTCGGCATGCGTGGTGCTTGAGTTCTCGCGGGACGCCGGAGACTCATGCAGGTGTCGGGGGCCTCGCCCTACGGCCGACCATGCCCTCTGCCGTGTTGTCGGGGTGGACGCATCCCGCATCATCGGGTGTCGGACGCAGTTTAGCATGTTGTCCTGGTGCTGCACTTCGGCGCCGCCCTCCGTGTAAACCCTCGGTTGCTTATTTATCTTGATCCTTGTTTAGTTTTTATCGATCCGGCAGTCATTAGACACACAATGGGGCTGACCAAGCCTGAAGTTAGCATTGAACCTGTGCCGAATCCAAGCAACGCCGCCCCAAGCTTTGCTCATGCATTCGCATTGCATCCGAGTCAAGCATGATAAAGCGAGCCATGATGATTGGTCTGATCTGCTGGTGTTCTTGCTTGTTTTGCCAGAGATATGCGAGGTTTCGACAACTTGGCTTCGACCTTGGCTGCTGCGGAGGCCATCCTCCTGAAGGTTTCAGCAGGGAAGTGCACAGCAACTGTACACGAAGACTCCGCATGCCCAATACTGTGCTCTTCTTTTCATTACGTTTGAGCTTTAGGCATGAAGAGGCCACGGAGCGTGTGTTGGAGCCCCTCTCGCAGAAACGTGCCTCCCGAAAAAGACCGTTGGACCCGGCCGTACTTGCAAGTACAAAGACCGAAACGGGGTATGTGCGAGCCGACAGCAGTGGCGGTAAGAGGGAGCTGTGGGTAAACTAGCGTAGCAATGTTTCGTTCGTTGCAATTTGACCCAGGTACACGGGCCGTGTCGGGGGGGGGGGGGGGGGGGGGGGGGGGGGGGGGGGTAACGCAAGAAGTAGTAAGCAGTAGTAGGAGCGTTAGGGTAGTGATGTTGGCAGAGGCAGCGGCAGAGAAGGAGGAGGGTATGAGGAACAGTAAACGTATTAGTCGCAGTAGTCGTCGTAGTTTTGGCTTAGAACTTACGACACGCATTAAAAGTTTTGTTTTTCTTTTGGTGGGGGGGAGGGGGGTGGTCTTGAACATTTTTCAATATGTGTAACTATATGATTTTACTTATGGTCGCAATGGGTTTAAATCAAGTGAGCCTCAAAGGAAAAAGGTCACGAAAAGAACCTTCGAGGCCGTTGGCTTTGAGGCCATGGGCTGGGCAACCATCGAACCCGTTGCGGACGAAGCGCACAGGAGCAGCTTTTGGGGAAAAATTGGACACCGGGACTCTCAAGGCTTCTTGGGCTGTTGTGTCGCACGGTACATAGCTTGAAAGGGTTCAACATAGGTTTCTCTAGCAGGGTGTGCCAGTTCGTGCGATTGTTGGGGGAATTGGTTCCAAGGGCGCTGTCCGCTGACAGGACCAAAGGAATGCAACGGACGGAGCATATGGTACACCTGGTGGCGCGCGATTTGCAAGAAAAAAGGAGTTCTCCGGTAGCTCGCATGAGAGCAACTCTTTGGTCCTCATCCCTGTTTGGCAGAGCATGGAGTGCATCTGAAGAGGTACACCTGCCTGTCCTACATCCGTTCACGCCACGTGACAGAGGAGCCATGACCCAAGATTTTGATGTTGGGTTCTGTATGATCTATAGCTTGGGTTCAGGTCTCTCTCTTCTTGGGGGGTCCCTCGGGCCACTCTGGTAGGCCGAGCGTGTTTTTAGCATGTAACAATTCTCGATTCACCAAAACACCCACAATGAACGAACGGGGGCAGCTGGCAGGTGGGTTCAGCCTCTGACGCCCATGGCGCGGTCGACTTTTCGCAAGAGGAGGAGAAAACCCTCGATTCTAGATTCTAGGTGTAACGAAACAAACCGACTTACAAACTAGGGGGCTTTTGAGGTCCCCGAGTCAATGAAGCCCAATAAATAGCAGAAGCCTCCCAGAGTTCGAGAGCCCCCCCAACGGCGGACTGCTGAGGTCGGAAGTCTATTCCTTTGGCATCGTGCTGCCACAGCCAAAGCTTTCTGGGGTCGGATTTCAGACTGCAAGTTTAAGGAGTTTGGGTGTTCAGGAGCCGTGGGAAATTGCCTGTTGCATTCGCCGCAACCACACGCTTGATCTACATATCCCTTTCCAGATGAGACGAGAGACCTGGCGCACGCAGAATGGCGCAGTTGTTTGCCATGCAGGGTTGCGAGGAGAACAGTAGCACAAGGCACAACTTGGAACATGCGTTGGCCCTCCTTCTGCATCCGCCGAGTCAAAAGCACAAGAGATAACCCAGCCGTATCACGACAACGAAAACACAAGGGCATATGAAGCACTATTGAGGCTTGAGGAGTCTGAAGCTTCAAGACGCTGGTAACCCCAAACCCTAAACCCCAAGAAGGCTGGAGCTCTTGATCAACCGACCGCCGGCACTGGCATCGGCTCACGGGGACATGGTGCCAAGCCCAGGGCTGTGTCCAGTATCTTCGGCCCTCAAAAATTCGCCAACTTCCGCAGACTATGAAACGACCGCAAAATACCACAAAATAGTTACGCCCTCGGAATCCCCAACGGGCTTGACAGTTGCTCTTGCGGAACCTGAAAGACTGGGCTGCATTCGTCAGGTGGTACCTCCTTTGGTAACCCCTCCCGATTTACTCAAGGCTTCCCGCGCTTACTCAGAATCCCCGAGTTTTTTTGATCGGAGTCCCTGGCGAGGTCCCCCGTGGAGTGGTGGATTTTGAGTGGTTTGCTTTAAGTTCGACCTGCAATCCCAGCAATCCCTGCAAGCCTCTAATTGTAATCCTTTCGCGACACTTCTAAGCACCACGAACTTTGATCCGAGTGCGCGGCCCAAGGCCCGAACCCCCTGAAACTCTGAACATCCCCGCGCAGGTCTTCCCCATCCTCGAAGCTGTCCAGCCTTATGTGGGCGGGGCTCATGGACGGCTGATGCAGTGCTCAGCACCCAGAGCTGGGTGAAATGTCGAGATGTTCCTGTGAAGGGTTCCTAACAATAGTGACGTTGGCTCATGGAGGCCGGAGTTTAAGTTTGGGCGCCAAGGAAGCAAGACCCTTCAAACCCTGAAATGCATGTTTTCGTGTCGAAGTTTTGAGGTTAGCCAGCCCAAGCCCCAAGACAGTCCACTTCAAAGTAAAGCAGTTTCTCAACTCGGAAATCGGCCCGCCGGATACTGAACCATAACGCAAGGGGAACCCTATAGGTCAGCTGCAGCGTACGCTTGATCTGCACTCCCCTCACAAACTCCCAAGAACACATCGCCAGGCCTGGATCCGTCGGCGCGGAGCTCAAGGTTCCGTCAGAGCTTTGAGAGGACCCTTTGAGAGGCTTTAGTGGGCAGAAGCTGTAGTCAAGGATTTAGGGGGTTCAGGGTTTAGTCCGCGCCCCAGCAATCTGTGGCGAGAGTCCTGAATGCAAGAAAGGGGTTTTAGAAAAAGGGGTTGTCTGCTGGGCATCAGCGGAGCATGTTGCTGCCGACTGTAAACTGAGGCGGTTTGGCCCCGGCAAGTGGCTGAGGAGTTCGGTGATCTAGCATCTCGGCACATATTGTTTGAAAGGCTTACATAAACTTTAAGTCATTAGTTCCGCTAGGTTTCGGGTTCTGCTGGTTCAGGAGGCCGAGCCTGAGCCCTTGATGCAAATGGCATCCGACGAAATTGGCTTTAAGACATCCGGTTCTCCGCAGACCCTACTAAGCCCCACTCAGCCCCCTTAGGGCGTTTCGTCCTGCGTCGGTGTGTGCTGTTACTTTGTGGGTGCCTTCCTATGGTTCCCCAAGCTGCCTATGCGAAGACTCAGACATGGCTGTGTTGTACATGGGCAAGGTGGATGAGCACTTTCTTATACTATGGAAATCATGGGCTCGCAGGCCCGAACTCAAGTGCGACTCCAGTGCGGAGAGCGCAGAAGACGCAAAAAAGCAGAGCTTGTGGACATCCATCAACATCCGCCAACCGCCAACCCTCCGAGCCTCAGGTCCTCAGGTTCCCCTGCTCAGATAAATTAAAGCATTTTTTCTTTGGACCTCTTGGACAGATTCCGCGCAATGCAACTCCGTCGTCTTGCAAATCTGAGCCTTAAAGCTCCGCAAAGCGCACAAACAACGCCCAGGCACTGGGTTGTGGCACCCTCGGAGCTGGAGAACCAATGGAGTGTTGTGGAATTTGGGTGAATCTGGTACCAGTACCTGAGATGTGCGCTTGAAAAGGATGAGGTTCAGCTGCCGTTTAGGGTTTCGCGTTCGGGGAAAATGGCTGCCGGTATGAAGCTGGACTTAAGATGGGAGGTTGAGCATCTGCGGCTACCATATGTCACCTTGTTGATCTTGTGCTGCGCGGTGCGAAGGTCTCGACCCCGTTACAGCCCGGCGGCCGGGTTTCAATAGTGCCGCCTGTCTACAAGAGGGGGTGAGGGAGGGGGCGCATATGGGTTGAAATGCGACGTGGCACAGCTTGCTTTTCACAGGCATCTGTCGGGCTTGCGCGAATGTTGTTGCTGTTCTTCTTCTTAGGGTTAAACGGGCTTGCGGTGTTTGGCCCAATATGTGGGGTCGTGTGCACTTTGTCGGTGTGCTCGAATCGGCGTAGCCGCAGGTGAGTTGCCACACGATAATCCCCTCGACAATTGTTCGGCAATGGCATAATGGGATGTCGGCCACAAGCCTATGCACTCCACGAGTGCGCATCGGATCCCCTCCAGCTGGAGTGATGCAGGTGCGTGCTTCAACCGCTGCCTATGCATGCAAACACACACACACACACACACACACACACACACACACACACACACACACACACACACACACACACACACACACACACACACACACACACACACACACACACACACACACACACACACACACACAACACACACAGCCCGCGCGCGCGCGCGCGCGCGCGCGCGCGCGCGCACGCACGCACGCACGCACGCACGCACGCACGCACGCACGCACGCACGCACGCACGCACGCACGCACGCACGCACGCACGCACGCACGCACGCACGCACGCACGCACGCACGCACGCACGCACGCACGCACGCACGCACGCACGCACGCACGCACGCACGCACGCACGCACGCACGCACGCACGCACGCACGCACGCACGCACGCACGCACGCACGCACGCACGCACGCACGCACGCACGCACGCACGCACGCACGCACGCACGCACGCACGCACGCACGCACGCACGCACGCACGCACGCACGCACGCACGCACGCACGCACGCACGCACGCACGCACGCACGCAACGCACGCACGCACGCACGCACGCACACGCACGCACGCAGCACGCACGCACGCACGCACGCACGCACGCACGCACGCACGCACGCACGCACGCACGCACGCACGCACGCACGCACGCACGCACGCACGCCGCACGCACGCACGCACGGCACGCACGCCCGCCGCCGCCCGCACGCCCGACCGCCCGGCCCGCCCGCCCGCCGCCGCCCGCACGCCCGCCCGCCGCCGCCCGCCCGCCCACACGCCCGCCGCCCACACGCCCACACGCCCACACGCCCACACGCCCACACGCGCACACGCGCACACGCGCACACGCGCACACGCGCACGCACACACACACACACACACACACACACACACACTCGCCCTTTGTGGTATGAGATCGCAAGCCTTCAGAGCGGGTCACTCAACAGCTCTTTCCTGGGAAGCTCAACAACCAGCTGTTTTCCATTCTGGTGGGGAAGAAAGAAGCTCACAGAAGGATTCAGGGCCTCCCCTCGACTCCCAAGCCCTTACCCCCTACACGCCTTCATTCAGCCAGGTAGTCAAGTCCCTGGCCCGACTGGCGACGCTGCGCCCCCGCGGGCCTGAATCCTGGCATCATGACCACCAGCACTGTTTCAAAAAAGCAACGTCAAGCGGGCATCCGTTTTTTTTTTTTTTTCTCCTGTAGCTGCGTTTGATTTATGGCTTCTGCTTGGGAAGTTGGCAAGGCTTTCGGTGCTTGCTTCGGTGAAGAAGCCCTCAGAGCAACCCCCTACATCCTGTCTTATGGGATTCTGAAGAAATTGGCCCCTAAATCCCTGTCCCCATAGCTGCAGGACCGACTGTTGTCAAGGCCGTTTGTTGGGTGTACTTGGATGTGTCTTGACTTCTCAATCGGGCCAGACCATGCGGTTCTATCGCGAGGGGAAAGACAGGAAGTTCAAGCACCCGCACGACGCGTCTGTCCGGTTTCACGGCTCTCGCCTACTCGTTCTAGGTCAATCATCGCCCTCCCGCCCGGGCACCCCTAGAGTCCTAGTCCTAGACGAATGCGAAGTTTGAATCAAGCTCCCACCTGGGCCCGGTGCACTTTTGAGGCTTGCATCGCTCCATGTTGCGAATGAACGTGGCAGGGGCTTTCCTGTCTCCCGGGCTCTTGGATTCACGTGTCCTTCTACTGTCCCGTCCGCATTCTACGTCTGAGCCTTGCGCGGTAGCGACCCTGTCAAAAAAAGGGCGAACCGATAGCCATCGGCAATCCACACGCCGACTTCCCAGGTCGTTCGCTGTGCAGGTGGAAGAGGAGCGCGTCACCGACCCGCAAGATTCAATGCAGTTCCATGTGTGGTTGCATCATGCGTGGTTGCATTCAGCAGGCTCCGGATCTTGAAGCCCTTGAAAATGGGACTCCCCTTGATGCCCCCATGCCCCGAGCACAAAGGCTCTACATCGCGCATGATCACTGATTTCATAGCACGTGGGTTGCTCCGTGGAGCAGTCAGCTCAGATCTCAAAGCATAGTTAGAAGAATCCTCAGCGCATCTCAGTGCTTCAGTCAAGATCCCGAACGCTTCAACCGAAAACCCCCCTTGCCAGCTGGACATCTGTCAGGGCTCCCTCGAGAAAGGCGGAAGCAGCCCGTGCGCCCGACAACCTTTGGTCAGGGCTTTCGAAGGTATGGGGAGATTCGTTTTGCGGACTTTGAGGTTGGAGCGGTCGACCTGTCGCTGCTCATGCCATAGCGATAAGAAGCACCAGACGCATGCATCAACATAATCCTTGAGCTTTGAAGGAGACATGAAAAGAGACCTCGCTGGCGTGTGATCTTGGGGAACTGTTACGAATTAACATCCCAAAGTCCGGAAGGGTGCTAACGATTGATGAATGTTGATACTCTTTCTCCTTGCGAAGAAAGCTCGAGACTTACTGTCCAAGCCCGTGGAATTCTGAAGCTCCCTGTCTCCAAGTATCCGAGTAACATTCTCTGTACCCTTGTCCGCCTTGCCCTGCCGTTGCCAGGTCCGATGGTTCCGCATCGCCGGAAGGCAGGGGATCAGAGCGAAACTACAGCAACGCCACCGAACTCATGACCAAGCTCCGGGCACATGTTTCTCCGACTGCTCCTTGTTTCCCACGAATCTTTCTTTAGCCGGAGGATGTAGTCATGGCATTGGCAGAGTCCCTATCTGACAGGCAAGACGACTGTCGGATTTGGTATGGCTCTAAGACAATGTGGTGAGGTGCCTTGTCAGAGAGCGAGGACGTGCAGTGTTGCACTAGCGCAGAAATCGAGGTTGGTCTTCTTGGTGGCACTGACTGGACTTGCTTAGCAGGGCCAAAAACAAGTAGGCCGACGAGTTTTTGAAGTTTGGAGGTTGGGTTTGACAACTCTTGGCGCAAACTGTCGCCAGCCGTTCTTGCACCGATAATGCCAACGAGCTTTGCGGCGGCTCGTGAGCAGCTGCCCAATTCGTGCACAGGTTAAATTCGAGCCCTGCAACTTAACTGTAAGGCATCTCAGCTCCCCCGCATGTACGAAGTTTCCTTGGAGCTAGGATCCGGAGCTTCGCATTTGCAAAGCGTTCACGAAGTTGCAGGGCATTGAAGTTTGTTGCAGAGTTTGAAGAAGTTGCCAAGTTGCACCTTCAGAACTTGCAAACAAATGCTCTCCAAAAGCAGGATTTGGTGGAAGCACCCCCTTCGTCGTTAGAAGTTAGAAGCCTTGTCGAAGGTTGTTTTCGGTTCGGGACGTCACCTGTCAGGAAGTTCCGTATGGAAATTTGGGGTGCGGCGGTTTTGTTTTTTTTTGAAATTTGCAGCTCGGGTCTTTTGATCTTCCATGTTGGCAGCGAGGTAGCGAGACCCTAGTGAGTAAGCGCGAGCCGCGCCATTCGTGACCCTGCAGCCCAAAATGGGCCCCCGTCGCCCAATTGGCCCAAAACGATCTTGTGCTACACCTGCAGCGCCATGCCGTTCAGACTTGCCGCCCGTACGACAGGGAGACAAGGTATTTCTTTTTTCTCCAGGATGGCAACGGCCAGCTGCGTTTCTGCGATTGGCATCGCTTCACTGGTCATATTGATCTTTATCGCTGCACTGATAGGGGAGACCTACCGGATGCCGCTGGAAGCCTTCTATTGAAGCACGTGCCGCTGTGGCGGCGCCCGTCTGCCGCGGGCCACGGCTGCTTTGTCATGTGGCTTGCAAATTTGGGCAAGAAAGCGCTTGTCGACAGGCGGTCAAGATAATGCACCTGGACGAACTTAATGTGACTGCAGCACGAGAGTCACTAGAATCCGCGGCTGGAGAGATAATTAGTCTCATAAGGCAAAGCTGCGGAGACATGCCTTGGTGGTTTTCACGTCCGAAGCCTTGGGACGACTCGATGCAAGAATGTGGGATTACCTCAAAACTATGTTTCAGCAAGACCAGCCGTGTTTATCGGTATCGGCTGTAGTTTTTCATCGGGCACCAGTTGATTGGCTGGCGTCAATGTGGGTGCAACAAGCCAAACAGGAGAATGGCCGATATCATGGATGGAGCACCTCGGGCAGATCGGGCAGATCGTAAGTAGACGCAGTGGACCCGTCGGACCAGATGAGGAGGTGAGACGTAGACCTCCAGCTGCAACTGCTGAATGTATTGATGAATGCGTTCCCTCAAGCAGTGCATGCAGCTTCTTACGATTACCTGGAGGAAGTGAACTGTAGCACTGCTGCTTTCCTCATATGTAACGCCACCATCCCAAAAACAGGTCAGGCTTGGGAAATCTGCAGGGATGAGATCAACAGAAAGGCGGCCGGTAGCATACACGTGTCACCACCCCTGGCAGCAGTGGATGTGGTGAGGCTGGCAAGCGCAGTGAAGAAGGCCACGATTACTGCAACACAGGCGAGGCGTTGCAAGAACCTGACCGTTCCCCTTGCGGGGTCGCCCAAGGTTATCGAGGTTGCAAATTCTTTGCCTTTGAGCTGCAATGATCTTGACGGTTACTTCAAGCCCGAGACCGATACATGGTTTGTGCGCACTCGAGCGCAGCCGCCACGATCTGGGTCAAAGCCATTCTGCAGTGTCGCAATTGAGCGCCTTGAGCCGGAGCATTGGCAATTGATCGGCAGTCTGGTGCAAGGTTGCTGAGATGCTTGCGCAGTGGTTTCTGAGCAGACTATGCCTGCAGAGCTTAAACAGTGCCCCATTGCAGATTACACCCCATCCATCCCAACCTCCCGCTAAGCTCAGAGGATTCAGTCATTTTCTGGCCCTAAACCCTAGACCAGGTGCTAAGACCTGCTCAAATCTCATGTAGAACATGTTACTCTTAAACCTGCAAATTTTGGGTCGTCCGCAAAGTCATCAATGACGATTGGTATACTGAATAAATCTTTGTCTTTGTTCTTCTTCTGGAATTCTATTTCTTTGTGTTGGGTGTCTATGATTTTTCTGCCTTGCTCTAGTTGGGGCAAGCTCCTCTGAGCACCCCTGGAAGTTCTGGAAGTAGGAAGTGCGAGCAATGCCAAGGCATATTACAGGCCCGGCAGATCATGGATTCCTGCGGATTCTTGCGGTGCTAGATGGAGTTTCTCGCGCACCGCCTGCAGCGCAGTGGTTCCAACTGTTCTAACCGTCGTGGGATCCGTCGTGGAAATCTTGCACTTCCAGATCTCTTTAGGAGTCGGCCAGGAGCGCTTGGAAGGGCGCTCTCGTGGGGAGGAGAAGCTCCAACGCTACCTCTCGGGCCAGTCGCATCCGCCCTGCCGCCCACCTGAAATCACCTGAAGACTGGCAGCATCACTCTCTTGAGGCTCTTTCAGCTCGTGCACATGCCAAAGGAGGGCAAGCTTCCACAAGCTGCATGCTCTCCGTACGATGGTAACCCCTAAGCCCTAAGCAACTCGCTCTATTCCCGCGCCAGAAGAACGTCGCCTCTGCTCGGGAGTCTGTGTTGGGCTTGAGCAATGAGGAGCTGAAAGAGGGTGTTCCTATGGTGGAACATTGGTGGTGGAAATCGTATCTTGCTCTCCGCGAGTTCGGCGGATTCAATTTTGAGATCGAGGATCTAATTCGGAAGAGGGTTTCGAGTCTGCCGAACGGATCATGCTGCCCAGAAGAAGAAGAGGAGTCTTATGGTGTAACATGACCCCCGACGCCAAGGTACTGCCACTTCCGCAAGGAGTCCCATTGGCCACCAGAGCTGGCGGAGTCCTTGACGGCGCAGTGACATGCTGCAACTGTTCTATCCGGACGGAAGGCTCTTTTGAACTGCGTAAAAAGGCTGCACCCACAACAAAAAAGAATTGCCCCCCAAGCCAACCACTGAACCCGAATCCCTGTGCCCTGCCCCCCCTCTGAAAAGCCCCTTGAGAAGACCCTCCTACTCAAGCCCTCCTTCAAGCACTTTCCCAGAATTTTCGATATTCGTCGCCCACTTAGAGGATGGCTCTCCCCCCCTCGCACATGCTGTAAATTGGAAATTGCAAAAGCCGCGGCCATGGCAGTCTGGCAACTCGTTTCCAGATTCATGTGTGTTTTCCGCTTGTTGGGGTGAAGGGGGGGGGGGGGGCAGGACAGGCGCAAAAATGGAAATCCGCCATGTTTGGAGCTGTTTGCTCAAGAGAGCATGGTAGAAATCAGGCGTAGTGCACATGATGCTGTTTGCACACGCCCTTTCACGGAAACAAAAGCTAAGAACCTGACATCAACCTAGCATCAGCTTAATTTGTCAACAATTCAATATGCAAGTCGTAGTCAGCTAACAACAAGTCAATATGCAGGTCGAAGTCAGCTAGAAGCATCAGGAACATCCTTGTTGCATGGATCGCGTGGCGAACGCTGCAAAGCGTGCAGGAAGTCATGCGACGCACCATTTGCAGAAGGCCAATCGAGGGTTGCACTTTCATGTCATTGCCTTTAAAAGTCAAGAGGCCTCAGCGAGTACAGAGGGCTAACTGGTCATCGGCATGATTTCTTTGCCTGACGATTGTGGCTAGGCCGTCACAGCGGCGAAGGACGCAGCGTTGGGGGTTAGAACAGTTGCACACTGAGAGCTTGCAGTAAGACATGTTTGCAAACTTTGTCTGCAGCAAGTTGGAAAGTGGCCTGTGAGCATGTTGTTGCGAAAAGGTTGAGTTCCTATACACTCCTGTCCATAGGTTGCTTGTGCGTTTCCATGTTTGCAAAACATGCTAAGGGCCGTCTGCTTGCATGCCCAAGCAGAATGAGTAAGCTTCAATCACTGTACCTTAACATCCATAAGAGCCCGATGCCTTGTTCTGTAAACCCCCAACGCCTGGAACATGTGACCCAATCAGGAGCAAGGCTACTTCGAGCCCATCTGCACCCAGCGGCACCTCTCCGTCCGACACTACACCTTCGACATTTTCCAGCAACTTCTCCATCTTCAATTTGCGGCTGGTATGGTTGCAAGCTGCAAGCCCGGGAGTTTTTGACAGAGAGCTACGGGTAGAAAAGATGTAGAAAAGTGGTTTGCTTTTGACCAAAGAATCTTCTTTTGCCAGCAACCCGTGATACGGATCCTAAACCAGGCTTAAAAGCTCAGTCAGAGGCCCTGCGTTTCTTGGGGGTTCGAGGATCTGTCGCTAAGGTATTGCGGAGACATCGTGCATGTCCTGGCGCGTCTGGGACGCAAAGTGTTCCAAGTTGTGGGGAGCAGCGAACTCCGATCCGGCCGGTGCAAGTTTGACCCAGTCTGCGCTGATTTCACTGCGTCCCGAAACCTCAATTATAGAGCTTAGTCGTAGCAGTCATAGTGACAGGCCCCGCGCCACCGATGGCAATCTTTCATGGCACTTCTTAAAGGTGGCTTAAACAGGATCATAATATCATGATGCTACCATCATCCCCAGGATTCCCCAACATCACATGAGGCTGGTTCTTTGTCTGGCAGTTATCCTGCGGGAGAGCGGCACCAGCGGCATCTCCTTCAAGTTGCCAAGTTGAAAGTTGTTGCAGCAGGCATGTGTATGTGGCACGTGGATGGATTTTGGGAGTGTGGTTTTCGATGGGTTTTGTAGGGTTTGGGATGTAGAGCTGTGCAATCGGAAGCGTATGTGCACAAGATTGCTGAGGACACATATCCTTTATTTCATCGTTTTTACGGCGAGATTCTCGAATATTTTCTTCTGCCCTGGACTCAGCTTTTGAGTCTCCGATTAGGGGCTGAGGGTGTCGGGTGTAGAGTATGAAGCCTATGAATCTGTGAAGTCGAGGCCCGTTGTCAACCCTCAATGAGGCAACCAAGCCCCGGAATTGCAGCAAGACCTTGGACACCTTCGATGTCTAATCCATGTTTGGCCCGGACCTTCGCATGCTCGACTGAAGGCGATCAGTCAATCTACTTGGTGCTCTACAAGGCTCCAACGGAACGACCAGTCATTTAGGATTCGGGTTCAAGATTAAAGGCCGGTTTCGGAGCCTTGTCTCATATTCATCGAAGATTTGTCCCGCAAATTTGTGTGAGATGCTGCGGTAAGGAAGAGTGAACCTTGTAATTTCTTTCAGTATGACATTGCATGAGCATCGGCTCATTTGGGTTTCAGGGCGTCTTCCGAAATCATCTCACGAGCATCCCTCGCGCCCTTCGGTGGCCGACTTTCATGATACTTGCACAGTACTGCTTCAATTGCTTGAGCTTTGCCAGGCTCACAGTGTGAACTAGCACATCACATCAGACTGTGCCACAGAAGTGTCACTGATTAGTTGCATGTTGTTTGTTCCGCGACTTGAATAGGTTCTTCTGTGGAGTGTGACATTGAAGATCGCGCCTTGGCGAGGTATGCGGACATGGGTTGTGTCATAGACTCGTTGAAGGTAGTTCATGCCGTTCGCCGCAAAATTTCCATGCAATCTCCAGTCCACCTTCTGTGATTTCCTGAAGCTAGGTCGTCTTACTCTTTACAACTTGGTGAATGGTTAGTCCGAGGGCTAAAATGGTGGCTTGAACCATACATGTTGAACTCGATCTAGTTTTATGGCACGTGGCTGCCGACCGTAGTTGCAACATCTGCAGGACGTCATGTTAAACTTTTGAAGCCGGCATCTGTCACCCTTGTGGTTCATTATGCGCGAACTCCTCGGACCCCGATGTCCCCGCATGTTGGCAAATCAAAGGTCTTGCTGCTGTACATCTTTGGAGCCAGCCTGAGCCCTGGGTTTCATGTCCTGGGTCTCTGCGAAGATCTGCGAAGCCCCTTAAATCGACTCGTTACATAGTTACATAGTAAGTTAAGTATCTTTGAGCAGGGAAAGACCATTTTGACATGGTGCCAACAATGAAGCTACACCCTACGAGGTCGAAACTGCCCGAAGCGCTGGCATTTCGAGGGTTTCCCGTTCACGTGTCGTGGCACAGGGCCAACTCGCCACCCCAAGGTCACACGATTCCCCATACGGGCCCAAGGTGCGATCTGTGCCTTGCTCAGGTGTGGACGAGAAGGACACAGTTTCCTTGCCAGCTGTCTCTTGGATGTAACAGGCATAGGATGCAGCTGCGGGTCCTAGCAAAAAGGCGTGCCAGCATTCAGGTGTGGAGGTTGTGAATTCCGGATTGCTGAGTTGAGACTATGCCGGGCGCCGGGCCTATTTTGCCAAAGAATGATGTGACACTGGCACACTGGCTCCAACTGGACCAAAGTTCGACCGCCGAACTCTTGCCTGATACAGGCGCTTGCTGTTGTAGCGCAGCTGTGAAGACCTAGTGCGGATACCTGTCCGTTTCGGGCGGTGTACAAGTGGCAAAGGGTGGCACAATGCCTAAACCTAAACCCCGGGCTCTGCTGAACTGAACATGATTGGGGTTGGAGGCTTCGGATCCTTTGTTGATCCCACAGCCCGTAAATCGTTGAAACCAAGGCTTTGTTCATCATTATCGTCATGACGCTGGTCTTCGGTGTGTACTCGCTGGAAGATCACGGGCTGTTCGTCGAGATCCTCTGGACTGCTTCCTCAGCAGGTCCTCTAGACCCAACATCTCAGACAGCAGTGGTGTGATTCAGCCAAAAGCTGGCGAACGAGTTGTTGGCTTTCATCTCTGGCCGCAAAGTTCACTCGGGGTGAAGTCCGGACCTCATATGAGTTTCAGGCCCTAGGCCTTCTACCCTAATCCAAGATACCCCTAACCCTGAACCCTATAGGGCCTTTGTGGAATCTAAATCCCGAAGAGCCCACCCTGAGCAGGCCTCAGTTCGAGAGTTCGAAATGCACGTCGCCAGGATCTTCTCAACATATCTGGAGAGCATCTCAATGCTTCCCCAGTGCCCTCTGCTCTTACTGCTCTTTAGGGCTTAAAGGGTTTAGGGCTTAGGCTTTGTCAGTGGTAAATGGGTTCAGAAACTGGAGGCCTTGGAACCTCCTGCTATGTGAAAACCGTATTGCCTGAACATGTCCGACCGTACCCTTCCAAGCCTGCTGCAAAAGGGTTTAGGGTTTAGGGTCACCCTTTCTTGGGGAGCTTAGGAGGTTTCACGGGTTTCAACCAGCGTTTGGCTGTCTACGCCTGGAAGCCCTCAACAGCCAACTCCGAAATCTCATCCACCGGTTGAAGAGTCGCAGACTCAGGGTTCAGCTAGACCCTCTAGACCCTACATGTGGGGCGGCTCAGTGTTTCTCTTCCGGCCATTTGAAGGTACATCTACTGCTACAGGCACGTGGGCAAAAAACGAAGGTCAATTTCGACAGAACTTTAGCACTCCAGCTGTGGGCCTATGGAGACGCTATATGTATGTGTAAGGAGTTCTGGGCATATCCTGACTTTCCTTAAATGGCGCCAGATGCGTTAAACCAACCCGCAGCTCTTCTGCGTCACGCTGAACCGATATTGCTTGAACCCACCCCTGCATGCAGGGACGTTGAGAACAAGTGCCCCTTGGTCTCGTCCTACGTCTTCGCAATGGGTGGACACTTGCCCACTCTCTTGGTTTGCCTCTCTTATGACGTATTTGATCACTGGTCCTGGCTCCGCATAGCCAGTTCCCAGCGTTTAGGGATGCTTCGGGTCTGGGTTTTTACAGGCATGAAACGGCCACGGGGGGTCGGCTGAGATCCTCTTGGACCGGCACAGAGAAACCCTAAACCCTGATTCCAGCAGCTCATGAGTTTAGGGGTTATCGGCTTGGCCGGTGCGTCTAGGAAACTGGTCCCCAAGAGACTCGGAACATGGCGGCCGAGAGTACCATGCACAGCCTAATAACTGGACTCCAGATGCCGAAATACCCTGGCAGATTTGGCCGCCTGAGGATACCAGATGGTCTTTGGAGTGAGCTGGGGCCATCACTTCATCTTCCGCCACTCTGGCGGAATCATGCGGCTTTCGGGCTCTTTGGGACGAGTGTGTTGGATGCGGACTAGCCTCGGTGTTTGAAGTGTTCGGACTTCTACTTTCGCAGCCGTGACCGTGTCCCAGGGCCCGTAGAGCCAAGGACCCTATGACTTGGACGTCAGCAGCATGATCTCGGGCTTCTTGGGTATTGTTCCTCGGTGTTCACAAGGATCTGTGATGCTTCAGTGCTATCAGTTATCCGGTGTTTCGGGCATGGGTCTGCCGAGGTCTTCTTTTGTGACTACTTGGCCTTTCGAGTGCTGGGCGTCTCCATGCTCGCCGATGCCTGAGCAAACAGACGGTCAGATAAAGGCCTTGAGGGGTGAGTATATTTGAGGCCGGCTTGCTCGAACAGGGACTGCGGGGTGGGGCGGGGGTGGGTGGGTCGTCATGTTCGTTCATCAAGTTCTTTGACCAGCGTCTAATATGTTGTTCTATATCGAATCCTACGTGCGAGTACCATGATGTTGAGAAGACACCTAAAGCCAAGCCATAGCTCTGGAATTGAAAGGCACAAGACACCAGGAAGCCTGTAAATAAATGCGTCGGCCCTTGTGGCGAAGAACCTCCTCGAAGCCGACAGTGCAGAAAGGTTTGAAGATTCAAAACCTTAATGTAATGATGAGCCCCTTTAATCTGCGGAAAGCGCAAGTCCTCGATGCTCAACTTACCTAAGTAGTGTCGGAGGGCTTTGGAGATCTTTCAGAGCGCCTTGAAGATTTGCAAGGCTACCCGGAGCCCAACAGCACACGGCGCCTGTCATCCTGCCTCCAGCCACAACCCCCTACACATACTTCTAAACTGATGTTCGCCTTGAACAACTCAGAAAAGGTTCGTTGACTTTTTGCTAGAGGGTTCAGTTTGGTAGTTTGGGCAGGGATTTAGGGTTTTCACGACAAAGCACCCCCCTCCCCCTCCAAGCTGGCCATTGTTCAGGCCTTGGCTTGGGGCTTTGCGGTTGTTGTTGCTCCCACCTGGAGTCGGCAGGTCCAAGTTTGTATCTCCGTGGATGATACCATCAAAGAGGCAGAGGCAGTGCTGGGTTTGCAGGGATTTGGAGCTTCGGGTTTCCAGACGGCTTGCAAGGTCTTGGGGACTTCGGACTTTGGACACTCCAGTCGACACTCTGAGAGACCCCTCCCCGAGTGCATTCTCTCAATCCGTTTAGAGCCCTAACAGTGACTGGCTTGGGGCACTTCTCCTCCTCAACCACCGTCAAGCCGCGGCCAAGGAAGCTGCTTGGAGCCTCGTCGCAGGGCAGCCTTTGCAAGGCTTGGTGGAGAACCTGCTGGGCTGCTGTTAACTGTGGGGCGCCACGCCAAAACCCTGCACGGGTTAGGGACGGGCTTCCCGTGAGAATTCAAGTATTTGTAGCATGCAACCTGCAAGTTTGGGTTGGGTGGGGGGGCCTGGAGTCCTTTTTTGCACGCCCAAGCCACGGCTCCGCATGTCCTGATGTCCTCTGGCAGGCGAGTTTGCAGAGTTCGCCGATTCGGTCACTCCAAATGTCATTGGCCATCGAGAGGCTTGGGGGCGGCAAACCCTCAACCGACGCAAGCACCTCCCCCCAAACTGGGTGCGCCCAATTTGACACATTCTTCAGGACCGGGCTGAGGCTCAGGGTTCAGAGCTCGTATTAAGATAGCCATGCAGGAGATCGAGATGGCCATGGCTGCCCCAGTGGAGTACCACCGGAGTGTGAAAATGACAGCCTAGCAAATGTGGAGTAGGCCGTGACAATCACATTCCTAGAGAAAGCCTGTAAAAATCACGGTGGCGGCGCGGCGAAGGCAATAAAACATGCTGCGCGACAATCATCGAAACAGTAGGGCTGCAGGGTCTCCGGCGACACTCGAAGCCCGTAGTGCCCAGCAAGTACACCTTTCACCCACATCCCCGACCACAGCAGAAAGAAGTTTCACCTGGTCCGGCGTCATCGCTTGGAGAAAGGAACATCCGGCTCTGCAAGGCATGCAGTGTGAGCTCGGAGCTGCGCAGATTCCTCATGAGGTCAACAGCAAGTATAGTATGCCGTGTGGTGCATGCCGGGCGTTGGCCGAAACTCGTTCATGTTGAGAACGTAACTGTGGGCTACACTAGTCTGCAGCCAGCCTCCTACTTGCGCATCAACAAGTACACGTCTCCAGGAAATTGACACCCCATCGAGACCGGATCGGGCGCCCGCTTGCTTTGTTCAGCTTGGCTCCAACTGCAGCCCTCAGTAGCAAGAGACCAGGATGCTCAAAACCTGAAATCTCGACATCTGTGAAACATGTCTTAGGGCCTAGAATCAGCCTCTGCTTGTCCAGGATCTAGGGAACCTCTTCACGTCCAAGTCGGGTCGAGAGACCTAGGGGAAAAGTCTGCGAATCCAAAACCTCTCAAGTCCGAACCACAAAACGCTGTTCAGCAGACCACGTCAATTGCCATGTTTCCCCGACAAGTGGGGTGTGTCCTTCTTGCCGTACTTCTTCGGTGCCGGTGCTGGAGATCTGATGGGTTAGGATTATAGGGTCCAGTTTGGAAGTTGGGGCAGGGGGGTTCAGCATGCAGCTGCTGGGAAATGGGGATTTCAAGTTTGGCATTTGGGGTGTAAGGTGTTGTGCGCGGCTTGCCCCGGCACATTCTCAGTGCCAGCCACCATTTCCTTCAAGTCCAGCTACTTGTAGCCCTCATCGCCCCTCATCCCCTAAACCCTAAACCCTGATTCAACCCCAAGCCCTAGACCCTAAGCCCAAAACCCAAAACCCAAGCCCAAGTCTGAACCCTGGGAATCTTTCGAATCTTCGCTCCCGAGGCTCCCTGCCCCCTCCCTCGCTGACGCGCCATGCTCGGAGGGCCAAGGCTTTCTGCATGTTACGTCTCAAGGGAGTTTATACACAATATGTGTGCAATAAGCGATATATGATTTGTGTGTTTTGAGCCAGGCATAGGGGCCATCGGTGCTTTGAAGTGCATCCTTGCGCGACAGGCTTCATCCAGTCCAATCAAACTTGCTCCGACTGTGCGCCGGGCACGTACATGAGCTCCATGGCTTTCAGGTGACCAGGTGACCTCTCGGGTAACCATATCTGCCTTTGCCCAACTTTGTCACTTGTGGAACTGCGGTGTTTTTTGAGGCTAGAAGAAAAGAAGTGCCTTATAGTGCCTCTTTCAACTTACCTGGAAAATGCCACTGCAGAGTTCGAGAACTCCCCCCCAGCACAGGCAAAGCCCTGAACTCCTGGAGGCATAAAACTAAAAGCTGAAAGCCCGCATACATGGAACCAGCAACCCGACTGAACAGAGCAGCACTGGTGGACTCAAAGAGAAAACCGCGACATGGACTGAAGAGAAGCGAAACCTATAGCAGTCGCTCTTTCCTCTAGGGGCCCCAACTTGGGACCCAAGCAAGGCTACGCCAACGCCACAGTCAACCTCACCTTTTCCATCGGCTGCCGCCCCTGCCTTGCGGGCTGGTATAGAAGCTGGGCCGATCGGAGGGGTGTGGAGGGAACTATCAAACCCCAGGAACTCAAGTTATGTGGTGTATTTGAGCCCATGAGAGTCTGTCCCCACCCCAGAGCGAAACAGTTTGATGGGTAATTAATCCAAGGATCATTAGGGACGGGTGCTCTGGGCCCCGGAACACCGGAATACTCCGAAAACTTGGGGGAGGGGGGGTGGGGTTTCTGGGGGGGGGAAGCTTCTCCAGGCGGAGCCGCCGCATCTGTCTGCACCGTGTGTCCTGCAGGGCGCTGGACCGCGACTTTTCGCTTGAAAACCGTGAGTGGAGTGCAGGGCCTTAGGAATCTAGCGCTCGGGATTGATTTATTTGCGGAACATGTTCAGAATGCTGTGATAGGTTGTGTCAGGCGTACACGGCGTTCCACACAGAGCATTGTGTGATCTTGGCTAATTTGCCTCAGGCTCCTGGGGCATATCAGTTTGGAGTTTCTGGTCAGGGAAGAAGTAACCCCCGCATTATTGTCAACCCCCCCCCTTTCTCCCTGTCAGTATCGGAAGCCACAAAGTATGGGGACAAGTAGGCGGAGGTGACTATAAGGGGCATCCTCGCAAATCGCCCTCTTTAAGAAGCAAGCCGCCCGGCATCCTCAACCCAAGTTCGAGGAGGTACATGGTCTAGAGCTCGAGTTAAACTCGAATAATGTCACACGGGCAGGAGTTGGGCTTCTGCACCTAGTTGCACTGAGTGCGCGCCCGGCAGCTACAGCAGCTTGGCATGCTTGGGAAGAGGTGTAGGATGTTCGGCACTTAGGCTCAGCTAGGCTCAGCATGGCTCAGCGGCAGCAAATGCTTGTAATATCTTGTGATGCAACGTACTGAGCCCGTAGTTCCTGAACAACTCCAGTGCTAACTTCGGGGTCCATCGCAACACCATCTGCCGCCAATACAGTAGCCGACCCAAACTTACAAACCCCCCTCCTCTTGTCTCCAGGTCTGGAGGGCATGCGCGACTGCATCACGTGCGCCCCAGGCTACTTTGCGGCCTCCTACGGCCTCTTCGTTCGCACAGGGGCTTCCTGCTGACCTGGGGAAAGTGGGGGCTCATAGCTTTGCGTCACATGGCCAACTTGCCAACACCGGCCAGCTGGGGAGCCCCCCTCATGTTGCAGACCTTGAACCAAGGTCCAAAGAGCCTATGACCAAACTGCCGAAACTCTGGAGTGGGGGCTTCAATTGGTAGGCGTTCTTGTCGGAACTGCAACGTATCGGAAGTGCTCAGTTTTAGGCTAGCATTACATCTGTCATTAGGCCTCGAGGTAGCATCACCCCCCGGCCCCTCAAGCTTTTTCGGCGGGACTCCCAGAGCCTGTGGCCCCAAACTCGCGTTGAGGATTCCACCAAACTTAGCGTTTAGAGTGGAGTGGGGTCAGCAGTTGCACTTTGACCTGAGGCTTCTCGGAGTGCGTTGCATGTGATGCCGGCCGGTTCAGCGAGAGCTACCGAGGCACTCCCGATAAGTCGAGACACCCCACAGCCAGACCCGCTTGTGATGAAAGATGTTTTTTGTTCGCGGGGGGGGGGGGGGGTGGGGGGTTGGTTATTGAAAGCATACTTTACGTGCCAGCTTGCGTGTTCCGGGGTCTTGAGCTCGGCAGTCAGGCTAGAATTCAGCAAAGTCAAGAACACAAGAACAGCAAGGTCTTTTGGATTGACATTCAATGTCATTGAGGCCTTTAGGGTACAAGACCCATCGGTAGCTGCTTCCAGCAGCTGCCAGCAACTTCCCTCATCCCCATAGCTTTGAATCTCACACCCTTGTGCTCCAAGAAATGCCTGGAAATCCTTCCATGCCATGCTGCACCGTGTTTTTTTCTGTTGGGGGTCCTCCTCCGATTTTTTTGGCTCGGCTCCTGAAGCCCACAAATTGCTTCCCGCAGGCTCCAGCAGCTGCACGATGTGCCCCACCGGGCAATGGAGCCAATCTGGCTCGGTGCGCTGCGCTGCGTGCATCAGTGGCCTCTCGGCTGCTGAGGGGCGCCTGTGACAGTCGGGGGCTTGCTTTCGGGTGGGTGGATCCTGGCCACCGCATCCTAAAGGCGGTATGAGTTTCGGTTGCGGCTCAGGGCTCACAGCATTGGCTCACAGCTTCAAGGCTACCATGGCGCAGGTTTCTCAAGTGAGCTGCTAAACAGTGGCGGGCCTCGAATGCAACAGTCGCTGAGCACCTGCTGCAGGGCCCGACAGTATCATGATCCTTTTGCTGCGAAGGCAGCTACCTTGACGAGAACCAGACATGTTCCGTGTGCCCAGCTGGGACTGCTAGCATCCAGGCAGGGAGGAGAAATGTTTGTTGTGTCCATTGGGTTGGCAACCTCGGGCTGACTGCCACTGGATTTGAAGGTTCAGGTGAGGCTTTGCAGCTCTCGTTGGCTTTGTCTTCTGGGAGGGGACTACTATCAGCGCTGGTTCAGGGATGCTTCGTTTTGCCATGCTGGCAAGCCAGCAGCTCCACGTTAGCGAAACCACCTACATGTTGTGAGTGCGAGTGAGATTGAAGACTCCAAGCCCAAGTCTGCACTTGATATACCCACGAGGCGCAGACAGCCTGCGTGGGTACGTGTGCAAGGGCCTCGCAGAGCAGAAACATGTGCAAACCTTCAGATCCTGGACCCTGGTGCAGGGGGCGACCAACTGTACCTCCTGCCCTCCCGGGGCACGAAGTGATGCGGGAGCCAAAGAGTGTGAGCCTTGCCTCTCGGCTCCGGGTGTAGATGGAACTCCACTCTTGCACCCTCAACCCTAAACACATTCTTGCACACAATCTTGCACACAATGTGGCATAAGACCATCCCAAATTTTCGGGGCGCGTTCCTGGGTGTGGGGTGATTGTCGTATCCCCTGCGACTTACCCAGGCCTCGAGTTAACCTCGAAGACCCAAAAGAAAGCTACCCAAACGCGGGGAAAGCCTGGGAGAGCTCTTTTCCCATGTTGCTGCTGTGCAGCGTCGAGGTTCTCCGGGGCGCTTCGTCACGCAGCCGCACGAAGTGTGCCAGAACTGCCCCGGTGGAGCCTGAGCCGCACGGGCTCCCTGAACTCGACTCCTAAGCGCCTAAGCTCCCAAGCCCTGCGGCTGGAGTCCCCTAAAACTTGCATTTTGGGATCAGGGGCCCCTGGCTTAGGTGGTTTCGGAAACGGCTGTGATTCGAGTTTGTTCGCTGGGCCCTTGGTGCTTGGACATCAGGAACTCGGGCCTGCAATCCTCACTTCCTAACTGCCGTTGGTGCCTCTAACCCTGAAGCCTTGCGAGCCCCTAAAGCCCCAGACAACATGAACACACGCCTTTCGTGCCTTTGTAAGCAGTTTAGCTTGGAGAGACCTACACCAGAATACAGCGTGACTTCAAAGAAGCCGGCTCCTGAGGGACTTTCAGCAGTCTGGGCTCCACATCCTGCGACGTGCCTGGGCTTGAGCCGAAAAGGGTTAGGGTTTTGGGATGTTTGGGTTGAGGGCTTTCAGAAAACTTTGGGTTCGGTGGCGATGTTGTTGCAATGGTTCATCTGCCGCGCATGTTGCACACTTGAGCTCTGATGGGAGACGCCAACCCCATAAACACACCCCAAATACGAGAACCCCCCATTTTGTAGGAACCCCCCCCAACAGTGCACAGCCCTGTTCTCGGAACCCCCCTCCGCCCCCATATCAGTCACAACAGTCAATTCCAAGCCGAAAGACGCCCTGAGACCCCAACCCCAACCCCAACCCCCTAAGCCTCCGCTCCATGCCTGGAGTGGAAATCCTTAGTTAGGGTTCAGATGAATTAACTTCGGGCTCATCGTAGGCTTCCTATGGAAGCCTGCTCTTGCAAGTCGCCTTTGCCTTTGCTTAGTGGGATTCAGAGATTTGGGCCTTCAGGCTTCTTGAGCCTCGTGGCTTCAAGCCCCTGGCTCTTGAATCCAAAGCCGTCCTGAGTTGGGAGGTTTGCCCCTTTGGGCACAGCAGTCTCCCCGTGTCTGACACTTGGCCGAAGGGTTCGGGTTCAGTGCTTTTGGGCCCTGGGCAATCGCCGGGTTCGCCCATTGTGGAATTATGGGCCCTTCAGTATGATTCTGCGGGATCTGCGTAGAGTCAATGAAAGGTGCAGGCAGAGCACCTCGAATTCCACCTCAATGCATCCTTCTGGCAAAAACATAGAGACCTTCGAGCAATCATGATGTCCTGAGCCTAGGTCCTAGTTCTGCAACACTTAGCACTTGAGAAGCCCACTCCACCCCGACAATGACGAGCCTCCTTAAGCCTTCGTATTCTGAATGCTCACGTCCCTTGCCAACCTTGACTGCCAGCTGGCTGAAGGAAGGCCCGCTTGAACCCTGGCAGACATGAAGACATCCCAATGCCTATGCCTATGCCAAACGTCCAAGAATATGTGTGGGGTCCTTACCCTGAACATCTGCTAGGGCCACGAGTTCAGTGTCCAGTTGAACCGAGGAGAGTTGCATCCCCTGCCCTGCTGGGCGTTTCGTCCTGGACATCGCAGCACCCTGCGCTGCCTGTGCACCAGGGAGGTTCAGCGCTGGCAGGCGCGGAGTGAGAGGGCTTTGAGGTATGGGGCTTTGACTGAGGGGGGGGGGGGGGGGGGGGGGGGGCTTCCCCTCAAGAAAGAAGGCAAATCCAGTAGGCTGAACTTTGTTTTCAAAAGACGCTTTATGGTGAGGTGATGTCATGTCTAGCAGCTAGCATGGCTTGAAACCTTGAGGTTGGCGTGGAGCTGGGAACGGGCGAATTCCTTCGAGGATTAGGGACTAGGTCGGCCAACGAAATTGTCCAGGATTGCGTGGCGCTGCCGAAATCTGTCCAATTCAGAGAATCACGAAGCCCAATTTATGGAGCCACCACCGAGCCATACTGTACTGTCCCAACCCAAGCGGCGGGGGGTGCTGATGTTTTCATAGTGCTCCTCCCTGCACCAAAAACTTGCAGTCGTACAAGCAACAGACGATGCAGGTGCAGTGGTTACACGCATGTCAAGACCATCCAGCAACAGCACCTTCCGGGTCTCCTTCATGCGGAGTCGTCGAAAAGACTGTAAGTTCACAACGTTGAACTTTGCTGAAATGCCCTATCCAAACTTACCCTACCCTAGAACATCTAAATGAAGATGATCGGCATCGCCAGTGAAGTGTAGCGGCTTGCCTGCTGAGGCGTTCCACTATCTGAACTTCAACAGCTCGGCAGCCATATCCCCCTTCGTGCCTTAGCCCCCAAGCTAGGTGCCTGAGGCCCCTAAACCCTGCAAGCCCTAAAGCCCTACAACTATGCACCTATTGATCCTGAACACGCTGACACAGGACTGACAGCTGCACTCCCTGCGCCGCGGGCGAATACAGCGACGAAGCAGCCGGTCGATGCACCTTGGCTCAGCCTGGGAGAGTGCTTGCAAATGGGCGGTTGTAGGTTTCGGGTATCAGGGTAGTAGAGGGTATGAGTGTTCGGGGTTCAGGGTTTTTCCAAGTTCGGCGCTTTGTTGGTGTACGTACCTTTCGCAAGGTCTTTGAGGTTTAGGCCCGCAATGCCGCAGCTTGGAGCTCCCAAAGCAGCAGGTCCGCTTTTAGGGCATATGAAGCCTGGACACCTGCACGTAAACCAAGGCTTGATGTCCTAACTCCTCAAATTTCCAAGTCCCCTGTAACACGCTGTAGGGCCTCATCAAAGCCCCAACTCTCAAAGCTGAGCTTACATGAAAAGGCGCACGGTGCCCTGCTGGCACCGCGAGCAGCACATCCTCTGGATCTTGCTCGCAGTGCCCGGCGGGCACGGCGAGTGAAGAAGGCCAGTTGAACCCTCGATATCCCAGCATTTGCGACCCCCTTGTTTTTTGTGGTGGGTCAGGGTTCGACCCTCCCCTTCCTGGCGGGTTTAGGTTTTCGGCTAGGGTGACGATCTATTTTTTCTCCGTGGTTCATGGGTTTAAGGGCTTCGGGTGAGGCTTGAGGGTTTAGGCGAGCTGAACGTCCAGGTTCCAGGTTTACACCTCTTTGCGATTCGTGGTGTGGTGTTGGGTCAAGGTTGAGCTGGGGGGGGGTTGGACCAACGACTGTAAAACTCAATCCCAAAGAAGCCTAGATTCGACCACCAAGTTTCAAGGCCTGAACCTCGCCGATTCTTCCGCCACAAGCCAGAAACTGCAAAGAGTGCACAGCGGCAGCAAGAAAACCCCACGACCCCTGAGCCTTCAGCCCCGACACCACGCAACCGCCTTGCAGGAAGCCCCACCTGCAACTCCTGTGCTCCGGGTTCCATCAGTCAGGCAGGTGCGGAGAAGCGCCCGTGGCCTTGAAATTCAGGAAGCTTTGGGGGGCTTTCAGGGGTCGTAGTCGGGTAGAAGCTATCCCGGGCAACCGGGTAAGAAAGCACATAGGACACATCCGCGGGGCTGGGGATTTCACGTAGGGTCCCGGCTGTACTGATTGGAACGCCTTGCTCAGGTGCACGCCCTGCACCGCAGGCAGCTATGCACTTTTCGCCGACGAGCCGTGTGTGACCTGCGCAGCCGGGACGAGCAGAGGCTCAGCAGCATCTGAGGAGCCGCCCCCTTTTTTCCTTGGCATGAGAGTGGGGTATGAGTGGGGTATGATAAGGGCTTCTAGGAGTCCTTGACCTGAGGTGCACGAGGTGCCGCTGAGTGCCCCCTGGAGAGAGATTTGGGGGGGGGCCAAAAAGGGGCGTACAGTTGAATTCAGTTTTTGGGGGCTTCGGAGGCAAGTAGAGAGCTGCATAGACCTGCCCGGGAAACAAGAACCTGCTGGGTTCTTCTTGGGATTCGTTTTGGTCGAGCTTAACAGGTTCCCGCAGTGCATACCTGGCGTACCTGACTGTTGGTTTCGATAGCCACCCGACGATTCTTAATGCCAGTCCCCGCACGCCAGGCTCACACTCGGATTAATCTAGTAAGCCCCAATGCGCAAAATCCTCAAAAAAGACTGGATCAGCCCAAGCTCGAAGCAGACTCAACATGCACCCGAACCGGGCTTGGAGGCACACCATGCCAAGCTGGCTATGTGAGCTCCGCCGGCGCCCCTGAGTGCTTGCCATGTCAACCAGGCACCTTCACTACAGCTGCTCGGTCAGGATTCGGAAACGCTCTTCAAACCATTAGAGGTTCTGAGGGCACGCTTAGCGCGTCGAGCCAGATGACGCCGTGAAGACTTATGAACAGGTCACATGTAAAAAGCCGCGATCCAGGACCTGCAGCATTGCCGCACATGTCCGGCGGGAACCTGGAGCAGCGTCTTGGTGCTCATGGAGGGCAGCCTGCATAGTACTGTATAAACTCATACAGCCTCCTTCTTCAGCTTCCGCGTTCGCCTGAGGCATTGCAGCTAGCAGCTGCGAGGCGTGTCCACCTGGAAGTCGCTCTGATGCTGGATGGGGAGCATGTCAGATCTGCCCCCCGGGCACTCACATGCAGTGCCTCGGATCTACACAGCACAAGTACACTTGCACATACTGCAGGCCCCCTGTAGTCATAGGAACCGAGTACCCACGTGGGATGCTGTATGTGTCCATTCTTGCTCATTCGCTAGTGAAGAATGTCGAAAATGATGTAAGCAGACACTTGCTGACACAGCCGTAGTTGTCGCACGATGGTTCTGAACGTGTCATTCAATGTTGAGTGGACTTTTGGATGCCAAAATGGCGGTATAATTCCGGTGGTTTCCTGTGGCAGTAGCTGTGTCCTGCCGAGGCGGCCGGATGAGCAATGTCAGACCTGTCCTGCCGGCACCTACAGCCATGCCGGGGCTATTGTGTGTCTGGATAGATTCGGGCACTCGCGTTTGGTGACTTTTCTGCTTTTGTTGATATTCAAATGAATGAAACACAATATCGACATCTGTACTCGAAAGCTCGTCTAGATTGTCCAAGGTGCGACATCTGTGAAGCTGGGACGTTTAGCAGCGCAGCCTCAAACAGCTGTACTACCTGCCCTGCTGGCAGATACAGCAACGACACTGCTCCCGAGTGCGACTTGTCGGTGAACTCAGCATCGTCCAAACTAAGTGTAAGTTTGATGGCGGGCGCCGGCGATTCCCTGAGAAGTGTTGCTGCGTTGCCTCATCTGGGTGCGACCATACGGCAGGTCTGAAGCCTGAAAGCAGGGACCCTAACCCTAAACTACCATAGCGTGCGAAATCTGACAAAGGCACCGACTGCTCCCGCGGCCGATTTAGCCCAGAGCGGGCTGATGGTTGCGCACCCTGCCCCGCGGGGACGTGCCCCGGAAGTGTCTTTAAGGTAATGAACCTAAAAAGCCCCTATACATATAAACCCTATAATGCCTATAATGCAGAAACCGAGAAACGTGATACGTAGTCCTAGAACCCTTATCCTTAAACACCCTAATTATAAAGCCTATACCACATGGCTTGCATTGCTTGGTACTTCGCAGGTTCTCACAGTGGTTGTTTTTTTGGGAAGTTTTTGGGCCTACAATCCTCTACACAATTCCCTAACTCCGCCTATATTATATGTACATCCTAAAGCATCCTCAGCCCTAAGCCTGAGAGCCCCACGAGCCTGAAACCGCTTTCCGGTTCAACGCGGGTGTCGCTGTCGCTGCGGGCGCTGGGGCTGTTAGGGATATAGGGATCCACAGCCTTGGCCGCGTAAAGCGAAGGGTTAAGCCCCGTGGTGTAGTGTAGGTGCAGGAGTCGGATTTCAGCCTTTCTAAGAATTTTGGTCTGGGGGCATTGGGCTGCACAATGCTAGCGGGCTTGTGATCCACAACAACTTCAGACAGCAGCCCTCCAGTTGTTATGCCGCCGAGGATCAGTGCAGACGCTTCGGGGTCCTGTCGCCCGACATGTCATTATTCACAGTTGAAGATAAGGTTCGGTCGGAACAAACGTTCATCAAACATTCGAAGCTCAGCTCCTGCAGCTGTTTGCGGCACTCTCAGTTAGAAGGTCCTTAAGGGACAGGGCTCCAAGGAGGGTGGGTAGCCTAATCCCTTGCACTCCCTAGTGCTCCCATGTGCTCCAGAGGCCTCGCTAAGTTTGCCTCGGTTTTCCTTAAGTTCCCGAAGGTTCCTCCCCCTTTCTTAGCCTTAAACCCCCTTCACCCACCCCGTCAGGTCCTTAACCTTATAAAGCTTCATGAGCATTCCCCTTAGTCAGCGGAGTCGCTCATAGAGTGCCAAAGTGCCCCACACAGTTGTCACCTTGGCACAGAGGGGACGACAACCCTGATGGCAGGCTCTCGCTGCCCCGATGGCACCTTCAGCGGCATCGGGGCCTCCGTTTGCAACGACTGCCCCGCCCCACGGCCAAGTAGAGCCGTCGAGTTGATGACGATGATTGGTGATGGTAGTTGGGGGGTGGTGGTGGTAGTAGGGGTTTGTCGTAGTTGCTGGCAGGTGATGCTAGAACATTCGCACCGCCTCTTCGCATCAGTCGCTTTAACCGCTCGTGATTGTTTGCGAGTCCATCGCGCCCAGTCGCGCAGCCGCCAAGGCGGGCACCTTCATCCTCAGCCCAGACCAGACCTGCTCAACGTGCGCACCAGGCGCGGCATGAGTTTGGTTGGGTGCAGCCTAGATGAGCCTAACGAGCCTTAAGCAGTCCCCAACCTTGACGCCTGTAAAGCAGTCGTCCCACAGGTAGATATAGCAGCACCGCATCCACCGGCTGCCATTCCTGCATCCCTGGGACATTTACCCCCGATGCAGCGCCTTGGTTGCAGGAAGCAGAACGGTTCTCGGCCTCTACCCGTGCCTATCCCCATTAAGATTGTACTCATTCTGGGGCCTGAAAACCCTGTTAAGTATTCCCGTTCTCCAGCTCCGGAAGTCCGCGATAGGCTTTGAGCTGCGGGTCCTGTCCGGCTGGCACTTGGAGCGGTATGGAAGCTACGACCTGCACCAGATGCTCTTTGGTCTCGGTCAGGGTTGCTCTGGGCTTTTTTGTTGGGAGGTTTTGTTGGTTCAATGGTGGGTGTTCAGGCACGGGCTAAGGGCTCTGACAATCTAGGTTGGAGACGGATTCCCAGGTCTCTGGCACACGGTTTCATGCTGGGGCCCCCCCATATACTGGAGCATAGCCAGACCACTCCAAACATCCAAGGCCTACCGGGCGAATACAGCGACGAGGGGGCAGCGCTTTGCCTCCCGTGTCCTGCAGGGACCTACATCGAAGAGCCGTCCCCCGGCGAATGTTAAAGGAGTGCTGAAGGATTGCGGAAGGTGGTGCTTTGCTCTTGTGTCCAGACACGGCTTGTGGCTTATCCGAGCTGGTTTGGTTAGCGATGAAATCTCTATTTGCTTGGGCTGTCAAGCAGCAGGTCCTGCAACGCATGGGTCTTTCGTCGGCCTCTGTATTATCAGGATGATGTTCGGAGATTTCGGCTTTGAGCGCTGCGTGGCGGCTGCGGCTAGAGACGGTACCCTTCTGTGGTCTCCCGTTTCCTGCTCCCGCGGCAAGTCGGGTACTTGTAGTCTCAATTGATTTTGTTCTGGCCATTGCTTCTCCAACGCTGTTGTAGGGTTCAGCAGCATGTTGTGGTGTAGGGAGCTTCATCAGCCTTGACATAATGTCGCCCGGAGAGAGCAAAGGAACGAAACGTGCATGGACTGCCCGGCAGGTGCGGAGCCAAGTTGAGCCAAGCCATGTCCATACACTTCAACGCCCTAGACCCGATATCCCAAACGGGGGGGGCGGGGGTGCTTCAAAATCTCGACGCGAGAGGCAGTCTGGGGATCTAGGGCTTACTTGGATCATTTTCCACAGATAGACAGGTTCGGCTTCTAAGGTTTTGCCCTTGGTCTTCTGAGCCCGAAAACCCTCCGACGCATCGTTCCCCCTCCCTCTCTGAACAACATAATAAAAAAACAATGAACTCAGACTCCTACTTCTCCGAATCCCCTACAAACCCCGAGCGCAAGACCTTCCGGCGTCCGATTTGTTGCTGGTTAAGACAGAGGTTAAGTAAGCTTTGAAGTCGGGATTTCGCGTGGGCTGGAGTTCCCTTGCGGCCCTATGGTGCTTGGGTAAACCCTGCTATGCATCCCCCAGCGTTCACTTTGCAGACCTCAAAAAACTAAGAGGGCTCCCAGTCTGGGTCCTATACCCTCATCCGAGTGGCAGGCACGTGGAGCTCAAGCTCCTCGGTGGCCTGCAGCTACATGACTGCAGACAGAGACCATTGTAACATGCTTTAATCATGAAACATTTAATCACCCGACGTGTGCCTGGCGCGTCGAGGGTCTACAGCCGGGTTGTTTTCTCAGGCGATTGCCTGCCTGGGCGTTTCCGCAATAGCAGCGGCTTAGGCTGTGAGAGCTCCTTGGCAGCAAGCCCCTGGCTTTCACGAAGCTTCTGAAATCACTGGGATCATTCTACTCGAGTCTTGCTCCCACTCTCCCAAACCCAACCGAGCATGAAGCCAACTACCTGACGGGATGAGAATTTGAGCTTGGCACAGCCATGGGACCCCGAAGAAGCGCCGCAGAAATCGCCACAACAAAGCGTTTCATTAGCGGAGCATCTGAGGCTGTCCTCCAGGCACACAGAGCGGTGTGGCCGCGGACGTTTGCGAGTTGTGCTCTGCGGGCAGGCGCCGGCGTGGGGGGCGGTTGGAAGGTTTTTTTGATGTCCTTCGGGTATTTTGCGAGTGTGGCCATCGCTTCGCGTTGCACTCCGGCCAGGTACAGCCGAAGCTCATCTTCCACCTGCGATCTTTGCCATTCGCCCTGGCACTTGCAGATCCACAATTACCCTTCATAAAGATAGAGCCATAAAGGGACTTAAAGGGACACTGATATTAGGCTATTTAAGGAGGTTACCTAGAGTAGTAGGGATGATGAACATGGACAGCGTTTTTGCGGTGTGCCGGCCGTGCTTTGCTGGGACTGCTACTTGAAGGTTCATGGGTACTTAGAAGTAGGGCAGCCTACATAATGTGATATCCATAGTTACCCCTAAACCCGAGGCCATGAGGAGACATAGGTCCGACAAAGCAGCGGCAGTTGAACAGCGACTGCCAAACGTTCATTCGGCATGTTGCTGGGGCTGACAGCCATGGCGAAGTCAGTTTGGAATCCCAACAATCCTGCAGTTATTGACCGGCAGCAGCCCTTTGCAACAGGCGTTGCAGTAGGGCTAGCCCTACCTTCGGCTCCACACCTCGGAACGATACACCGCAAACCCAGAGGGAAAGGATCCCCTACACACATCAGAACAGAAGAAACTGGGACCTGGAAAAGCCGATCACAGCAAGTCCGAGGCCCAGCCGGCTTTGCTAGCGAACCCGGCTCGGGCGCCTGCGATGTGTGCCCGCCAGGCAAGTTTAGTTTGGCAGCTCGGCCGCAAAGTTTCTAAGGTCCGCTCTTAAGAGATCTGTCAAGCCCGCATTCTGCCAGCCTTGAGCACAGACTCCTAGAATCCTAGAAGAAGATCGGGTCCTTTTCAAGACTGAAGCTCCCAAACCTTGAACCCCAAACAACCGGGAGCTTGTTGGTTTTGTGATGACCCGCAGACTTTAGTCAGGCTGAGTCACCCAGCTGCAGCATATGCCCTGCTGGGACGAAGAGCATGGACGCTTTGGCTGAGGGGCTTAGAGGAGTTGAGGATTCTTTGGGGCACAAATCGTTTCGTCCACTCTTGGTCCAATCTTGCCAGAACAACATCTGGCAAACTTACTCAGCACGGAGTCCTTTTGAGAACACACACACACACACACTCACACACTCACACACAAGCACCTTCATAAAGGGAGCGACCTTGTCTGGCTCATGGCCGTTGATTGCTATCTGGACATGTCATCCCGAGACGATCGGCTCCCCTCCCTCCCCTCAAGTGAGAATCACATTCCGGAAGCCAGAAGCCTTGAAACGGCAGCCCTTCCTTCTTCTTTCCCAAAGCCCTGGAATCCACAGAATCACGAGTGCCTCCGAGCCAGGGCGAAGCAGGGATGTGCACGGCCTGCCCACTGGGGAAGGTGGGTTGAGGGTTGGATGTGTGTGTGCTCCACCGCATGAGTTCGAGGCTTCAATCCTTCGAACCTGAATCCCAAGCCCTGGCCCCAGAAGCTGAGGACGGGAGTGTCGACTTCAGTTTTCCTGCCATCCTTGCAACCCAACCGAAACCAAAAAACAATTCTCACGGCAGACTGTAGCGGAGGACACCTTTACACCAATGTCCCACTCCCCTGTCAACCCAGGTTAAAGGATGTGAAAGACTGGGTGCTTAAAGGGATGTTAAGACCCTCAACTCTCCCGAAACCCAACATGGCTCAAAGGATGTGTCAGGGTGTCCCTGGCCAGGTGAGCCCTGCCAATGCCGGCCGTTGCCGGCTTTGCCCTGCCGGGCGCTTTGCGCCATCGCCGGATGGGGACTGCGCCTTGCCGAGACAAGCACGACGTTTGTCTATCAGACTATGCAAGTATACTTAGTTTCAGTTATACAAGTAGAACATGATTGTGATATATGGCCATGTTTATTTGGTGTCAGTTCCGTAGAAGTATGTATATTTAAGAGCGAATTATATGTCATTATAGACACACCACGTCTAATAAGTCTAATATGTATCCATGATATATATATATATATACATATACATATACATATACATATAACCATATAAGAGTATACATGGTGTTGCATACTTCTCGCATATAATATCATGGTATATCAATGTATCTATATATATATATATATGCATACAATTCTATATAAGATGGTGGTTTAGTTTAGAAATCGACAGAATTGCGCAGTGTGTGTGTGTGTGTGCGCGGGTGTGTGCGCGGGTGTGTGTGTGTGTGTGTGTGTGTGTGTGTGTGTGTGTGTGTGTGTGTGTGTGTGTGTGTGTGTGTGTGTGTGTGTGTGTGTGTGTGTGTGTGTGTGTGTGTGTGTGTGTGGTGTGTCTGTGTGTCTGTGTGTCTGTGTGTCTGTGTGTCTGTGTGTCTGTGTGTCTGTGTGTCTGTGTGTCTGTGTGTCTGTGTGTCTGTGTGTCTGTGTGTCTGTGTGTTGTGTGTCTGTGTGTGTGTCTGTGTGGTGTGTGTCTGTGTGTGTGTGTCTCTGTGGTGTGTGTCTGTGTGTGTGTCTCTGTGTGTGTGTGTGTGTGTCTCTGTGTGTGCGTGTGTGTGTGTGTGTGTGTGTGTGTGTGTGTGTGTGTGTGTGTGTGTGTGTGTGTGTGTGTGTGTGTGTGTGCTGTGTGTGTGTCTCTGTGTGTGGTGTGTGTGCGTGTGTGCGTGTGTGCGTGTTTGCGTGTGTGCGTGTGTGCGTGTGTGCGTGTGTGCGTGTGTGCGTGTGTGCGTGTGTGCGTGTGTGCGTGTGTGCGTGTGTGCGTGTGTGTGTGTGTGTGTGTGTGGGTGTGTGTGTGTGTGGGGGTGTGTGCGTGGGGGTGTGTGCGTGGGGGTGCGTGCGTGCGTGCGTGCGTGCGTGCGTGCAGGGTTTACAGTCCTTGTAGAACGCTTGCAGTGAAACTGTCCTTAATTTGGGGGGTTCGTTCGAGGTCTTCGGATGTACAACTTGCGACAGCTCATTGCATGAGATGCGACGCCAAGTGTGGTCGAAGCCTGAAACAATGGCAGAGAACGTAGCCAAACCACCCTCAAACCCCGAAAACCTTCCACCCTAAGGTGGAATAGTACTGGACGATCCAAGACATTGCCTTGCCTACCTTGCGTGCATGTGAGAGTCGAAGCCCTGAGCCCGAAATCCTTAAACCCGTAGACCCTAAGTGCATAAAACTTCAAGCCCTTTCTTCCAAGGCATGGAGTGCCCAGCTGGCACATGGAGCATCGCCCGCTCGGCACAGTGCCCCCGGGCTGTAACAAAGCCAAAAAAGTACCAGTGTGTGTGTGTGTGATTCACCATCGGGGAGCGAGGCCCAAGGCGGTAGAACTTCAGAGGATGCCCCCACAAGAAGTACAAGGCAGCGCTCTCAAAGAGGCCCCTGAAGCCCAAGCCTCCGAGGCACGGACTGTCCAGAGGGCCGCTGGAGCCATCCTGGCTCGCGGGACCGAATTTCTCAGAAGAAGCTCAGAAAGTCCAGCGCAATGGGTTGCGGTTGATGAGCTCAGGAAGTTTAGGCTACGAGGCGATCAGGATACCAGCTTTATCCTGCAATATCGTGCGATTCGCGCAAATAGGTTCAGGGCCACAATGCCTTGAGGACTTACGAGGCGCCGTTACCAGCTTCCACTCCTTGAAAAGCGGGGCTGGAGAAGAAATGCCAGTAAAGGGCCATTTGTGGCTCCAACTCGCCCTGATCCAGTGTTAAATCTGACAGTCTGAAGCCCTCGAAATGTCTCCAAATCCAAAAAGCCATTGTCTCCTCAAACTTTGTCTCCATATCCTCAGCCATTGTTGGATTCCTCAAACTTTAGATGAACCGACGCACCCTCCCCCGTATACTTGTCAAAACCGTAGCCCGGAGAAAGTATTCGGAGCAAGCAATCTGCAGGACTGCGCGGCGTGCCCTCCGGGAACATACATCCTCGAGGGCAACGCGACCTGCCAGCCCCTTTCCAAAAGGTCCTTCTACATCGTGGTTGGATTTGCCCAAGGTGGGTCGATGCGGAAGGGGGAAGGGGGGAATCCGTCGGTTTCGAAGTTTTATATGCTGGCTTTTGCTTTCGGCGAGGCGCGACCCTTCTCCCTCTGAGGCCTTGCCCGCATCGCTACTGGAGCTTCGAGTCCTCGGCCCCTCGGCCCAATCGTGCTTTTAAAAACTGCCTTAGAAACCCCAACATGTCCCATCAACATTGCGTTTGAACCGGGAAGGTGGAGCTTGGATATAGATTCCTTGTTGCTGCGAGATGTTTTGCAGCCTTCGCAGCCCTGATTGTAGCAAGTATAGAAGAGAACTTCGTAGAAAGATCAGATGTTCACCCCAGAGCCTGCAAACGTCGAGAAGCAACAACAAACAATTCTCAGAACTGCGCTTGAGGGGGCCCTAAACTACTAAAACGCCTCAGGCTGAATGTGAGCCGCTGGGCTCGGGCGCCTGGAGTACGTTGCGTGTGCAGCACCTGTACGACGAGAACCTCAGGCGGCTGAGTGGGCGCAGCCTCTTGAATATCCTCCTGTGAAATGGTGAGTCTACAGTGCTTGGGAGCAAAGTATGTCTTAAACCCTCCCATGCACAGCTTTCTACACTCACTGCCCTTGAAAGTACGTGTTGCATGTCTAGTTTGGGCATTTGGGCGTCTGAGGGTTGAGATGCGTTTAGGGTCAAGGGCTTGGCGTTAAATTCAGGGATGTGTGGACACCGCAGCGCATGCAAAAGGTTGCTTTCAGCGAGCAAGGATCTAGCGAGAGGTGGAGAGACAGATTGCCGAAAAACTTGACAGCGTTGATCTGGCGAAGCCACTTCTGATAAATCATCTTTATTCTTATCAAGCTGAGAACGAGTTTTTTGCAGCATTGGGGAGGCTTCGAGGTTTAGAGGTTGGACTCTACCCACGCCAGGGATGGCACCGGTGAAGATCGCAACTCGGCAGGGTTGAACCATGTGTGCATCCTTTTGTTTCGGCTTGACACAATACTGATGGGTTCTTGATGTTGTTTTGCTAGCATCCCAGCTTGCAAAATGTTATAGCCCGTGCCATGTCATTTCATGTCATGTCAGTTCGAAGAGTACTCAGAGACCTGATTCTTAGTGTGAAGTTATGATCTTCGTCTCACTTGTAGCTACAAATAGCCGCCAGGCTACACCTCAAACCCCACATCCCACAGCAAGCTTTCATGTCCCAACCGCGGTCTGATAACCAAGTCGCCCTAAGCACTTAACTGCTTACTGATCTCGTCAGGCTGGTTTGAGATTCGACCGCGAGATCTCGCGACGGATCCGTGGGTTCTGGCAGTCAGGGAAGATGTGCTGCAGGAGGATTGAAAACAGCGACCATTTGGTTGCTTGCAGACCTGAAGCCTGCTTTGAATTGCGCCCCTTCAAGTACCAAAAGCATCTGCGATGCTTGGCGGCTCAAGCCTCGCATACGCAAGACCTCACATGTGCACTGGTCACGGGATACACTGCTGCACCAGCATGCTGTAAGAGTTCAAGAAGGCATGACCGACCTTGACTAGTTTCCAAAGAAGGAACATACCACGTCACCCTACTTTTTCAGCTTACAAGTCACTGGTTACCAAGCAGGCTTTGGGCCTGATCGGTTCCTGTAGTTGCGGGCTCCTCCGATCGCCGAAGGGGCGAGTGTCTGGAGGGGTCGGCGACACAATGGGAAACCATCACGCAACTCCGCAAATATTGGCTGCGGTGTTTCTGCACGCATGTTGTTACACGAAAGCATGGGTTGGCTTACTGAGATGCGCGCGCTGTTTGTCTGTCCAGGCTTGTTTCCTGTTTGTCAGGCGTTGTGCCACTACTTGGCGAGTAAGGGGACTCAGGACATAAGGAAGCATCAATAAGTTTCTGTGTACTTCACGCTGCACAATGAGACTGAGAGCGCAGACAGTCGAAGTGCCCTCCACATGCAGAGACGGCCTTTGCATTCTGCAGGAGTGCCGAACATAAGCTAGCTATACCTCTCCTATCCCCCCAGATTTCTCGAATCCACAGGCAATACCTGCCTGACATGCATGCCTGGTAATTCCGGAAGCCTGCTTTGAGCATCAATGTTGAGCATCAATGCACTGAGTCCACGGGGCACTTTTTCAACCTCTGCGGTTGCACCGATGCCGCTGGGCCTCGCAGTTCCTTAAGTGTTGCCGACGGTGTTTTCCGGGAGCGATCAAGGATTGTCAACAAGACGCGCTGAGGGTTTTGATGAGGAAAGCGGGTTTAGGAGTTTCAGGGGCCAAGACATGTCAACTCATTGTACCCGTGGCTTCCGCAACGGGCGTTGGGCACTTGGTAGGCTCAGACTTCGGTATGCCCGGACGCCCAGGTCATCGGTTTCGAGGGCAGCGCCAAGGCGTGGGACTTTCATTGTGTCTTGAAGGTGTGGAAGTTTTAGGGTAAAAGAACACAACAATTCTGGAATCCAGGCAGTCATCAACATGTATGAGATCAAGCTCGGGCCTCAACGGGATTTTGGGGGTTGAGGGTATCGGGTTGTTGGTGGACTTTCTTGTTCTCAACCTTTGGGCTTGGATGATTGGCTTCGTGGGCCTTGGTTGCTTGGGGCTTCGGGCCTGCTTCAACAACTCATTCCAACAACAAAAACCAAAACCTCTGTCAAAGGATGGGCCACTGCAGATGGAAATTTGGGGCTGAACAATCTACAGCCTTGCAAAGTTTTACCCTCAAGCTCAGATTCAGTTTTTGAACCTTGAAGCCTGGGCGTTGGTTTCAGGGTCGAGCCCCAAAAGTTGAACATGTAGGGCTACAAGGGTGCAAAAATGTGTAGCAGTGCGAAGGTTCCCTATACCCGCAACCCTAAACCCGCATGTATCAAAACATCTTAGCAGCAGCGTGGAGGTTCCGTTGCTCCGAGGCCTTGGAACGCGCGGAGCTTGATTCGTGACAATCTCAACAAGCAGGCCCGGGGAGCTTTTTCAGCGGTTCTGGGTTTGTGTTTGGGTTTATGGTTAGGGTGTGTAGCTTTAGGATGCTGGCAATCGAGGTTTCGGAAGATTGCCCTGGCGATTTCTTTGGAGCAGCCCCCAGAAGTTTCCTGCAAAACGCCCTGAAGCTCCTAAGCCCACTCTGAACCCTAAAGCCCCTGTTTGCCCCAAGGCTAAGCCCCTCTGCTTGGGGTTTCCTACACATATCTAAACCCCTACAAAAAGTCCTTGAAAAGGCAAAACTAGGAGGTTTCTTAAGCAAGTAGTAGGTATGGAAAACATCATTTCTCAAACTCCTGACACCTAACTTCACCCTGTTGACACCAGCCCCAATCAGTTGCAGCTCAGGGCGACTTGGCGAGGAAGTCACCCCTGCGGAAAGTGCCGATCATGGTTCCTCGGCAAGGTCGAGGGCATGCGATAGTTCGAGGGCGTCGTGGCCTGGGGTCATCGATGTTGGGAGGTCGGAACTTGGTAGTCCAGAGCGTTTTCGGGGGTTTTAGGGCATTGCTCGGAGATTCCGCGCATGATTTTGGGTTGGGTCCAAGAGCTGTCACACTAAAGATGTTTAAAGCTTGATCTTGCTTGACTTTTCGGGAATTGAGGGCGCGAGCATGACGGGAGGAGGATTAGGCAGAAGTGTTGCCTAAGAATATCTGAGCCTTTGAAAGTTGCTGCTTCTAAGTCACTGTTCACCTGATGAAGATGATGAAAATGATGATGATGATGATGATGATGTTCTCTAAGGGAGCTAGCTGCCCCGTAAACTCTTAAACTCAAAAAACTCGTGGCCCAGGATGGTCTGGAGTACTTTCAGAAGCAGATCAGGAGTTCCATGCGCCTGGGGCGGCACTTAGAGTTGGCGCATGTGGCAGTTCCGCGGAAGCTCGAAGTTGAGCAACAACAGATGTTCTGGGATTTGTGGGGAACCCTTACTTCGCCTTGAGTATTCATGTCTAGCCTCAAAAAACTTCAGGGCTATTCGGCTACTGGAAGCAGTAAGAAAGTTCACAGAGGTGCGGAGTACAGGTTTGCAGTGGCGCGTCAGTTGTGTCTTCTTTGTGTGGCTGGAGAGTGCGGCCTTTGGGCCTTCAAAATACAGGTGTCAGCCACAGACACCAGAGCGACTGAAACCGGATGCCACCCGGCACCCCATGATAGCTGAGCTGCCACCGCCTCGAAACTCTAAAGTCTACGCATATCAGGCTAGCGCCTCCGAGTTCTCTGCCCACCCTGGCCATGAGTGCGTTGACAGATCGGCTAAGCGTCAGCTGAAATACGCTCCTCCTCAAGAGGGTTTTCCTACACATGCCCCACTGCCCCCACCACGGGCGAAACTGTCCGAGAAGGGCTGGAGTTGGGAGCTGATCGCCGCAGCTCTCGCAGCTTCACACCAACAAGTCTTCAGCACCTTCGCGAGGGCCGGGCACTCGAGACTCAAGAGATCGCAGGTCATCCGCATAATTGGGCACAGATGACAGCGCAGGAGGAGAAGAGAACATCGGAAGACGCGAGAACGCAGCAAGCACTACGACTAGGCCGACTTACGTGGTGCTGATGAAGCGGGAGCTCGAGGAGCCCAGAACCCAACAAACAGTAGCAGGCGACCCAAAGAGACGTGGAGGAGCTGTGAGTAACAAGAGTGAAACTTCAGTGAGGCCTTGCATAGGAGCGCGGCTGGAGTATAGACGATGCGCTCGATGCTCAATGCGGTTGTGAGGAGGAGTCGAAAGTGGAGTCGTGAGGAGCGTGGAGTTGAGAATGGAGACATGAGGAGCGGAGGGAAAGGGAGAGTGCTTGCGAGAGTGAGACTGCTTGATGCAGGAGCGCTACGAAGCGATTCAGCAACAACACCGGAGCCAGCGTGGCGAAAATTTCCTTCCAAAATCAAGAACTTGCACATACCAGCATTATGGCCCTGAAAGCCAGCAGTCGCAACACTAACTCTGCTAAATAATCCCCTCCCCTGAATATTAAACCCCCCCCCCTGCCCAAAAAAAGGAAACCATACTCTGAACCTGAATCCCCCGAGGTTTGGATCCCGAGAGCTGACGAAGGATCGCTTCGTGGCCGCTCGCACTGGACACAGGGATCTGGATGTGTTATTGAGATTATATATATATACATATGTTTATATATATATATACATAATATAGAAATACATATATGTATATAGATATAAAAAATATAATATATGTGTGTACTATCTATCTATATATTCTATATGCATATGGGTCAAGCACGTCTCAGCAGCTTGTAGTTTCACGGTGAGCCGCGGTTGAGCGTGTCCAGGTTTGTGCGGATCCGAAACAGAAGCGGTTCAGTCCTCTTTGTGTGGATGCGCGCCTTGCAACAGGTACTTGTCAGTGTATCATACGGTCAACAAGTTAAGCATATCCGACATCAGCAGCCAAGGAAATCGCCGTGATGCTCTTAGGCCGGACCCGGGGTGTTTGGGCTTGGCCTGTAACCAAAAGTTGGCACCGCGTCGCAACACCCGAAACCTCATATTTTTGAAAATGGCAGCCCGCTATATTCCATGATTCCAATATAGTGCGGACACCGGTCCCCCACCCGTCGAACACTCGCTACAACCCAACAATCCTGAACGTGCCCAACAAGAAGACCTAAGTTTGCCCAATTTGCCTATTGATCCTACGCAGGTCAGCAGAACATCCCGCACAACCCTCGCGAGCGGGAGGCGGAAAACCTTCCATTCCCTTGAGGTCGAAAGGTCATGGTGGGTAGGGCGATAGGCATTTCGAACACGTTGTGCACCTCCTTCACAGACTCGCACCTGAAGCTTTCCGGAACCCCCAACCAGCAACTCTCAGCGCGAGACCCCCAGCTTCTCCAACAGAGGATCTCTACCAGATCTTCGACTCCATGGACTTCGACAAGCTGCATGGCTGCAGGTCTACCAGAAGAGCATCCAACCCGAGTTGGGACTTGTTGGACTTAAGTCGCTGAACCTCGAAAGCCTCTGAGATGCCCAACCTCCCACGTGCTCCCCAAACATCCGGCACTTTGGTTCCTGATCTTCCCAAACCCTCCCAAGCCCGACTTTCCAGGAATGGGACCCTGAGCACAGGGGAGTGGGCAGCTGGCCTTTCCGTGTTCTTCAAGGGCTCCATGGAGGAGGTGGCGGGTTGAGGAAGTGGTAAGTTCTCCACTTCTTGGGACCTTCATCCACCTGCGACCCAAACTGCAAACTTCCCTGAAGGCCGTGCGAGCCGTGTTCCGCAGCCCGGCTGGACAATCTGGGCCTTCGTTTGGGTTAACAGCAAGGCTTTTGCATGCCTTTGCCCAAGCACTCCCAAACGAAATGAGGGGGCGGGGAGAGGAAGGCAGGGATGTTGCAGGTCTGACATGAATGAAGCGTGAGAGGATAAGTTCGGACAGTGGTCCTGGGAGCTCTTTCTTGAATGCCTGGAGCGTCTTTGAGGCTGCCTGGACGCCAACGAGAACGGCGCCATCTCCAAGTCGGAGCTCCAGGCTCGGAGTTTTTGCACAGGATCAGAGGACCCATGAAAATTAACCCATGAACCATATAAACCCTGTAATTAAACCCTAGAATATATAAACCCTTTGACCCCCCTGTACTCTCACTTGGGCCGTGAAGCCCAGAAGACTTGATGAAACTTGGAGCCATCCTGAGCCTTGCAATCCAAACTAAAAAAATCGCGCTCCCGCCCGATCTGACACTCTCAAATCGTAGCATCCCAATGCCGTAGCTATCCTAGCATTCTATAAATCTCCAAGAAGAAAGTTGAAGGGGATGTTCAGGTCCAAGCAACCCCGCCCCCCCCCCCGCTTGCGAGGTCTACCTGTCCCCTTTCGTCAAGGCCATGTCCCCGCCTGAGGCTGCGGCCCTTCGGCCCATCCTTGAGAAGAAGGCCAGCGCGAATTTACAGCTTTCAACTCGTCGGAAGAACCCTCGGCTTGCTCACCGCCGTTTCCTGATAGGGCTTTGGGTGTGAAGGGTGATTCTGGGGTAAACGCCCGGGTCCTGAAGTCCTTGGAATAGCCATAGAAAAGAACCGTGCCTATCGCCCCTGGGGCATGCTGTCAGTCGACGCCCCCTCCCCCCTCGGCCCCGTCCCAAGAGGCAGTGGACGACATCTACTACGACATGGAACCTCGGTTTTTCTGGGGCCCTGCAGTTCCTACTAGTACTGTTGGAAACTGCGGGAACCTCCGGCTGTTTCTGGCTTCAGGAATTGAGGCCACCTCCCTAAGCCCTCTTCTGAACCCCGTGTTTTAGGGGCGTGTACCAAGGACATGGATCACCAATCCGACATCTCCAGCGATGAGATGCTGGCGTGGCTTTGCCTGCCATACAGCTGTAAGACTCGGGTTTCGGAGCAATGGAGGAAACAGCCGTGGGCACAGACTTGCTGCCACGACATCAGAACAGGCTTGCCCTAAAAGCAAAGACAGAGAGCGTCGTAGGTGGACAGGGAAACATGAAATTCCCAAGCGATCAGCAGTCCCTCACTCCACCCCGGACAAGTGCTACTCAGTAAAATGATGCAAAATATCCACCGGCAGAAGGAAACCGAAGCCACCTTGTAATTTCGAGATACACAGTGTGGAGTTCACGTCCCCAAGTTCATCTAAGTCCTAAATCACCCAGAAGCACATCACTCTTACCAAAGGTCCGTGACAAGCAAGCTTTATTGGCGTCGAGGGTTTTTGAGCTCTGGTTGGTCTGTTTGGGGTTTAGGGCTTCCACGGGCTTCACAAAACCAAAACTGGGAATTGAGGTGGAGCCGCCGCGGAAATAACATCATCGACCGTTTGGCCGACATCATCGACCAGGAGGTCTCAGACTTGGGAGCGCAGCATTCGAGGATTTGTGCCGCGCGGTGGGGCGCCGGAAGACCTAACATGGTTTAAGCCACAGGACTGCTCTTGTGGGTACGCTTGCGCGCGTGATGCCCGCTGCCACTGGTCACAACCTAGCTTGAATCCAACTCTCTCAGCTCCGTGCTACTGAGCCTTACGACCGCAGACACGCCGCCAGGTCTACCAGCTCTGGCTGGCGGAGTCCAAGAGGAAGAACCAGAATCGGAGGCCGCCTGCCAAGGGCCAAGGGCGCTTTGGGGGAGGCTTAGTGCTACCATGGAACTTTAGAGCTTAGAGATGTTGAATTAGAGTGCATCTAGGGCCATGCATATTTGTTTAGTGCTCGGTGCGATTTCCCTCAGAAGACCATTTGCAGGTTTGTAGGGCTGAGACCAGAACCAAAACAAGAAAACCAGAGCGTTTCAGAACCCGCAGGTACTCGGACCCTAGCAGCGCGAGCCCTGCAGGGAGCAGCCCAGGGAGCGGACGCTACGAGGCCTCAACACTCATCTCTCGTCCTTCTGCTGGGCTCTTTTGGCTTTGCGCGTCTCGTAAAAAGCGGAATGAGAACCTCGTTGGAACCGATGCTCGCAATACGCCCTGGGGCTTATGGTACAGAACTGGGTTGGTGGTTGCTCCGGCCTAGGTAGGATGAGCCAAACAGCGGCGCGTGATTTTAGTTATCCTGGGCACAGGGCCGTAAAATGCTGGCGCAAACCAGAAGGTAACATGTTGCCTGAACACCAGAAGTTGAAGCCTGCCCAAAACTGCTTTGTAGCGTGCTGGGATGCCCATGCTCCAAGCGTTTCTGACCGGAACCCCGCTTGTTCCGCAAGCTTTGACGACGCCCCAGGCAATGCCGATGGACTACCAAGAGCCTGGTTACGGTGCCACCACCTACGCTTGGGTTTATCGAAGTTCGCTCGGGGCTTTTTTTTGAGTGCAGGGGTTGAGTGGTTGGGTGTTTCCGGCAGCGGAACTTAGATGAGCCAAACGTGAAGCAGCTTTACTTGCGGGCACGTTATGGACTGGGCGGTTGTCATGTTGATGGGAGAACGATAAGGTGACCGCCCAAAAGCGATAACGTCAAAAGCACAAATATGTTTTTGCAACGTCAGTTCCACTACTAAGCTTGTACTATTTCATACCAATGACAATGCTTCTCTCGGAATGATATGCCAGCCGGTTCACGGAAACATCGATGCCCGTACAGGGCTTGTCCTACAAACCAATGAAAATCCAGCCGGATGACGGGAACATGGATTTTTTGTTCTCGAATTTTTTGCTGCCTAGCACATTGTGGTAGGACCGTTTTGGCTTGTTCAGCTGCGAAAACCCTCCCGGCATCGGCAGAACACCAAATCTGGGACTATCCAATGAAGCCCCCAAGTTCGTGCGCGACGTGGTAGGGTCATTTTGGTGTGTGTTGCTGTCGTTAAATTAAACGAAGCCCCCAAAATGGCCAACGCATGCTGTGGTAGGGACATTTTGTTGTGTTGCTGCTGCCATTTCAAAGCAAACCCCTCAAAAATCGCCTTAGCACGCTGTGGTAGGGCCATTTGGTTCGTTTTTGCCGCAGAGAGACCCCCGAAAAAGCGCCCTGGCAAGCACCATTTTGGTGTGTTTGTGCACCAAACACGGCTCTCGGAAACGTCGATTCCAGTACTAGGCTTGCACTACAAGCCAATGAAAATCCAGCCGGCCCACGGGAACATCGATTCCCGTTTAAGTTTAAGTTTGCACTCTAAACCAGGAAACTAAGCCGGCTCATGGAAACGTCGATGTCAGTACTAAGCTTGCAACCACACCACTAAGTCATTGGAACCGGAACAGCCTACAAACCCTCACTGGGAAACACCTCCAAAACACCTCCAAAGTGTCTCCACAATCTCGCAGCCAATGCCAGGCCAGCGTGCGTCGATGAGTTCCATGGGCCCTGGCCCAGCTCAGCCAGGGCGCGCCGGAGGGGGCGGCGGGTTTTATGTCCTTTTCGGTGGTAGTTTGTTGAAGGAGTCAGGTTGGAAGGGCCGTCCTGCACGTCCCAGGCACGCCTCCATTCGGGGTCTGAAGATGTCAATCTAGCATCTCGCCCTGTTTCCCACCTGTCTCCGGGATCCTTAAGTCTCCTTAAGTGCGTCCAAGACGTAGCTAGTGGTCACAGATCTTCCGCAAGCAAGTAGCTGTAGCCTCTAGACCGCACACACACAGATATATGCATATATATATATATAAATATAAATATAAATATATATATATATATGTATGCGCACACACACCTGAGACCTGCGCTGCACTCATCAAGAGAGGTACGAGCATTCTGAGTATGGCCCGGGGCCATATCAACAGCCCAACACGGGCACCTTCGGCAGCATATTGAAATGAGGTGTCAGCTTTGTAGCTTGGGTTTTGTTGGTGGGTAGGTCCGGGCAGACGTTGGGTTCTGACCCTCTGTTCTTGGGGTATCGAAGTTGAGGACATGTTCTCTTGGGCCTTGCCATGCTATGAACAAGTAAGAGATGAAGCCTATAGCAAACCTGAAAGCGCATGGAGCTAATGTCGCCCTCGGGGCTGAGGTTACTCTGGAAACTTCCAGTCTTCGTACGCCTCACCGCCTGCCTACAGCTCCCAGTCGCCACAGTACTCTCAGTACGGCGGCGGCATGGCGCAGGATGCCAGGCCCCTCTTGGGCCCGCCGAACGATGCCATTAACCCAGTGAGTGTGAAAGGTTGGTTTCCCTTGGCTTCTGGTGGTTTTGGTTGCGCAGTGCTGTTGTCAAATGGTTTTGCAGGTGTTTTGCTGGTATTCACGCATCCACTCACGTCACAAGGTTCGATGTAAGCCCACTTGCCGCCAGGGCTCCGCCTCCGGACCTCCACGATCCTTTCGTACCCTGGCGAAGGGGAAACTTAAGGCTTGGAGGAGAACTTATCAGCCTTGGGATGCTTACAATAAGATGAGGGTTGAGATTTGGAATTTGGAGACCTTGCAGGCGTTGACCGGAACTTTTGACAGCATTTCGTCTGAACCCCAATGGCCCGAGCCGCAAAAGGATTTTAAGGGATGTCTCGATCCTGCAAGAGCCTCTCCAAGCCCTGTAAGCTCCGAAGCCTAAAGCCCCCCGTCGCCCACCAACTTAGGGCTGGCAGCCGAAAGATCCCAAGAAGGCCCAATCATGTTCCTCAAGTCGAACATGGTGAGCCCGGATGTAGCAGGCACCAAAAGAACCTCCCCCAAAGCATTCGCATCCCGGAACGAGGCCCAGCCGCGCGCCGGAGCCATGCCGCATCCCTCAGCCCAAGTGGTTCTCGAGACTTGTGCTGACTTTCTCGATTCTGAGTGTGGGTTCTCCGAAGCCTGCCGTGCTTGCTTTGGACATCACCGACACGCCTTGAGTCCAGGCCGCCGCCACCTCCACCTCCCGCGCCCGGGCGGGGTGCACCGCCTGGCTATGCTGGAGGTTCGGGGTATAGGACACGATCATGATGGGATATCTGGCCCTTCAGAAGGGCTTTTCGGGCATCTCACTGAATCTGAGGGCCGTAGGGTAGAAATCCACAGGAAAAAGGCCTGGATAGGTCTGGATTATCTTGAAATGCTGCGAACGGGCTGCAAGACGAACTGCGTGGCCTGGCAGAGCAAGGTTTCCTCTTTTTGCACCGGACAAACTCCAGGGATCTCACAGGGCCTACGGCGCCAGGTTGTGTTGGCTACAAAGGGTAGGCAAACAGCTCCAGGCGGGTTGAAGAAAGAAATTTGGGCAGACGAAGTCAGCGGCCGGAATTTCCTGTAATTTTGGTTCCCAATCGAGAGCCAGAGGAAGGCACGCAAGAAGAACGACAACGGTGAGACAAGAAGGGGGACCAGGGCTCGTCCCGCGGTCCGGTTCTGTCCCACCGGAGAATACCGGAGGGACAGAACCTGCAGAAATGACGGCACGTCCCACTTCCCAAGAGAGGCTCGAGAGAAGAGAAACCAGGGGCGTGTCATGGCGTGTCCCACGATCCGATTCCCAAGCGCGGCAACACCGGAGACGAACGAGCACGATCCCATTTGCCAAGAAAGGAGACGCAGTAGAGGACCAGGGTGAGAACTGCATCTCCAGGTGGCTGCGCGCCTACCCAGGTCCGGGTCCCAGAACCAGCATGTGAAACCTACAGGGCCTACAGGGTGTCCCTTTTTGTGGATACTAAAACCTGCTTCACGTTTGTAATCATTTTAACGCTACGCGACCCGCCTCGGCCCAGCCCAGCGCATCCGCGTGAGCATGAGCGCCCGAGTCGCTGGACCCCAAGAAAATAAGGGTTGGGTTTAGGGTTTAGGGTTCCGGGTTGATGGTTTATGGTTTGGGGTTTAGGGTTGAGGGTTGAGGGCTCAAGGTTCACGGTTTGGGGTTTAGGGTTTTTTTGGGTTTAGGGTTCAACTGCCTCTGGTCCTGGCGAACCGTCCGCTTTGTGGACCCCGGTTTCCTAGGGGGGGTACCCATTTGAGGCAAAAAAAAGGGGTCCGAACAAGGGCTTGGGGTGTGGGAGGATTTGGAGGGGGGTGCCTGTTCTGACAACCTATACACCTCCGGCCCGAGGCCTCGGCGGATATCTGTTGCACGCCCCACCTTAGATTGGCCTTGGGAACTTCGAGTGTCTCCCCGATGGTGGTTGCACCTGCAGCTCATTGAAGATCCCCTATCGAGTTTTTTCTAGAGTCTGGGAGACAGGGGCCAAGTCTGTGACAAATCAAGAAGAGCCCCCAAAGCCTTGAACCTCATCGAGGCCTACTCCGCGTACAGCAGCGCACCCTGTCAGTCTTCGTCTCCACAGTATCGAGGCCGCGGACCCGGAAACTCAATCCCCCTATAAGCCCCTAAACTAAAACTCCTGATTCAGACCACTTGTAGGATCCTGCCGGATCTGCTGCTAGTGCGCAGGGTTCTGGATGTAGAGGCTACGCCCATGTCAATGTCTTGCAGCAGCGCATTGAAGATGACAAGTGCCCAGTGAATAAAAATCAGTATTGGTTTCGGGTGTCCTTCACACGAGAAAGCAGGACCCAGATTCCCAGATGTGGTCTTGAAAGTACATGCTGATCTGAAAAGAAGTTCCCTGGGCCTCCAGCAGCCTCCAGCCAGTGGACCTGGCCATGTGCCAGGCCGATACTGACTTGGTTGCCAGCGCCTGCGCCGAGGCCTAGCAGTAGTGCCTTCGTGGTTGAGGGTTGAGGGTCTTGAATCTTGAACACCCCCGTAGAATGTAAATGGCCTGGCCCAAATGCTCCTCGGCTGATCTCAAGGAGGCCAAAATGCTCCAAGAACTCCGACTGCAATCCAGTATATACACTAGTTAGATGCCCATCGCATATAGTAGTTGCATCCTGCGCTGCTCGGGTCCTGGCCAGCACTTTCCGTGGGTATGGATGAAAACGTGCCCGAGGCGCTCCAAGGAAAGCTGAAGATTGCTGCAGGCAAGTACACGTTCATGGGGTCTGGCTGTTCTCGCTTCGGGATGCGCAGGCTCCCATGCCGCACTTCGCCAATGATCATTCGGAGATGCACCAAGCAGTGTCCCTGTGGCTCGGAGGAAGCAAGCGTGGATCCACAAACCCAGAATTGTCAGCGCTGCCCCATGCATTGAGCAGCGAGCGAACATGCACGAACTTTGATCTTTGTACAAGGAATGAACCCGAAACTGCCTAAAATGAACCTCGAACCCCGCAAGAGGTACAGGCACTGGAATTTAAGCCTATAGCTGCATGGTCGAGAATGGTTTGATGCCAGCTTGGGTCTAGGGCTGCTGAGAACTTGGGAGGGCGCGCGATGGCTGGACGAAATGGGACATGCATTAAAAGCAAAACTCTGCTCTTAGTAGAGAGAGAGAGAGAGAGTGAGGGAGGGACTTTTCCTTCGAGCAGCGCAGGGTACTGTGAAGTACAGTATGTCCTTCCGAGCTGAGTCCGGTGCGCAGCCCATCAGCTTGATAAGTTGATAAGTTTATACACAGGCTACAACCTCAAAACACCATTCCCGCCGCAGCCCAAAATCCCTCAAAGCCTATATTGACATTTTCCCATGTCCTGCGCCCCACATCGCCAACCCTCAGCACACACGCCAACACGTTTCAGGATGCGTCTATACGAGTCTATACAGGGGATATTTAACACGCCGGCGCTTCGACTCGGCAAAGTGGAGCTGGTCGCAAACGCGACTTGTCCCGCACCCGCAATTCGGACCTTTGGGATTGGCTATCCTTTATAGAACCCTGGAGACGGTCCCTGAACCCCTATAGCTGGAAACCCTCAGTATCCCTAAACCGTGACTCCCAGTCAATCTCAGAGGAGGCTGCAATTGCCACAACGCGTTAAGCCTGCGATTCTGCGCTGGTTTTGGGGGGGCAGCTGGCCCAGCCACCCGCGCTTCTCCCGCGGCTCCCCTCAACCGCTCAGAGTGCAGAAAAAACAATCGCTTTAAAGCCTCTTCAGCCCCACAAGCCCCGAAGCATGACATCCGTGTGACACGGCTTCTGAAACCCTAAACTGGGGCGGGGGGGGGAGGGGGTGGAGTCAGGTTCAAGCACGGTCCCAGTAAGCCATTGAGCTCCAAGCAGTCGACCCGCGAGCTAGGCGAGCTAGGCGGAACCGGAGTCCACACCCGGCAGGCACGGCTTTGTAAGTTGATGCCAACAATTTGCAGTGCCATGGTCTCGGCTCGTCCAGTCGGACTCGTGTCCTATAACCGACGATGATATATGCCGATCACATGAATCACTCCAGACATCTCTACAGACTGTAGCCGCTCGTGCTTCCTGTGCAATGGCCGGCGACGACGTGCTGGCAGAGTTGGGTCCAGGCCTTGTTCGGCTACCGCTTGATACAGTAGTTGCGCTCTCATGTGCGTTGTGGGACTTGGCCCTACAGCAGGCAGGCATCGCGCCTTCTTGCAACAGGTTGGGATGCGAGCAATAGAACGACTCGCCCTCCCCCCGCCCCCACCAACACTCACAAAGAGACCTCAGCTTTGCGAGGGAGGCACTGGAAAAGAGGCCACACGACGATTCAACTGTGCCCGCGGCAAGAGCCTGGTCCATTGGTCCATCCTCAGGAGTACACCTCTGGCTTCAGGCTGGGCATCCACACAGAAGTACGTAGCCAAAGGCGACCCGACATGTTTCGCCCTCAGGAACCCTTCCCGTGGCTGAGGTTTAGACTCTGACTTCTCCGATGATTCCGGGACCAGCGACTCTTTAGTTGGAGCCCCAGCCACACGGCCGCTTGAGCTTGTGTTTTAGGTTGTTGGCCAAACGTGATGTGCATTCCATGAACGACCACTTGTGGTTCAACTCCTGAGTGCCTGGTCTTCGGATCTGAGCTTTTCGATTCCGCCAGCATTCCATCCAGGATGTATGCCTCGAATTTTGTTGATCTGCGCGAAGGGTTCTCCAAAACATGAACCCTTCTTGCGAGCCTCATGTGGCCGAAAGCCTCAACCTTGAAGCTATAAATAGTGGCTCCAATGCCCTGAACCCCAAACCTGCAAGCTTTTTCATCGTTGAGTTTGGGCGTTTGTACGCTGAATCTAAGGCAACACAGGCAACATAAGTGGCTAAAGCTACAGCACAGAGGCAGAGGCAATCAAACCTCAAGTTCGCTGAGGATCTGGATGCCTTGCTGCCGCCCTCTGGCACTCAATCCCCTGAGCACAAGACCTCCACAGGCGCTTGGGATCTGCGCTGAATGACCCGACGTCTCGAACCCTAAAGCTGTGGTTATAACCTTGGTTTTGCCTCAGCAGCCTCTGCATTTCAACCCACTCCCGTTCTTATCGGCCAGTTTTGGCGCTTGTTTTTGTTCAACCACCCACCCCCCCCTGTTTCAAGCGCGAGCCTGTTCATCCCATGCCCAGGCTGTCTGCTGAAACCCCCGCAAGCTTGTTTTTTTCTTCAACACCCCAGCCTGCGTGTGTATTTGTGTGTGTGGGTGGGAGCACCATTTGAAACAAAAGCAGGGGATGCAGCCCTTGCTCACAGCTGTGTCCAAGTGAGCTTGTTAACAACTTCTGAGTATGTAAGATGATGTAAGAACGTCTTCTGGCATCTGCTGAGTCTTCTTGGAATCATTCGAGACTTCGATCCTGAGGTTTTCGAAATCGAATATCGAATGTCTTGTCAGCATCTTCTCGAAGAGCTGCCAGCGAGCAGCGTAGTGCCAAATGGAGCATTGTCCCCTCCTAAACGTTATAGTTTGAAAGCGGCCGTCCTCCAACTGCTCAGCTGCAAGGGTGAGATGCGGCTGATGTGTGATGCCCGCTCTACGTATTCCTCTGGCTCATGACATGCCCGCATGTCACATGCGGGGACTTGGCAACAAAGGGGCACTGATGCTGTGTGAAATTCCGAGCAGCCTCGGTGATGAGGGCCACAGGATCAAAAACAAAGTACAGTCTTTAAGGATGTATTTCTAAGAATTCCACAACTTCCCAAGTTCCGACAAATCGTGAAGAATGGGGTTCGCTCTAGCAAAATTGGGAAGAGGTGAGGAGGATGGTCTTCTCCGTTAGAATTAGGCAAAACCGAAACCAGAAATGGAAACCATGGTGTGTGTGTGTGTATGTGTCTCGGGGGGGGGGGGGTAAAATATAGCTTTAAAACAAATCCAAGCGAACTATTGAATGGCTTTGACTAGATCTAGGGGCCCGGTATCTTGCAGGCCACAGAGAAGACATCCGTTAATGTTCTGCAAACAAAGTAGCATTGGAATGTCGTTACTAAGCCTTTTGTACAGGTAGCACAAGCATTGGAAAGACTGCTTGCAAACCAAATGCACGACTCTGTTGACTTGGACGCAGAATACTAATGCTGGACCTGCTTTAATAAGTTACCCCCCCCCCCCCCAACAATCGAGGACCTTGAAAAAAAAAACAGTCAGGCAGGGAAGGGGTCAGGAGATTGAACCAGATCTCAAACCAAGAACTTGGACCTCAAAAACAATTAAAAAATCGGTCACGGCCCGAAACTTTTCATTATAGTGTACCCCCAAAACAACGGGCCAAAATCCTGAATAGCCGAAAAATTTTCGTAATAGCTAGGGTCCATGTGTTCCGTCGTCTTCGACTTGGAATTCCGGTTGAGTTGGACATCGTTAAAGGCACCTGTCTGTGAGGCTTCATGAAATTCAAAGAAACTTCAGCGTGACCCTAAACCCTAAACCCTAAACCCCTAAACCCCTGAACCCTAAACCCTAAAACCTAAGCCGTAAATCGAGCATGATCAAAGGCTACAGGCCAAAGGCTCATGAATCCTCAGCCCGTGCCTCGGGCGCTGACGAGTTGACAAAAGACCACGTAACTGTAAACGTTGCAAGCGCCTTTTTGGCATAAAAACATATCTGTATGTATATAATATATATATTTATTTATTTATTTATATATCTGTATATATCAACAAACAGAGCCCCCCCCCCACCCTCGTGGGGTGGTTTTCCGCCTCCCCCCCCCCACTGTTGCCACGAGTCCCAAAAATGCGCGCCCGCCGCCCCCCCGAAGCTTTTAGTTACAAAAGACGAAAACCCTAAGGAGTAAACCGCGCGGAAACCTTTGACCGAAGACGGCAAGCTTAAAGAGTAAACCCCGCAGGAACCTTTGGCCGAAGACGCCAACCGTAAGGAGTAAACCAAGCACGAACCCTTGGCCGAAAACAGAAACCCTAAGGAATACACCCAGCACGAAGCTTCTACAAAAGACGAAAAACCAGGCCGAAGACGACCACCCTAAGCAGTAAACCCCGCGGGAATTCTCGCGAAGACGCAAAAACCTTAAGGAGTAAAACCAGCAGGAACCGTTGGCCGAACACGAAAACCATGAGGAGCTTGCCCAGCATGAAGCTGGTCGGAAAAACGAAGCCCTAAGGAGAATTGCTTGAGCATGGCAGGCTCTAAAATAGAGCCGCAACAAAGCCATAACTAAGAAGCGTGTTTTGCCACCCCCCTAGCAGAGATTTGTTGGTTTTTAAGAAGAAAAAAGTTACAATTGAGAAGTTTTGTGGAAAAAGCCAAAGAGTCACATCTAAGAAACAACGTTGCAACTAACCGCTCTTCCACGTTGTGCAGTCAATTGACCCGGAGTAATAGTGTGAGGAGGCTGGTGCTACTCGTGTTGTTGTTTGTCAGTTGTCGGCTTTGTCCAGGCTATGTCTGAATGAAATGCGCATTCCGATACTTTCATTGCTTCAGTCGCAGTTTGGCCCAACAGTGAGCATCCCTTGCGAGCATATCGGGACTATTCCAGTTTGCTGGGGAAGATGTTGCCACTCGTGCTTTCAGTCTTCGCAGTCTTCGGCCTGGCCCAGTGTGACATGGTAGCCACGCAGGTCGGTGCTGGCGACGGATCACGCGTTGCAATGTCTTCTGATGGCACGAAGTTTGTTGCCGGAATGCGCAACGGCGATCTTTACACCAGCACGGGTGGCATGTACTGGACGGCTATGAACCTTGGCAGCAAAATCTGGCTTGGGGTGGCCATGTCTGCTGACGGGTCGAAGATTGCAGCCGCCGCCTACGGTGGGAGCATTTGGATCAGCGTCGACTCCGGCGCGATGTGGTTGCCGGCGTCCTCGCAGCTTCTCCTTGTTTAGTGTGTTCTTGCCGGGCACATCATCGCGCTTGTGGGGTTCATCACTGCTATGGGGCTTGTAATGTGCTTGAAAAACATCCAAGAACCACCGGTGACTGGCAAGATATCGCAATGTCGGATGATGGCTTGGTCATCGTCGCCGTCTCAAACGGTGCCTCTCCCACAATTGCAACGAGCGTGGACGGTGGCCAGTCTTGGGTTAAGGAGACCAGCATCGCCATGCAATTCGAAGACGTGGCTACGCCGCGCGGCACCACAAACGGTTTCGGTGCGAGTTTCGGGCAACTACCCTAAATCCTAAACCCATTTTCGCTTGGCCCCGCTGCTGCTTGAAGGAACGGCTCCTACATAGTGGCAACGGCCCCGTTTGACAGCAATTTTCAGTCTGGAGGCACTCGGGGTTTCCAAAAGCAAAGGCTTTTCCATTTCTCGTGCACTAAAACCCCAAACATCCCCAAACCCTAAAGACGTAAAACCCTATGTAATGGAGGCATTTACACCAGTGCGGATTATGGCCAGACCTGGGCAGAGTCCACCCACCCAAATTCGGTATCAAATTCGGACAAAATGCTGGCTGACATTGCCATGTCCGCCGATGCCCAAATTCAAATCACTGTTGCGACTTGGTGACAGTGACCTTCCCCATCGCGGTCACGCTTCCGATTACTTCCCTTGTATTTCTTTTCTACTACTTATTTTGGTTTTATTCCTGCAGACAGTGTTGTTGTAGCTGCTCAGACAGGGACTTCGTTCATAATAGCCCAGCAGCCCATGCATCGTGTGAGTCTGAAGCGAGGGCACCACCAAGGTGAGCAGTGACTTGCCGTTTGTCAGCAACGACATGGGCACTACCTGGACCGAGGCGGCCAGAAACCAGGGACTAAACCCTTAACCCTAAACTCGAAGCCATGAGAGATCTCCCTACGGCTGATGGACAATCCTGAATTACCCACTAAAAGGAATATACCATAATTCCCATTGTTTAGGGTCCTTGAGGTCAGGCAGGATTTTGTCCAATCAACAGTAGTATGGTATAGTATGGTGTAGTGTAAGATGGGGCCCCTGCGCTTTACGACACCTCCAAGGTGCAACTTGGCAGTCCCGGGCAGTACACGTGCAATTCGGCAGCGATGTCTGCCGACGCTTACTTAGCCAATGGGAGAACTCTAAATTTTTTGGCTATATAATTATGTATGGTTTATGATCAAAGTTTGAACTTTTTGGGCTCCGGTTATTGGTGAAGAGAGGACGGCTCCAAGATGTTCGTTTGTTGCTACAATTCCAATGACAACCATCATTATGCATGGCTCAGTGACGACGGTGGGACACTCTGCGAGAAGTTTGACCTTTGTGCAGATTTCATGTTTTCTCCATGCTAAAGGCTTCTGCTATGAGATTCACTCTCGCAGTGGCTTGAGCGTGTTTTGGAGAAAATACTCTTACCAATCCTTCAGAGTTTCCACACCCAGGCATGAAGGCTTTACTGGCCCCTGGTCTGAAAAGCTGATCCTTACACGTAATGCAGACCTGGTCAACTAGTCTCCTCCGCTGTATAGGAACAAAACTATGGATCCTCATATGATGGCCCTGAAGATCGCACACTTGCTTCCCTCCGCATCTCAAGACCGTGCTGCAGTTTGATATGACGCGACCGTCTTTCAACATTGAGGCGGCATGAAACTCGTGAAGCCCTAAACCCTAAACCCTAAAGCGTGGACGAACTTGAATGAACCGCCAGCCGAGCCGAGGGCGACTTGGGGGACAGACCCCGGGGTCGCGTTCGAAATCGAAGGCTGTCAGACTGCGCTGAGCGCGAATGGGTCGATGGCCGTGTTGCGGGTCCGATATCTGGCAACGGATGGGTGGCTTATTTTAATCCACAGTATCCAACCACCACAACCACCACCACCACCACGGCTACCACCACCAGCACCATGACAGCAACATACACAACCGTGACCAGCACCAGCACCATGACAGCCACGAACACAACCCTGACCAGCACCAGCACCAGCACCACTGCCACCGCTACCACAGTTACCGCTACCACAGTTACGGCTACGGTCACCACTTTCACGGCCACGGCCACGACGGTCACGGACACCTCCACGGCCACCAGCACTGGCACAGTCACCGACACGGCCACCAGCACTGGCACAGTCACCGTCACCGCCGACACTACCGATCCCACCGACGAGACCACTACCACGATGGCACCGGTCCCCACTGTCGTTGAAGTTTCTGTGGAGCTCACGGTGGACGACCCCACCGTGATTACCGAGAACGAGACGCTGAAGGACGCCATGATTGACGGGTTTGCTAGCGCAATGGGAGTGGAGCCGTCACAGGTGACGGTCGAGTTTGTGGAGGTCAACGCAAGGAGGCTGTCTACCACGCTTGTGGCCATCTTCAAGGTGACCCTCCCCAGTGCGCAAGCCGCCGAGGAGGGAAGTTTGCCAAACCAGGGATTTCCTGGCAGGAGTAAGAGGTCTTGCTGCCACCTTCAGAACTTCAGATACCAGAACCGAGTGTTTTCGAGCGTCTTTGTAATTTTATTTTGCATACAAACACGTGGGGCACTGTGGCTCAGAGTGGGTCTAGGGAACCCTTAAATCCTGAACCCTGAGCCCTAAACCCTACACCCTAAACCCTATCACGCTTGAAGAAAACCCTATCACGGATGCACGGCGGCGACTTCGTCCGAGCGCCGGATTTTGAAAAACATCAGCCTGAACGAGGATGGATCCTCCGATATAGTGATCCTGTACAAACCCTGGGGCCCCAAACCAAACAACCGTGTACAGTTTAGGGTTCATTTAGGGTTTCAGGTACAGGGTTCAGGGTGAATTTGTTTTCCGCTTACTTTTCCGCAGCTTCTTTTGCGCAGGAAGCGAAGGCCGCGATTGAGCAGGTTTCAGTGACCGACACCAACACGGCCATCGCCAAGGCTGTCTCGGACGTGGGCTACACCGGCACAGTGGAGGCCGCGGCTTCGGTTAGGTTAGGGTCTCGAGGTTTCAGGGTCTTCAAAGTTTAAAGGCTTTCGGGTGTGGGGTTCAGGGTCTTTAGGGTTTAGGGTTCAGAATTTTGGAAGTCATTGTTGGGTCCCTTCTTGTCAGCGAGCTGTTCTGGCATGAGGGGTCGTGATTTTGGGTGATTGCTTTGAAGGGCTTTGGCGGAGCGGGCGGGCAGACTGAAACGCAGAACCTGAAACAGGTCACCGGCAAAACGGCGACGGTTCTCACCACCACCAGCAGCTTTATTACCGATGCCAGTGACGCGACGTCGAGGGTGGTGACCACGGCCTTTTTGGCAGTCAGCCTCTCTGTGCCTGGGTCTGATAGAGGTCGCTGAGGATAGCCCTCCCGCCCAGCCCAGCCCAGGCCTTAACCCACCCTAGACCCTGAGCCATAAATGGGATGTGACCCGATGGGTGCAGCATCACTCGGACACACCGACCTTGCATCTAGCGAACAATCTTCGCACCGTTTGTTGCAGTGCTGAACTTCTGCTTGGAGGGTTTTTTGAGACTACATACTAACTACAAACTACATATGAAAGTCTGCAAGTGATTCCCCCTGATTTCAAGCCTAAGCCCCGAGTCGGAACAGCCCCTTTCAGTTAGTGTGGCTGTGTTTCCAGAAAGCCTGAGCATCCCAAGGCATTCTTCTGATTGCGGGCCAGTGCCTGGCAGCCTCAACGGCACAGGGGAGTCAGCTACTTGCAGCGTGAGTTCTCCTAACCTCCTGGACTGTTGTATAAATAGCTGTCATGGTTTATGCAGTTTTATTGGCCCTCATAAGCAATATGAGTTTTAAAAAGGTCTCTTGTTGCGGAACTTGCCATGATTAAGGACAATACATCATTTATCACGTGTGCTTGTGCTGGCCCCTCAAATATTAGACTGCCGGAGCCCAAGAGTCAGATGGCCGATCAAGTCACAACCTCTCCACGACAATTGGGTTTAGGATTTTAGATGTCGGGTTTGGGGCTTGGGGATCTTTAAAGGGTTCAGGGTAAGGCTTTGGGTTTAGGATTTTAGATTTCGGGCTTAGTACTTAGGGGTCTTTGACGAGTAAGGCTTAGGGCTCAGGATTTCAAATGTCGGGTTTAGTAAAGATTTTTAGGGGTTGCAGAGTTTGGGCTTCGGGTCTAGGGTTTAGGGTCTAAGGTGACGTTGCTCTGGATTGTCCTCAAGATGTATTCTGGGCTTTAGGGTTTGAGCTTGGAGCGGTGACAGATGCAGGAACTCTGATTCTGCAGGTAGCGGCCAAAGGGGGATGCGCCTCGTTCAAAGTCTTCAAAACCCCCAAACCCAGACAAGACCTCGCACCTCCGACAACTTGCTTTGAGTCAGGATCTTCTCTGACGACTGATAGAGGTACCATCCTTCCTGGCTCCCCTCCTTTCCATGGGGGTCACAGGAATTCGGCAGGGGGAGCAAAGCACAGGTGTCTTTAAGGGTGCTACAAGGGTTTCTACACAGCATGCTCGTGAGGTGGGTTTGGGTTCTAGAGTTAGTATCTAATCTGCGACATGCATGATGGAGCCTGCGCATGGCATTCGATTTTTGAAATAGAGGGATGCTGATCTCAATATTACCGTTTGCGTGGGATACTGCTTAGGGCTTCGGGTGTTGGAGTGTCCAGGGTAGTCCAGCGAGTTTGGACTCGACGTGCAGGGTGCACGGCCTTTTCGGCTCGCGGCCCCAAGTTCTATGCTGAGATGATAGGGTCATGATGGGGTTATGGGACCATACGACTACTCCGGGGGTATAATTGGAGCTACTACAAGGATTCTTCCTTTTGCTTCCCTTGCAAGCACGTGTGCTACGTGCTCAACATATGATCCTATTGCAGCTCTTGGGCCCCTGACTCTGAGAGGGTTTCCCCAAGGCTGCTAAGAGCTCTTGGGCCCCTGACAGGGGAAACCAAGACTCCGACAATTTTCGCAACTCCTTGTCCAGGGGGAGCCGAAGAAGCTCCTAGGCCCAGGAGAGCACCATGCTTGAACTGGCGCATCCGGAAGAAGAAGGAAAGCGCGATGTGCAAGCCCTAAATTCAAAACCCTACATTAAGACCCCTAACACCCTAAACCCCGAACATTTAATCCCAAAGCATTCAGCCCGCAGCTGTGGGGCGAGGGCTGGCATGAAAGCATGGACCAGACGGCAGTCGTGAGGACTTTCTTCCCTACCCCCCTCAACCCTAGATTCTAAAACCTAACATCCCTGAACCTTGAACCCTGTCATGCATGAAAGTAAGCCTTGTGCTGCCATGGTTTTCACGGGAAGCACACTTGTCGAACTTACGTTTCTTGGAAATGCGGGGTAATAGGACACAATTTCTCTAGCTACGATAGATAATACTCGGATAGCGGCTGCGTTAGTGCGCTTCAAAAGGGTTTTCAACACGAGTGCTCACTCTAGTATGTATATATATATATATATGTATATTTCCATATATATATATAAACCGGCGTTCTGACCACGAACCCTTCCTTACAGCTTTGTTGAGGCGTCCTGGCCCCCAAAGCAGAGGACCCAGCATGTCAGAGGGAGGCTTGTGCCAGAAACGGAGTTGATGCTTCCGGAACTTTTTCAGGCGCCCGAGCAGAATTTCCAGTGGTGGGTGCTTCGTGCCCTCATCTACTCTATCCAGCGAAGTGACCGTCAACTTTGATCCATACTCGCTGCAGTTCAATCCCGAAGCGCAGGTTCCAAAAAGCTGAGGCTTCAGGGCCGAAATAAAGGGCGAGCATTGCAAGACTTACCGCCAGCAGCAGATCTTCTTGCAACCCTGAGCCTCAAACCCCACGAAGCACTGAGTTGGATTGAGTGCAAGCCTAGTTGGTTCAGAGTCATAAATTAGGGGACCTCCCACAGGAGGCGCCTTCCGCTGTGGGGAAGCTGCGCTTGCCTCGGGCGCTCCTTTCCGGGTGCTCTGTTGGGCTATTTGCGCCCCCACTTCGCCTCACAGGGTTTGGGGGTTTCTTTGGGCTCCTTCTACTTGTTGAATCCTGCATTTTGGCGCCCGCTGTCAGATGCGCTTACATGACGAACATCCTTTGCTCACGGAAACTCTTGTTTGGGGGGTTCCTAGGCCTGGGGCTCTGTGTCGCGTGTACCAAGACTTGTGAACATGCATGCTTGAAATCCAAGGTCAGAGCCTGAACCGCCTGCGAAACCTGCAGCTTGTCCGTGAAGTAGTTTTGGGAGTTCCCTCTCCATCAGTGATGTTGCTTGAGGGCCTCATGAGGTGTCAGGAGTTCCGAGTCCACACTTCTCCTCTCGTGTGACCAAGCCAAGCCCAGCCAACCTGGGCTTGAGAAGTGCCGGCAAAGCATCCCAGGGCCCTGTAACTTTTAAACCTTATCAGCCCTAAAGCCCCAAGCAGCTAAAGTGGTGGTGTTGGGGGGGGGTTTCAGGGTGTTAGGAGGTTTTTTGCGGCTTCGGGAGACGCTAGACCTGGTCGAAGTGAGGGTGTGTCTTTTGCGGTTTTGGAAGAGCAGCCTGCTGATGAGTAGATTTTCTGCTGTCGTACATGAAAGGCACGACAAGAGACAGCTAGGCAGGTGGCAAACTAAGACAGTTGGGGTTGCCCCAAAACGTACCCGGAGAAACTCCCCACATCTGCTCTTCGAGGCTTCCACGGTTGCAGGTTTCCAAATCCCATCATGGAGCGTTGTGCGGCTCCCCCATCCACACCCCGACTTTTCTCCCAAGCCGCGCAAGCTTCAAAGCATAGTTTGGACTAATTTTAACGCTACGCGACCCGCCTCGGCCCGGCCCAGCGCATCCGCGTGAGCATGGTGATTCCGCAGCGCCCAAGTCGCTGCACCCCAAGCAATGAGGGTTGGGTTTGGGTTTAGGGTTCCGGGTTTATGGTTTAGGGTGCAGGGTTGAGGGTAAGTTTAGGGTTGCGGGGTTTGGGGTTCGCTTCACGGTTTGGCGAAAAGCAAAAGGAGGGGGAGGGGGGGCGAGCAGGGGGGGGAGGGGCAGGGGTGGGGGGCTGGGATGGGTGGGGAAGGGGGAAGGGGCAGGGCGGGGTGGGTGTGCAGGGGAGGGGGGTTGCGGGGGGCGAGGGCGGGGGGGCCTGCTGGGTGCAACTGGCCCTGGTCCTGGCGAACCGTCCGATTTCAGATCGTGGGGGTACCCATTCCAGGCAAAAAAGTTCTCACAACCGATACACCTTCGTCCGCGGATTAGTGTGCCGTTATGTTATTATGATGATTATGATGAGTACCTAAGCCTCAGGGCACAGAAGAGAGCATGGTCTTGCCTCCGAGTCCGCACCTTAGACTTGCTTCAGGGCTTTCTTGAGAACGTAGCCTTGCGGTCTTGGTTACTTAGTTCAGGATCTGCATGGGTTTGTGGAAGAAAGGCAGCTGTAGTGACGGTACCCAGGCCAAGTTTTCGGGCTTGAAAGTAAGAAGTTGGCGTATTGTGTCGATTAAAGAAGCCGGAAGTGGAGAGAGCTATGTTGCGTACTCAGACCCCGCATTGAGGCTCTGGTCATTGCATAAGAAGCTGCAGTAATGCCCGCTCGCACACACTTGCGACATCCCTTCAAACCGTGCTGTTCCATAGACGGACCTCAGACAATAGATCCAATCCCTTAGAACTGAGTTGCTAATAGGGCGTAAACGAGAACATGCCCACAGCACTGGTCTTGGGCTGGAATGTATACTGAGGCCGCCCGTCTTGGCTTCAGGCTCTGGGGTTAGGGTCGAGTGCCTGCAGCATGAACTAAGTCAACTAACTCACTTTTTGTATCCGATGCTAGAGTGCAGTACGCAAACGTACAATATTGTGCTGTGCAATGTTATTCTGCTATGCTACGAAATTAGTGTGTATAAGGATTATTGTAAGCGCTTGCGCGCGCCGCCTCGGCAGCCAAGCCGGCCCAGAGCACACAGTATGTGGAGATGAAAATTCCGCACGGAATGACGGGTTGGGTAAGGGGCAGGAGACCGGAGGCCATTTTCGATGTGCTCCCTTGTTGCTGCGCAGGCGGGTCTCAGGTGGTTTTACGGGGTCCCAGGGGCCCCAAGCGGGTCCCAGGGTGCCACCAAGCACGGGGGCTTGAAGGCCCATCTTCGTGCATTTGACCCAGGGAGGGGGGGGAGGGGTGCGTTGCAGGGGGGAAGGGTTGGGTTCAGACGCTTCTCGGCAGGAAGCCGAGGGGAATTTCTTGTATTTGCTGCCTTGAACGAGCATCTCCATGCGTGTGTCGCCAAGCTAGGCAATCCGTATCAAGCTGGGGCTTGTTGTGGGTCATGTCCAGCGTGTCCGTTCCGGGGTGGCTGAACCGAACTGGGTTTCTGTCGTGTGCTGAAAAGCTGATCTTTCCTGAGACAAAATGGCTAGCACCTGTTGCTGATGTCCTACATTGCAATGCCTGAAAGGCCGGCGTGTTAGTTTGAGGCCTTCGCTGTCAAGTACTCTAGAACGCCAGAGCGAATGCCAGCCTAGCTGCTGGATGAATGAAGCATGGGTCTGTACTTCCCGGAGTCGTTTGAGTCAAGATCTGCCTCGCAGATTGGCCTGTTTGTGGTGAGTTGTGGGCCTATAGCTTCGATCGCCATGCTGTCTGTGCTTCTTGCCTTGGGTGTGAGCGTGGCCAGTTCGGAGGATGCTTCCTGCGCTATGCAGCTAGCCATGAGTGGACGGGGGCTTAGAAAGGAGAACTTTACGGGCTTCTCGGAGGTGACGGCGTCTGGGCTGTGTCTGAAAGTTGTGTATCATAGTATCTCTTCTTTGTTCGAAGTGAAATGGAGATCTTTGTAGCAGCTTAAAAACCATTTTGAAGCGCAACCCAGGAGTACCGTGGCAAGTACTGTTATGCTCCAGATGAGGAGAAGCGGGATGACTACAAGGTCTTTGACGGCCTGTCCAGCCGGCAGGAGCGGTTGGTACACTGGGACGAAGACGGGAAGCAGGTGCGACGACTGCGTTTTGTACAAGAGCTGCGGTGCTCGTCGTGACTCGGTGTGCAAGGATGTTGACAACCCCAGGGTCTACCGGAAGAATCCACAGGACACGGTCCGCGTGCCGACGCCAGAGGAAGTGAAGGGCTACGAGGTTGCAGTGACGCTGACGGATAAGTACTGCAAGGGCTCAGAGATTCTGACCATCGAGAAGGCAACCGAGAAAGAGTGCAAGTCGAACTGCAGCAGTTTCTCCGACTGCTGGTACGTGGCTTACTACTCCAACTCCGAGCCAGACGAAGATGCCAAGGTCAGTTCATGCACTGCTCAATGCCGGCTCTTTTCGAGCTGCAGGAATTCAGTGCACTCCCTGTGCAAGCCCGGCCCAACGGTCTTTGTGGCCACGACCACTACGACCACCACCTCCACAACAACCATTGCCGCAAGCCTGTTCAGTAGCTGGGCCTGATGGAGCTGCAAGCTTAAACCCTGCGTGCGTGAGTACATTGCTGAAATTGGTCCAAAGCCAAAGGTCCCAACGCCCTTGTTCTTCAAAACTACTTCTACTTCTAAGGGACATGCGCCGGCCATGTTGCTTGTTGTCTTCCGGACTGATCTGAGGCAGTGTTTCTGCGGGCAGTGCCTTCACCTGCGGCATCAAGCTCGCGGACGACACAGTGGTATGCTGGGGCGACTTGCTTTTGGATTATACGAGACTAGGTTGATCTGTCAGCTCAGAGAGTGGGCTTCATTTGGGGGTCAGGTTCCCGTGTGGGGGGGGGGGGGGGGAACTCCGCAGCGTTCACTGCGGACGTCCATTCCACGGTTGGCACCACTGCTTTCTCGTCCTGCGTTTGCTGCACGTCATCGGCTCTTTGTCTGCTGAAAGAAAGAGCGAAAGAAAGAACAACCTTGGCGAACACGGGAAACACAAAGAAGTAAATGACAGTCAATCGCTGAAGAAGGAATCACGTAGAAATGGCACACAAAAGAATGACAAAGTGAAAAGCAGAAGGGACTGAGGCCAGGAAGCACACACACGTGGCACGTAGACTTCTTGGACGTGTCTGGAAGAAACAAGATTCAATGTTACGAAGCACATGTCTGGCCTTACGCGCTGTGGGCAATATGGGCTGTTTAGCTACAGCTACGCCAGAACTTGAGAAGAGCATAGATGTATCGACGAGCAGGGTAGTGGTTCAACGAACTGTGATCCTTTCCAGGAACCCCACAGCATCCCCCGAGCCCCAGAGTTACATAGACGAGCGAACGGCAGCAGTCTTTAAACAAACCACTCCGAAAATTCGAGTTTGCAAGTATCTGAAGTATCGCAGATCCCTCTACCGCTCCATCTCAGAGTTCGGGCTGTACACGGATGTCTAGGTTTAAGATCTGTCTACGGAGTTGGCTCGGGTCTCCTTGGAGGTTTCTGGCCTGCTAGATGTAGAGTCGCATGTGTGTCGAATAGAGTTGTGTCATGGTGTATTATTGATGTATGATGATGTATTGTGGCACGCCGCCAAGCCAGGTGAGGCTGATGCTAGGCTCGACGCACCCACAGACGTGGCGTTCTCGCAGATTTCTTTGGGACTCGAACATGGCTGTGGGTTGCAGAAAGGGGGCAGCGACGAAGGAAAGCCAGTCGCACGGACAAAGTCAGGAAGACTGTTTTTTGGTGCCATTCCCATTTAGGTAAATTTGCGGGTGCATGTATGCCACATGCCAACGCTTCAGAACTCATTTTCAGAGTAGCGACTCTTTGTTGGGCGATGTGCAAGGGATGGGCGGGGGGGGGTGGGGGAGGCTTTTTGGACCTCTCCGTAGGGAGTTCTGAGCCCTGCAGAGCTTTGGCTAAGGTGTGCTGGGGCAAGAACCAAGCTGTGCCCGCTCCTGCAGATGCCCCGGTGCCTGTGGACCCAAACATAGGAGCATAAACCTCGCTTGCGGGTGGTAGCAGCACCTACTTGCTGATTATGTTCTCAAGCGATTTTTTGTCGATACCGATGTTTTTTTCTTGGCTGGTTGGATGGATGGTTGGTCGGTTCGGTTGGCCGGTCGCTCGGTTTTTTCATGGTGTGCTGTGCGCTGACTGAAATGCTCGTTCGAGTAGTTTGCTTGTTGCGTGGTTGGTGGGTGTTTCGGTTACTGGGGGGTGCTTGCGTGCGTGCTTCCGTGTTTGCAGGCTTGCTAGCTTGCCTGACTGCGTTTGCTTGCTCGCTTTCTCACATGCTCGTTTGTTTCGCGTGTTTGTTTGTTCGTTTGTTTAGCTGGGCTGGCTGCGTAGCGGGATGGCTGCTCGCTCTCGTTGCCTCTTTGTACACTTTTGGGCTGGGTTTTCGTGATTCCATATCTGGTTGTTTAACGCGGCACAAGCTGGCGCAAAGTGTCAGAGCCAGCATGGATTTCAACTTCTTTGTAGCTTTTTTTGTTGGTCGTTACTTTACTCGCGCGCCTGATTGCATGCAAGTTCGTGCAGTTGTTCCCCCAGGTGCTGCGGACCATCTCATCCGGGGACAGGAGTGCTTGCGGAATCCGGCAAGACCCTGGCACCGGAAGTGGTCCTTTTTAGGCTTTTCTGAGGTGTTGGGGTTGAGGGACAGAATATGCACTGTCGTGAATACGGTTCACAGTGCACTCAAGTACAGTTCTTCAGCTGGCAAACTCTCAGGATGATGGCACAGCCTATTGTTGGGGACAAGTGGCGCAGCCTGCAGACAACGGTCAGGGAAGCACGACTTGGGCTTACCTCGATGCAGGCTACTCCACTGGTGTTTGCGGAATCCCAGATGCGGCTCCTCACTACCCTGTCTGCTGGGGAAGCTCGTGCACCATTACTCTTTTTGTGGAAATGAGCACGCCTGTTGTCCAGGCGAGTAATGCAAATTCACCTTCAAAGCAATTCTGAACCTCCTGTCAGAAAAGCCGCAAGGAAGCCAACTTTCAGCCAACGCCGTGGCGCAGTACCCGTACCCTGCCACCACCAGCCTCAGCAGTATCGGTGAGGGCTGGATGGCCGGCTGTGCCTTGACTCAGGCAAACAACGAGCCTCCGCTGCACTCGGAGTTCGCACGATATGATCAGAGGGGCTCTTTACTGGTGGCGTTGTCTCAGATTGGGCTGAAGCCATCTAAGCCAGCCTGCATCAGGCTCCCTGAAGTTGTTGGCCAGGGCTGAGTCCTTGACCGAAGCTGCTAAAGAATGATCGGGCAGCTTGTCCTAAACCAATGCCTAAGCCCTTCAAAGCCTCAAGCCCTAAACCCCGCACCTATGCCATCTATGAAGACAGCCTTGGAAGTTTCAAGGAGTTGGTTTGCTACGGCACGGGCGACACCTCCCCTGGTCGCGGAGACCTCACCTCAGCGCCAAATGGCACTCCGCCTCTCGGCGGAGTGAGCCCGTAAGAACGAGTCGGGTGCCAATTTTGCGTAAGGGATATTCAGGATGGCGATGATAAGGGGGTAATTTGTACCATGACCAAGATTTTGGGAGGGTGCCCCCTGAGCTGAGGTTTCTCGGGCCGATCTCTGCTCCTTGAGCTCAATATGGCAACTCTTGGAATTTCAGGTCTATGCCGCTATGCCCCGACCATACTCACAGTAGCAGCTTCCCCCTTCTTGCCTTCTTTGATTCGCTGAGAAGGTTTTCTGAACTAACCCTACGTCCCTAACCCTACGTCCCTACGTTGTGCAAGCCTGGGCTTCCCTACCTGGTAGCGGCCCCCCAAAGGGCCCCAAGGTAGCAAGTCAAGTTGCGAAGTGGCGAGGTGTCCACCTACGGATCATGC